TGTGTGTGTGTGTGTGTGTGTGTATGTGTGTGTGTGTGTATGTGTGCATGGTGTGTGCATGTGTGTGCGTGTGTGTGTGTGTGTGTGTGTGTGTGTGTGTGTGTGTGTGTGTGTGTGTGTGTGTGTGCGTGTGCATGTGCGCGCGCGTGTGTGTGAGTGAGTGTGTGTGTGTATGGAAAAGACCAAAAAGTAGGGATTCACTGGCCAGAAAAAGCCACTTCATAGCTGTGTGGTGTAGACCAGGCTGAATAGTGGCGGTCAATTCTTCAGCCTTGCAAGCTGTTGAATTGTGCAATCCCAGCACAAGCTCCTATGGCTCCTGCTGTAGCATCGCTATCATCGCCTCCGGCGATGGGCGTCAAATGGTCCAAATGGTGTGTGCGTGTGTGTGTGACTGTGTGTGACTGTGTGACTGTGTGACTGTGTGACTGTGTGACTGTGTGACTGTGTGACTGTGTGTGTGTGTGTGACTGTGTGTGTGTGTGACTGTGTGTGTGTGTGTGTGTGTGTGTGTGTGTGTGTGTGTGTGTGTGTGTGTGTGTGTGTGTGTGTGTGTGTGTGTGTGTGTGTGTGTGTGTGTGTGTGTGTGTGTGTGTGTGTGTGTGTGTGTGTGTGTGTGTGTGTGTGTGTGTGTGTGTGTGTGTGTGTGTGTGTGTGTGTGTGTGTGTGTGTGTGTGTGTGTGTGTGCAGGGATCGATTTATCCGGGTTCGCATCGCAGTTTGCGAATCAAAATTCACTGGCTGCGATTCGCTTTTCGTTTTTTATCGCCCAAAACTGCGATGCACTACAAAGACCAGTTGTGTGCAGTCTACATGCGACTGTTGTACACACTGCTGACTAGGGAGTAGTATTTTACTACTCCAACCAATTGGCCTGTCCTGCTCAGTCCGCGCGCGGGTCGCGGATCGCGCTCTTTCGATTTTGGACACTGCACTAGCACTGGTCGTACACGACTGCAGTCTTCTGAAGTTTTGTACACGGCGGTGACTTTTCCTGATGTTCTCCTTTCTTCTTTCACTGTCAAGCTCAGTTTGTTTCTGTTCGACAAGGCACAGTTGAAGTAGACGGTTCTTAGTCTCATGTAGCCAACATGTCAGTGAATCTGATCAGTGACTCACTGTCCAGAAGAGGGACAAAGAACTGGACGCGCCAGGAATGTCGATTCGTTTCGATGAAGAAAAGGAGAAAAGCGAAATTCGATGCGCTTTGCACGAAATGTCACGATCGTTTGAGCGCTTTCCTGAGGTTTCTTTGTCGAAGGAATCAGTGGAACTGCCCTGTTGAAGGACATTGTGTTGTGAAGAACTCGAAGTCGGATGGACGCTGAACATGTAACATGCCCAAGCGAAAACTCTAACGTAAATATTCAGGTCGAACATTCGCTTGGAAAAGCAAATAGCAACTGCAGCTATTGTCCTCTTCTGTACGAAATCCTGCTATTGTACAGCTATACATGTAAACTTTTGATGAAGGAAAACTGCTAATCAATACTTGGAGTTGCTAGTCAATTGTAAAACTGTGTAGCAGTGACTGCTATGCAAAAAAATCAAAGTAAGTCGATCCCTGGTGTGTGTGTGTGTGACCGTGTTTGTGTGTGTGTGTTTGTGTGTGTGTGTGTGTGCGTGTGTACATGTTTCCGTGTGTTTCATGACTCACCACAGCGGGACACAAACTTGTTCTCCTTCCAGTTTCCACTAATACCACCTATTTGAAAAAACACAATGAGTAAAGCAAGTTGCGCATTCAAAACACACACCATTCGCACAGGTTAGATTTCCTTGAAAAAAAGACAAAGTAAATGGCATGGAAAGGCCAGTAAAGAAAATAACACCCAACACTACAAAGTATGGCCATAGCAGCAGCCAGGATGGTGTCTGCAGTCATTGCGTTCGGTTTACTTAGTATCAAGCTATGACTAACTCCAATGCAAAGGCTACCGTAGTCCATAGTGCATTGAATCAATTAAAGATGTGCAATTGCCCGCGATTTCAGCCAGGTTAAGTTTTTTTTCTTGGCACCTCGCAATTCTCCTTGCACACTGAAAAATCAGTGCGCAAGGAAGCGAGACTCGGACGGGAACGAGAAAACTCATCGTTAGCGCAAGAAATGTTACCTAAAACGATTCCCTCTCTCCCTTGCACTAGAGAAATATTTTATATATTTCAATGTTCACTTCATTAATACTTCCACCGCTCTGGTTTGACTAAAGCACGACAGAGGGGAGTCAGTCAAATTGATCTCGAGCAGCAGGGAAACGCAGTGCATACAACACTAGATAAACCAACCTTGCCATGATCTGATTTACTACGCTGGCGGCTACGCTTGCGATGCCGCCGCTCCTCCTCGCTGTCATCTTGCCTAACACCGCAAATACACAACAATAGAGAGGTTTCGCACAACGTAATTACGTTAGTAAAAAACGTAGTCGATCTACGGAAAGTCTGCATGCGGATCCGTGTTCCGCCATACGGAGTTTTCAAATCACGTGGCTGCCCTTGGCAACTCCGAACGCGGCAGTGCACTACCAGATCGACCTGGCGAGAGAGTCAGAAATGTGTACCCCAATCCACTTACGGAGCACCTACCTTATCAGAGCCCCCTATCTACGTACTCTCCGTAAGGTGCTCAACTTTACGTAGTGCGGAACCTCTCTAATAACAACAAGCAAACACTAGTGACCGCGCAAAATAACAAGAATAGAACCGTACTGAATTTCAACAAAATGCTACAGCTACGACGGCTGCAGCAGCAGCACCACCACTACTGCCACCACCACCACCGACAACAGCAAATAACAATGACGACGACAATTACTACTAACAAACAGATGTAAAGAGCACCAAGGCTTTTCAACGAAAAACTGCCCCAAAAAACTATTGATTGGCGTAACAATTGCTTACTGGCATGCTGTTAGTATGTATGTTCCGAGCTACGGGCGTTATGGGAAGTGCTTGGGTCCGACGTGCCCGGAGGGGAGTTTTACTGTACAGAGTTTGTCAGAGCCGTACATTGTTCATAATGATGAATTACATGTACCGTATTTCCCCGATCGAGTCGCATCTCCATTTTCAGGTCCATGTCATACTTTTTTCAATACATTCACTTCAGTTGTAAGTCATGCTCAATTGTAAGTCGCACTCCCTTTGTTGGCCCCTGAAGGTGAGTGTAAAAAGGTGCGACTTATATTCGGGGAATACAGTAGATGTACATGAACATGTGATGTGAGGGTGCTGTGAGGGTGACACTTCACTGACTACATTGCAGCTGTGAACAATACCTGGTGGCTACAGTAACTATCGCTTACCCAACAGAAGGGCGCCCTCGTTTTCTTTGTTTGACTTTGGAAGCCGCTGACTGTAAACAAAGAAAGATAGAAAACCAAAAAAGAGGTGTATAGTCACGTCCTTGCCAGCCATTTCACAACCATATAACAGGCAAAATATTGAGCATGTGTACAACAACATAGTATGCATCTGCTCCGCTCGACCTTTCTTTGTCTTTGTTGTTCACGCTCTCTTGTCTCTCTCTCTCTCTCTCTCTCTCTCTCTCTCTCTCTCTCTCTCTCTCTCTCTCTCTCTCTCTCTCTTGGTCTCTCTTTCTCTTGGTCTCTGTCTCTCTGTCTCTCTTGGTCTCTGTCTCTGTCTCTGTCTCTGTCTCTCTCTCTCTCTCTCTCTCTCTCTCTCTCTCTCTCTCGTCTCTCTCCCGTCTCCCTGTCGTCTCTCTCGCGTCTCTCTGTCGTATCTCTGCCGTCTCTCTGTCGTATCTCTGCCGTCTCTCTGTCGTCTCTCTGTCGTCTCTCTGTCGTCTCTCTGTCGTCTCTCTCTCTATCTATCTCTCTCTCTCTCTATCTCTCTCTCTCTCTCTCTCTCTCTCTCTCTCTCTCTCTCTCTCTGTGTCAGTGTGTCTGTCTGTCTGTCTGTCTGTCTGAGTCCCTCTCTATCTCCCTCTGAAAGAGGAAATGAGATACTAACCTGCATAACTGGCGCACCGAAGTTCTCTGGGTCTGTAAGAGGCAGGTGATCTAAAGTCTGCAGAAGAAAACAAAAGCAAAAATAACGTTGACCACAGAATGGTACTATGAAGCAACAGTGTAGCTGTCACCCAAAAACATTGAAACAAGAATACAGGCTCTGTTTGTCTGGCTGGCTGCTTTTCTGTCTAAATATAACTAGATACTGCCGAACCAAGCAAGAGGATCAAGGCTTGACCCTGATGGATACTAATAATAAATTACATTCAATCATTAACATATCTTCTTCAGAAAACAGTATTTGAGATGAGGGAGGGCACAGTTAAATTAATATATGGGGAGGCGTATGCGCCAAAGTGGTGCAATGATTTTACAAGGAGCAAAATTAGTGGGTGAAAAACAAAGGCGGCATCCTAAGAAATGTGACATCAACAGCTGCACAAAAGAGATGCAACATGTAGTTGCAAGGATGCTAAGCAGTGGCAAGGCAAATACAGCATACCAAAAAAAAGCAACAGCAAAAGCTGACAATAACTACCGTTCACACATCCATATCCACACACACCATTGACCATTTGACGCCCATCGCCGGAGGCAATGATAGCAATGCTACAGCAGAATCCATAGCAACGTGTGCTGGAATTGCACCATTCAACAGCTTGCAAGGCTGAAGAATTGACCGCCACTATTCAGCCTGGTCTACACCACACAGCTATGAAGTGGCTTTTTCTAGCCAGTGAATCCCTACTTTTTGGTCTTTTTCATTTTTTTCACGCACACACATCACACCACATACTCTGGCATGCACTGGCTGTTGGTAACCACCCAGGAGAATGAAAGAAAAGTCAGGAGGAGTCTGAGGAAGAGAAGAAAGATGCACACACGCACACACACACACACACACACACACACACACACACACACACACACACACACACAAACACACACACAAACACACACACTACTTGCACTTGTTGCTCACTGCCAAAACTGGTCACGTGGGTCTCCCCGGGAGAGGGGAGAGAGACTCAAAAGGAATTTTGGAAAGATGACTCAATTGGCTATTGAACCGCCTATAGGCCTAACGGCCGACACCCCCTGAAATCCCCAAAACTCTGGGTGGACTTGAAAATGATCCCACCTATGGGCTCACCACACCTCAGTAAGTGGGTGAGGACAAGGTGCAGAAAAGGGATTGACGGCATCAGGGTATCCGTCCTGGGATCCAACTGCAGTTACCCCTGCCCCCAGTGAAGGTAATACTTGCTACTAGTGTGGGTGGCTAAATCAGAGTGGATCTGATATAATCTTCACTAACACCATTGATTACACAAGAGTTAATCTAGCCAGAAGCAGTTCATGGTTAACAGGTATGTATGCTTCAAATAGAAAGTATATGAACCCTGGAACCAACAAAGGTGGCAGGTACAACATTACACCTTCAAGCAGCCGAGCCCGTTGGCAACAGACCCAACACAACCAGGCATAAGTGGACCCACCAACCGAACTAGCTGGCCACACACACACACACACACACACACACACACACACACACACACACACACACACACACACACACACACACACACACACACACACACATACACACACACAAACATACACACACACACTTGTACTTACACACACACACACACACACACACACACACACACACACACACACACACACACACACACACACACACACACACACACACACACACACACACACTCACATACACATACACACACACACACACACAAATCAGATGGCACAACAACAACGGCATAAGAACACAGCCAGAATGGGCAAGTACAAGAACGTGCCAAACATGGCGTGAGCAACAACGCGAGGGCTACAAGAAGCTCCTTCAGGCAGGCCAAAAATGGTCCATCTGCCTGTCTGTTTAAATGACTATGTCTGCCTGCCTCTCACCCCCCCCCCCCCATACATACATACGCTCACTCTCGCTCACACACACACAACATTTACATACATGCATTACATGAATCCATGCAGGTCAGCCTATCAACTAGTCAAGAAAACGAGCTACAGCAGTACTAGTAGTAGGCTTGATGTACTGGCACTATGTGATTCAGAAGTGTGAACACACATGGGAAGCACAGCATTTATAAACTAACCTCACTCTCATTAAAGTGCCTGTCTCCTTTCAAACACAGAGCTGATCTTCGGAGTGATTTGATATCGCCATCATCAAACACTAATATAATAGTACAAGGAATCAAATGCACGGGCACACATACATGCAAACATATACACACACACACACACACACACACACACACACACACACACACACACGCACGCACGCACGCACCCACACACACACACACACACACACACACACACACACACACACCACACACCACACACACCACACACACGATAACACACATATGAATACTCATAACGTGTCCTCACAAAAGAGATTGCCTACACTTCAGAATAACACAAGTCGATAATAGGCTATTCATACTACGTTACAATGCGGGTCACATTTTGGAATACGACGTACTGGCAGACGTCGTTTTCATACAGGTGCATTCACACAGGCACGTACATGCTGCTCGTACAGCTGTGTGTACAGCTTCTTGTGGACACAAACTGCTGGGAACGACAGAACGAAACTCGGTACAGGGGTCAGGATACGTCGTCTACGTTTTCGTATCAGGGGTACGATTTTCCCGCCACGTTCCATGTTGTCATGGCTATCCGGCCGAAAGCGTCACGTATGCCACGTTTTGGGCGTAGTGTGAATGACCCATAACAAACGTTCGCGCTTGCAAGACTAGTGTAGACTCAGTGGGGGTCAACAGGTTTCACAGGCGTGAAGCCCATGAGGGCCACAAGGGGCATTTTATATGCACCCCCACCCCCCCCCCCCCCCAATTCTTTCAATTCCGTGCAGTGTCTGAATGTTTAGGCTTGCCTAATGGCCTAGGGATCGCAGTTCAGTGCCTCTTGCTATGAAGCAAAAATTGAGTGCCAGCGTGCAGAGTCCACTAAGTCTTGCACTTGTCGCCAGCCATGGCTGTAGCTGTATACCTGCACAGTGTAATTTCAATTACCAAAACCTACTGCTACTGAAACATAAGAGCTGATTCAGGAGCACGTCGGCTATACACACCCTAAAAGGCGGACCAGCTACACCCCTATTCTACTACTGTATACGAATTTCCCTTTTTGTTTTGATACACAACACTCAGTATTCCAGAAGTTATGAACATTGATCCTGCACTCTAATCTTTGGCCTGGTTTTGGTTGATGCGCACAAGAAAGACATCTGTCCTAGGAAACAACATAGAACAACTGAAACTGGACTAGCCAATATAATTATAGCCTCCGCATGTAATAGGAGTCATATTATAGGACCTCTATAAACGTAGTCTACGAGCGTATGTAGGATATAAAGCTACCTCCCGCAATGCAAATCACAGGGGCAGGACACCATGAGGCTGCAGGTGAGTTTCTGAGAGCCTCAGCTACATTTATCTTTCAAAGCCAACATGTTTTTACTACATCTCGAAAGCTCTGTCGCAATGTTTTGTTGTCAAGCCAACATGTTGTTTTACAATCAAGTAGTATTCTTGGTCAGGCCTACACAGAACACAGCACGTTATTCTGGCACCTACCGACAGTATACATAGTGAAGTCATTGACTTTCGCCACAACGCCTTCAGAATACTGCCCATCGGGACATCGTACCTGGACGGAGCTGCCATTCTGAGAGCACACAACACACATAAATGTGCATGCACACACACACACACACACACACACACACACACACACACACACACACGCGTACACACACGTACACACACGTACACGCACACACACACACACACGTACACACACGTACACACACGTACACGCACACGCGCACACACACACACACACACACAAACGTGCACACACATAGATGCATGCAAACACACACACACATAGAGGCATGCAAACACACACACACACACACACACACACACCACACACACACCATGTACCACACACACCTCAGACCTCAGACATGCCCATCGCGGAAGCGATGATAGCGAACAGCTATGTTAGACATAGCAACTTGTGCTGGGATTACACCATTCAACAGCTTGCAAGGCTGATGAATTGACCGCCACTATGTTAAGCCTGGTATCCACCACACAGCTGTTTGAAGTGACTTTTTCTGGCCAGTGAATCCCTATTTTTCATTTTTCCATTGTTTTTCCTACACACACCACACCACATACTCCGGCATACACTGGCTGTTGGTAACCACCCAGGAGAATGAAAGAAAAGTCAGGAAGAGTCCGAGAAAGAGAAGAAAGGCGTGTGCGACCATAATCGTCGGGAATTGAACCCGCAACCTCTCACACACACACAAGCACACACGCACATACACGCACACACATGCACACACACGCACACACATGCACACACATGCACACACATGCACACACATGCACACACATGCACACACATGCACACACATGCACACACATGCACACGCATGCACACACATGCACACACATGCACACACAGATAATCAGTCACTGTAAGTTAGCCAGACTCACTGATATCAGACACAATCTGTGGTGGCTGAGAACTAATCAAAACGCACAAGAAATGATTCATACCTTGATGGGACTGGCGGTGGGAGACATTGAACGCACAGCATCGTGGGTAACTGTCACTGCACCCTTTCCATCTTGCAGAGTAACCTGTGTACAATAAACCCACCAAAAAATTATTCACTCGCAATTGTAGGGTATCAAGAAGAAATAACTCGAACCTGCAGTATCAGTTTGTATTTTCAGGCTGGAAAAAAGACGAAGATGAAAACGACCCACCTTCACTTTGAAATTAGGCTTGACATCCTTCACTTTCGCCTCACAGAAAGCACCGCGGTATTTGGCACTGACTTCAGTTCCAATCGCTATTGCAGTAGCTGGGTATCCTGAATCACCACCCTGAAAAATATACCAAAACGATGTTGGCAATTTCTGGGTCAACAACCAAAAATTAGCTGGTTACTTACCATGTTCCAGTTTCAGAAATGATCATTCGCCAAGTTGCAAGTGAAGGCTCGCTTTGAACTATGGAGACAATAGGGTACCAGTAACACGCTGACAGAGAGACCGCAAACAAGACAATTACTAGTCGTTCACAGATTGCAGCTTGCTATTCTTGAAGTATCACTATTGGTGAGCCTTGACAAAATCCAAACCAGAAACCATACCAGCAAAATGCTTGGAAAATGCTGCAAGAGTAGATCACATCACATTTTCAAAGAAAACTCTCAGAACCGCAGCCTCGTCGATCACAGGCAGCGTGCACGCGTGACGTGACACACGGAACAAGCGCCTACAATGACGGGTGCGTACATCACATGCATGCTCGGGTTTTTTTGTACGGCGGCGCGCGGGTACCGGGTACGAGTCCTGTGATGTGATGACGTCGACGCGTAGTGCACGTAGATCTACGTACAGTGTCGTGTAGTATATATAGTGCATGCATGCGCATGTGATCGCCGGCGCCGGTGCACCTTCAAAAATTATTAATTTTTTCGTTGGAAGAACACTCGTACTTCACAGTCCAGTCTACTGAAGTCTACTGAAGTCTGTGTCAGTATCAAGGAGTTGACAGACCAAAATAATCAGTTGCACTTGGAGTTGCCACTGTCTTGGATAACTAGTTACTTGCAGGTGAAAACATGGATCAAGTATCAGCGTATGCTGAGCCTGGAAAACAATTCGCCAAGGATTCTTTCCGGCTGGTAAAGAGATGCACAAAGCCTGATCGAAAAGGTACCGTTTCCACAATAATAATTGTTGTACAAGTCATGTATATGTACTAGAAATACGCGGTCCAGAGTAGTGGACTCTGAATCTCTTACACCATCCACTGAATCTGCATCATTTCCTGCACTAACTTGTAATATACTAGTGTACACCTAGTGTACATGTATATCGTATTGGACCCATAGTACCCAGTGAGAGGCGATTTACACGACAGCAGTGCATCCCGCCGGGAAGTGAAGCATGTGATCCCGAGAGCTTGCCGTGACACGGGAAAAAACGAAAGTCGATTCACACGGCAAGATGCACGTACAGTACCTGTACAGCTGTAGTACAATAACGGTCCACGGAATACCACGACATGCATTTCCACCCCCAGCCCCCTCATGGTAACGGGACTGTATCAGGATAGCTCGCGGGATACGTTTGTGCCAAAAATGAGTTCACATGACTGAATCTCCATGGTAGCATCACACACGGGATGGATCCTGCCGTCGTGTAAATCGCCTCTAAGCAGATGCTACGGGGCTCTGGTACTGTGCAAGGTGTAGTGAACTGGTGTGCAGTTGACTGGAGGTTTCAGAAAAGGCGATGGTGATGCTACGTCCCGATCCCCCTCTTTTTGAGAGTGTGAAGTACCAAACATGATAGTATAATGAGATGAGATACCGCCAGCTTGAATCAGTTATTCATCCTAAATATTGTTAAAAACGTTATGAGCTTTTGGCCTATCCGCTTCTCCAGCATTCCGACAGCTTCTTTGGGTAAAGTTACTTGATAAGTACCTTTTACGGCCGATAACGAGTATCGAGTCCGACCATAACGGGAAAGTGATGAGTTGGCATGGCCATTTCCGCCTTATGTTGAAGTATGTGTACAACAATGTGCTGCAGTACAGAGGTGACTGCTGGAACTCCGTTTAGTACTAGGCTCTGTTTTGGTCGCCCTTTTGCTGCACGCTCATGGCACGTTTCGTTACTTGGGTCCATGGCATCCTAATCTAATGGATGTCATCATACATGACCTCTGAGTCTCTAATGATTACTAGTACAGTGCGTATCGGTTATAGCGTGGTTGTGTAAAAGAATATACCGCCTACAAGAATGAACTCTCATGTTTTCATAATCATAACATGGGTTTCAAGTGCACTTTTATTCTTACAAGCAATTTTATCGCATAGTAGAATATATCGGTCCTAAGAATGGACTTTGTGTAGCGAAACATGCCAGATTAGTACAAAGTGTATCGCCTGTAGTAATAACATCTGTCCCATGCAGTTCTGATCTGACTCGCGTTGCGTCGTAGTGCTGCAGGTTCAACTGTTGTGGTCATGTAACTCATGTTGGATAGCCACATGGTAAGCCTATGGGACTATGACCAGCCGCATGCACAGTAGCACTACGTTGCACGTACGATGATCTTCCTGCCCCTGCGCACGTACATATGATATGTCACACTTGATGTATCGTGTGTAAGAAATATCGGAAATAAGAATAGAAAGTCGTTTTTCAAACACCCACGCTATAACCGATACCTACTGTACTCCCGAGACTCCTGAGATGAGAAAACTAGGTACTGTGCACTGGGCACCGTCGTGTGTCATTTAGGAAACATGTTACTGGCCGTATGCATGAAAACCAGAGTGTTCACCTTCGTTATGGGTGTCCGCCTGTCGTTCCAAAATTCCTTGATTGCACAATACCGGTAACTGATGCAGGTGACTGGTGCATAAGTGCCACAGGCCGTACAACTGAACTGCAGTTGGCGATGTTTGAATCTCGCATGCACACTCTGCTTCGCTATTATGATGCAACCCAGGAAACTTTGCCATTACAGCTGACCCAGCTGCACACTCTTGTTTTCAAGTATCCATCGATAATTGTTGAGTTGAAGAGACTTGAAGAAAACGTGTTTGCTGTGCACGCTCCCTGACAGCGTGACCTCACATATGAGTTACTTGAAAGTCAGTTGGTTCTATGTACTCTGAAAGCCAGTCATGGGTCAGTCAAGTCAAGACACGTCCACAGAAAGACGTTTGTTTTCTACATAGTACCAATATACAGCTGTATAAGCTCCTATCACTATGTCGCAGGTTGGAGGGAAACCATAGGAACAGTTTCCTCTGTTCCATTGTTTATGGAGATGGCATCACAGATATCATAAATGGTCTTGTGTAGCTTTTTCGAGGGTAGATCTACACTGTATATGCTGTGGATGGCAGCGATGCTTCCTGGAGTGGTACATGCTTGATGTACTTGATTGTAACTGTGTTGCAAATACGTACTCTATGTGCTGCTTGCAACTGCCTAGTCAATCTTGCTGTGCTGCATAATCCATCTTATCAACTAGGCTATGCAATGAGAGGGAAGGGGAGCACTCTGTGTCCTGAATCGTTATACTTCAGTATAAACTACGAAGTACCCTGGATATGTATATAATAAATGTAGAGCCGAAGGATTTATTGCAATTACATACCAGTATAAAAACCGAGGTCCCCCGAGGTTTTTATAACTGGTATGTAATTGCAATAAATCCTGAGGCTACTACATTTATTATACATATGTTGACCTTCACTTTCCCTAAAAAGGAGTATTTTATAAACAGTATTTATTGGCCTTAGTGGTATTTTATAAACAGTATTTATTGGCCCAAAAGCCAATAAATACTGTTTATGAAATACCACTAGGCCAATAAATACTGTTTATAAAATACTCCTTTTTAGGGAAAAGTGCAGTGCTGCATGGAAAAGTACAGTGGTATTTATTGAGTCAAGCAAATTTATTCGAATTTGATACCGTTGATGGTGTGGTCACTAATGAGTGTGGGTATTTATCAAAGGTCAATATATACATGTATACTATGGGACGGAACGGTTCTGTCCGCAGACTGAGTACTATGAGATATGAAATGATAGTTTTTCTTTTTTTCTTTTTTCATGATGTCACTATACAGAGTTCCAGAAGATTGCGATTGCCACAGCTGTTGGCTTTGCAATCATGGGCTTTATTGGCTTTTTCGTCAAACTGATCCATATTCCGATCAACAACATCATTGTGTAAGCTAAATTTCACTCCAAAACTGTGTCTACTTTCAGTCGTAATTTTCGTTCTGTTCAGGGCTGATATCCGCTACGGTACCTTGAGTGCCAAGCCAGGAATACCTATGGTGATTTGCTCGTGCGAGGGGTATTTTTGGCACGAGTGCCTTCCTTGGCTTATGCCGAAGCCATTCTGGTGCGGAGAGTCTTTTTTGAGGGGAGGGGGTGCCATAGTATTCCGTGAGTGAGGTCGAGAGCAGTGTGTAGTAGGTAGATCACGTCTAAAGTACCATGACCAAATCTTTCGAGCGCCCAATCTCCACAACTATGTGCAAGTAGTCTTGGTCAGCGAAATCTCAGCGGAGCACTTTGATTGAGCATCAAGGAGACAAAGATCAATTGATATTCATTGTGGCCTAGAAGATACCGTAAAGTTGTGTATAAAAGCCGCGACTTGTATGACTTTTTTGGGCAAATTTTGCAGGCTTCTATACAAGACAGGTATTTCTATGCATGTCAACACTAAAACCAGGCTTACGTGCAGACAGTGTATCTTGAAAATCAGGCTTCTATTCAAGACAGGCTTCTATATGAGACAGGTTTTAATACAAGACACTACGGTATATGCATTCAAGACTAGCTCCTGAAAGCATGTCCGTGCTGTGAATATATATTTTTTGACTATTCACCTTTTCCAATGTCATCTTCCTCTTTTTTTTAAAGTTCTTCAGTGTATTGGCATCCTATCCCTGTTGTGCTCTTTTGTTTATGCAGTGGCTCGTAAGGAAGTGATGGAATATGTTTGGATTCGACATTCACGTGATTTCATCTCTTGCACATCGCCCATGAAAATTGGCTTCTTTCATTGTCACATGTCGTGAATTTAGTCAGCGCCACAGTCCTGGCATTGGGTATGGTTGTAGTTATTCCTTTTAGTACTGTCTAGTTCATGGATTCCTTTTATTTGGTGACTAGATGTGCCGGGGATATTATTCTGCGAATGTCCTTCAATTATTTAGCGTGAGATAACGCAAGAGTCTATGAACTCTTGACAGCACTCATAATGGTTCAGTGTTATGTCCATTAGAGTTTCCACATTTGTGTATGGATTCTACCTTCTGATTGATGTATTCCCATTTCTGCCCCATCTTTGACCTTAGGATACTTCTGAAAGCAATCTTTTACTTCGAATGTTCGTACGATTTATTCCCTGCGCTGAATGACAGCCTTCACTTGAAGAAACATGTATCCTCATCTCTGATGCTACTTGCAGTAGTGAATACAGTACTGTCGGGTGCTGAAGAACGGAGTGCCGAAGAACGAACACCCTAGGAGTTCACCAAGCACAGCATACCAATGTGTAAATGGTGACTCAATTGTGCATAACTACTAGACTGTAGTACAATGCAAAAAAGAACGGCCTACTGTAGGCTAGGGGTAGGAGGCCGACCACCTCTCCCCCCCCCCCCCCCCCCCCCAGTTCTTCAGCACCCGACAGTACATCAGGCGCGTAGCACCGCCGTTGGCGGTATAGTAGTCCGGCCAGGGGGGTTTGAAATTAGGGTGCAAAATCCTGCATTCTGGGCACTTTTGGCATTGTTTTACTATGGTGGTCGTGGTCGGGCGAAAAAGTGGTCCGGTCAAAGCCGGAGCGGCTGCTACGCCCCTGTACATGCACTGTAGTCACAGAGTAACTATTCCGATCAACATACCCTGGACCCTAAAACCCAGCAAGTTCTCTTCTCCCACCTCAAAGGCGGAGGCTGGTAGGGTGTGTGTTTACAAGGTGCTGCCATCCCTTTGAGCCTGAGCTAAAGGAAGAAGTGCTGTGCTTAGCATCCCATATCATCATATGCAAGACTCCTTAATATCAAGATATCTTGGTTATGTGTTCTTGATGATATGTGTTATGTCCCCTTGCGGACTAACATACCATTACCGGTACATTCATGCGTTCTCACTGACACACACAAACACTAGCATTTGGAAGACATTACTCTTGGTCAGGTAAAGCAACAACAACAACAATATAATGATTGCGTGTCTTGATAGAGAGTCAAAAGAGGCAAGTTGTATACTAGTACCAAGAGGGGGCTATGTACTCTTGCTAGTACGTGCAACCAATAGTAGCTGGCATAAGATTATGGAGCAGTACAAGTACATGTAGTCTGTATTAGATTTATCACGACAAACAGTCCGTATTTCTAACATCAAGAGTTCATGAACTCTTATTGATCTTGCTAACAAAAGTAACAGTCACGATGACATCATTATCTTTGTACATTTGAATTATTTCAAAATATTAATTTTGTGCAGAGTCAAAAAAGAAGAAGCCGTGCATGCATATGCTATACCATGCTACGCTGTTGTCAAAGATTTCAAGAACGAGAATCCACTTTCCATGTGTAGAGCAATAATCAGTCTCAGTGAATGGATCATCTACGACAACGAGTAAATAAGCACCGAGTCTGTACTTGCGTGAGTCTTCGTACAACAGTGAAATTTCGGAGTGAGATACTATACTCTTGCTGCCAATCATTATTTTTATAGATCCATACAGTTATTTGTAACAAGATTACCTGAGCTGCAAGTGGATACCAGTGGATAAAAACTGCGACACGGTTGTGTTCTCGGTACATATTACATGTATCGAGATTGTATCCAGTTTGAATCTTTCTCCAGTGGCCAGATGACATGGCTGCTTTCTTTAATAACAACTGCCAGTGGCAAGGCTGTGGTAAGAAATGCGGAACTCTATTGGAGCTAATAAATCATGTAGAGTCAACACACATCGATTCGGATCAAGCAGCACTTGAGAGACGGGAGCAGATGGCAGCCAGCTCTTCAAATTCCCAGAGCACTTGCACTGCTTTGTCATACATCCACCGCTTCTTCTCTGATGCTGCTATGGATGGGCGCAAACACAATGCTCTGTTGGCGGATGTAGGACTGGTTCCCCCTACCACTGCCTCTACTCCTGCTACTGTAGCTGCAGTTACTTCTACTGCTACTGTTGCTGCTGCTAACACTGCTCCGGCACCATCACCGAAACGAGTAAAAAAATCTGCTCCACGCCGATCATCATCGGTTACTGCGGCTGCCGTTACCAGTCAACTATCCAAAGATGGTGACCGTGAAGCAAAAGGCGGAAAGGGGAGTGCTGCTGGTGTTTCTTCTGGCGCTACAGCACCTGTCAGTGGTGGCGGAGGAGGAGGACTGGGCGAGGCAGATAATGTTGATAGTGACGATTCATGGACTTACCAGGACTCGGTCACAAGCGATGAGATTATGAAGTTGATGAACACTGACGATGATCCGGACAAGCCATTCATATGCCCAGTGCAAGGCTGTGGAAAGCGCTATAAAAATGTTAACGGAATAAAGTATCATGCCCGCAATGGCCATAAGTCTGAAAAGAAGATCCGAAAGACGCACAAATGCAAGTGTGGCAAGAGCTACAAGAGTTCATCATCACTTCGGGCGCATCAGAACACCCATAATCATGACAATGAAGCCAAGACACCCGCATTGGACTCCACCATGTTGACACCAACGACTACCTCACTGGCCAGTTCGTTAGATTCGCTAGCAGCACAAGCATCGTCGGCACCAAAGCCCAAGGCACAAACTACCCGTGCTCCCGTAACAGCCACACAACCCTCCACGAAACTAAGTCAGACTGCAACTCCCAAGCAGTCAAATCTATCCGTGCCAGCACTGAAGACTTCCAGTGCGTCGTCATCCACCACAGGTACTTAGCTTGTGAGGTTCACGGTATCTTTCTCTCTCTCCCCCCCCCCCCCCTTGACTCTGCCATGGCGACGTCAGTCTGCTGTTGGAGTGCTTACACAGATCAATCTGAATCCATCCAGTTCCAGTCTTTGTTATACAATGTGCTCTAACTCACCCCAGTGTGCATGCACATACATGTGAACAATGGGCGCGGTTGTTTCCTGGCGTTAGCCGGAGCAAAGAGTATCAATCCTGGGAGCTATTAGATGGTGCTGGTCATGATTTTCTGTTCTCTTGGCTTTCACTTTTTTTACCTCCTACTCACAAGCCTGACAGTCATCCGTGTTGGATGTTGCATGTTCTTATAATCAACTGCCGGGCTTTCTTCATGAGGCAGGGTGTCGTCTTGGTAAAACAGTTGACCTCCATGTGGTCTGCTTCATGGAATGTTTCTACGCGTACTTCAAACCACACATTCCATAAATTTCCAAGTACTCTAATTTCGGAAATTTTCGGTGCTCAATATTTTCGGTCTGAGAGCAAAAGGCTAGGTTAGGTGAACAACAATTTTCGGTACAGAGAAGCAGTTCCCTATTGGATTATGTGTGTTAGCGTTTGTTCGGTGTATTGAAATTTTAGGTATGAAACAGATGCACCGAAAGTACCGAAAATAAAAGTACACCGAAAATTTGTGAAATTACAGTATTAGTTCTCACAACTGTGTGGTGAGAATCGTGCCGGTGGAACGAGAATATTCAGAGCTATACTACATGTAGAGTAGAACCCGGTTTAGGGATCCACCTAACTCTGCGCGGACATAGCTGGACTCAGTTGTGCAGGGATGGGCAAAAAGGTGTGCAAAACGACTTTTTGTGAGTAGATGGACCCTGGAAAAATAGTTTGGAGCGAAAAAAAATTACGGCTTCCTCGGAAACCGACGGGGGACCCCCCTTGGGCCGGAAATTAAATCCCGGTATGAGGATTACCCGCACAATGTACATGCCAAGTGCCCCCCCCCCCCCCCCCCGGGCTCCAATCCCTAATCCGGTGTGACCCTTTTAACCTGGGTTCTACTCTACATTTGTAGCTGTAGGGTGTGACACCTAACAGGACTGATTCCCGTGATCCACGTGATTCCGTCAGACATGTTATTATTATTATTATTATTATTATTAAATTTTGAATAGGGCAGTTGTATTCATATTCTATTTTATTTTATACTTTGGATGAAGTTTTCCATGAGTCCTATCGGTGTATTGTTGCTAACGGCTTTTGTTGACGTCACTTCTGTCATTTCATTGTATCGTATTACTCTTCAGACATCAATCCTGAATGGCATAAGCGAAAGTGGCACCCCCGCCACCTACGCGGACATGCTTTTAATAATAATTATAGGTGCGTGAAAATCTAAGTGTATTATCAAGTATGGACTCATCTCTGACTCTGATCTGAGAGATGTGTTGCCGGTTGGATATTTATGACGTCATAGGCAATAACTATTTTAAAATAATTATCGAAGCTTGAAGCTCCGATATGCGCAATGACTATGACGTTTCATCAAGAGTGCATAATTATGGACTCTTGGTATCATGTGTATGTATGTCTTTCTTTCCCTTGCCGCCTTGGCTTCAGAGTTCAGTTCATTGCGGTACTTGATGAGCAGCTCTGTGACTATTAGTATTATAGAATATTATTTTTGGGTGAGGACTAGAATCAGAAGTAAATTACAATGTACAGTAGTTGGAAAACTGGATAGTGAAGCCGCAGCCCTAGAATTAACAGGACTGCACGAGCTTGCTACTAATACTATTGTATCTTTGAATCGGCAGTACCCGGTGCCCATCTAGTAGACGTCTACCTGCATAAGCAGCTAATAATAAAATTTTGTCAGAGCGCAGTTCGCTGTGCATGTAAAGTTGTCCATGTTGTTCGCGAAAGGAAATACAGTACAGTGTGTTGTAGTCTGCCATCAGGAGTAGAATTGTCTCGTTGGCCGCTCCGTAGCGCCACGGCGAGCTTCCTTGATATGCCTAGATTACATGCCGCTGCAAATGATGTGAAACAGAACTCACATAAGACAAAACATGGATCGCGTCAAGAAAGTTTTCAGTGGACTCCGCAACCTTTCGGTAGCTGAGGGTGAAGAGAGGCGAGCTGCGGAGAATAAACGAGATTCTGATATTTCTTCGCCTGACTCTGAAGAAAGTGACGGTACTGGAAGCGGCAAAGCCAGTGGGGAAATGCAAGCAGCTGGCTTCGCAACAGCAGCAGTGGCTAGTGCCAGTAAGTCGAAAAGTGAGTCAAACAGCAAAGCAAGCCCATCTAGTTCCGGTATCGGAGAAACTGGTGGAGCTAAGCGTCCAACTCAGCCTACTGCACAAGCAACTGGTACACGAAAACACTCCAAGGCACATGTGTCCACCAATGACAAAGCTGTGGCGAGCAAGCAGCAACAGAGCAGTGCCACTACCACTCCTTGTAGTCGTCGTCTATTGCGGGAGTTTCAGGATGTCGTAAGGAATGGTGAGATAGAGTGCTCACTCATCGATGACAATCTCCACGAATGGGAAGTGCAATTAACACGAATTGATCCCGACAGTCAGCTTCATAAAGACATGAAATCCACCGGCATCCCAGCAATTACACTAAATATACTATTTCCTCAAAAGTACCCATTCAGTCCGCCGTTTATGCGCGTTGTAAAGCCGTGTATTATAGGTGGCTATGTCATGGAGGGTGGCGCAATTTGCATGGAGCTGCTTACGGCCGAAGGCTGGAGCGCAGCATACACCGCTGAATCCATAGTGAGACAATTTGCTGCGTCCCTGGTTGCGGGCAAGGCGCGGCTGTGCCAACAAAGTAAGTCTCGGCTTGCCTACACTCAAGCTAACGCTGAGCAGTCATTCAAGCATGTGGTAAAGGTTCATCAGGCCCGAGGCTGGTTCACTCCACCCAAAGAAAAGGGTTGACTTGCTTCTCCTTGTCTTGCTTCTTTGATAAAACTTTGCAGACACGGAATTACAGTACCGTCCTATCCCAGGTGTGCACAATCTAGACGTATTAAATACCTTCCGTGTTGACACACTGGTCACCCGTTTATGACACAAAGCTTTGAACTCAGCCTTGACTACTATTACTGAAGTACCTTTTTTTTAAAGTATGCATAATTATTATATGCCTGTGTATATGTATGAGTGTAACGGCGTGTGTAGTGTGTCTGTGTGTACCACAGTGTCTGTCTGTCTGTCGGTCGGTGTGTGTGTGTGTGCTGATTGCTATGTTGCTATGTCTAACATAGCTGTTCGCTATCATCGCTTCCGCAATGGGCATGTCTGAGTCTGAGTCTTGAGTGTGTGTGTGTGTTTGTGTATGCTGATTAAAAATAATGATGTGCCAGCTGAAGTTTGTTTAGTACATTATGTACGAATGTGATGACTTTGTTGCAGCCGTGCAACTTCGATTTCAGTACAATGTTACTCAATTGCAGTGGCAGTCCAGTGCGATTCCACTTTTTGAAGCCCTTGGCTCTGGTTGTCTTCCCCTGTGGCGGCTTGTCGTGTAGGACTGTATGTGCATGTGTACTACACTACTACACCCTGGCACTTGATTGGTCACACATACACAGATTATCATTTCACCATTGCCTATGTCCGTGTTTTGCTATATAATAATAATAATAACTTTATTTAAGATGACCAAAAAAATATGATAGCTGCTTCATTGTACTACACGCTGTGGAGATGCTCTTCTAGTATTGTTGTACTTCTGTTGCTCCACACATGAGTATTTGTCACACCAGTAGGAAATGAGTATATCGAGCAGAACTGGAAGAGATTTCTTTGTTTTTAAAACCTGAGGTGTGGATCACACCACTTCGTGAAAACTACGCTCATGATTCATGCGAGCTGCACCCTTTGCTACCTTGGGGCGGAATCACGGTCTGTTATTATGTCAGAAACCAGTTAAATTTTTTTACTGTTTTCAGCCGCAGAATTCTGCACGGAATTCCCGGGGGACAGCATAATTATGTGCCGCACAATGGCCTGTTTTCAGGATTTTGTTCTTGTTATTCTGCGGGGACAGGGAGTTGCACACTGTGGGGGCTTACCGGTATAATACTCTTGGCACGTACAGTAAATAGTGGATATAACGTGCCCCTTTGATTTTCGATAATTTATCACTATATCCGGTGCATCACTATACATGTATCCGATTTGCATGTATGACTGACACATGGCACATGACTGTGCATGAAATGATGCGTACATGCTGGAAAAAGCATGAAAAGCAGCCACGTGTACATGTGGCTGCTTACAGCATACAGGGAAGAATTTTCTCTCAATCACGTCTGCTGCCAGATGCATCCAGGCAACACTGGATCAGTTTTGGAAGAAATAAACTAAATAATTAATTTGAAGAACAATTGTTTTGTGATCATCACTCTTGATCAGTATATACGATATTTTCCTGTGCATTTGATATGATTTGCTTCCTGAAGCCCACCACAATAAGCGATATATCGGTATAGCCGATAATAGTGTGTTTTGTGATATTTTAGCTGTATTTTTTTTGTGATTTGATTTTGGCGAGTTCGATCATTACATGTATAGCCGGTATATCGTTACACGCGGTCACTTTATAAACGATACTCACTGTACTAGTAGTAACACGTGTGTGGTGTGTTTCATTAAAGATACTGATATGAATACCCGGATTTATCTAAACCATAATATAGGGGCCGTCCAAGGTTACCAATCTGTTCCCCGTGAATCCCACGGATTGCAGAATTTCCGCAGAATCCAGTAGTGTCCGCAGAATTCAGAAAATACCGCGGAATATTGCAGAAAAGAGAGAAAAACTGCTTTTTCTGGAGACTTTCAATGTATTTTCACAACCAAACCAAACTGCTTGTGGCTTTCAAAATCAACTGGCAGTATATTGTAGAGCTTTCAATTTTTCGATCAGGATAACCTGGATTTCGCATAATTTAGGTTCAGAATATAGCCTAGGGACAACACACTTCGGTGGGGTTGCGGAAATCCGACCTGTTTTTAGTAGTTTAATTTTACGCTCATGTTCCTCGCAGAATTGCCGCAAATATAGAAGGATTTGCAGAATTAGCGCAGAATTTACTGTTTTAGCCGCAGAATTCTGCACGGAATTCACGGGAGACAGACCAATGGTAGTTTTCGTTTGGGGGGCGGGTGGGTTTCAAGGAGTTTCGTTTTGAAAAATTATTGAATGCAGATGAAGAATCTACATATATATGTCCAGTTATTTCTGGGTGTTAATATCAATATTTATTGCAATTCGTTTTACCTGCAGAAAAGGTGGGTGCTGAAAAATACTATTAGTATTGGACTATTGAACCCCGGCCGGCCTCTTACAACTGACAAAGTAGAAGGGCAACACCGGCACTAATGACGTAACTGTCACCACTTATATCATGCCAAAAATACATTCCAAGGCCCGGCAAGGGTCTGCAACACAAGCACAAAGTGACAAACGACGCACCTGTCACGGTTCACATCATGCCGAATCTTTCAGGCCATACCACGGTCCACACCACAGAAGCACTACACATTCACGCGGTACATCCCAAACCTCACATCGAGAGTCAAACCAATACCACAAAAGACACGTTTTAGTTTAGTTGAACAATTCTAAAAACCTCAAAGCATTTTCATAAAGCATTTCATAATGGTGATCTATGAGTACGGGTAAACAAAATTTTGTACGAAAGTGTTGTTATGGTGGTTCTTTACTTGGATGTCATCATCTTGACGAATTCTGCAAAATAAACACGGAAACAAACACACGTTCGGTCAGCTAAATGATAATTGATACAAGGCGAACAAAGAACAGGCACCAGCATGGAACAAAAGCCACAGAACGTGAGGGTCAGACGTAGCAATTGATTATAAGAAAGCAGGCACAGACTCGGAACAAAAGCATAATATCAACAGATCGTACAGAACGATTCGTGCCACAAAAGACGTAGTAACCACTACAATGCGAGTCGGGTATGCTCACCTTCGTAGTTGACCTGGCCATCGCCATCAATATCCGCCTCACGGATCATCTCATCAACCTCCTCATCGGTGAGCTTCTCACCAAGGTTGGTCATTACGTGGCGAAGCTCAGCGGCACTGATGAAACCGTTGCCGTCCTTGTCGAAAACACGGAAGGCCTCACGGATCTCCTCCTCGGAATCCTGGTCCTTCATTTTGCGAGCCATCATCGTCAGAAACTCCGGGAAGTCAATGGTGCCGTTTCCTGACAGAACGCACAACAGTCTGAACTCAAGGTCTATCCACACGTGAACCAAACAAACAATACCACCACTGCATACCATCAGCGTCCACTTCGCTGATCATGTCTTGGAGTTCAGCTTCCGTGGGGTTCTGTCCAAGAGAGCGCATTACAGTTCCGAGCTCCTTGGTGGTGATGGTGCCATCGCCATCCTTGTCGAACAAGGAGAAAGCCTCCTTGAATTCTGAAACCAGTACAAAAATAATAAGCAGCCGTCAGGGGAAGTTTTCGGAATCTTGTATGGAGTTGGGCTGAGAGCAGGACGCAGCTGACATGGCCACAATTAATTCCTTGCGAAACAGTTCCAAATTGTGAAGTTTGGGGTGGATTCAAGTATAACAGTACAATGCACAAATACCGACAACCCTGGGTGATAGAAATTACAATACGAGACTAGAAAAATAGTAGGCTCGCCATTACGCGCCGCTAATCAAAAAGCGAAAACCGGTCACAAAACCAACTCACCGGCAATTTGCTCCTCGGTAAGAAGGTCAGCCTACACCACACAGCAGAGGACACAACAGCAGCCATCCTCAGCTCGGATATCCATAGTAAAAACAGAGAACAACTTCGTCTTACCATGGCGAAGCAAAACAGGTGATAGCCTCAAAAAACGGTGAACTACTGGTAAAGTGATGAAGACAAAACGACAATCATCAACTCCAAGGCCCGACGCAATGCGGCAAAGCACTACACCAACACAGTGCCCTATCGTGATTGGTTGGACTACGCTACTGCCATGACTACACATTAACAGGCAATGCGCATGCTCAAAAATAACATGGCGTCACGCTAGCTTGTTCCTTTTCGATTGTTGTGGAAAAGCTGAAGCCTTGGGTTGCCAGCTTTCCAAGGAAAGGTGAGCTAGAGCTCTTCTCTAGCTGTTGTAGGACGTAGCTGAAGTTTTGTTCTCCTTTGGATTACAGATGCAGATCTTCGTAAAGACCCTCACGGGTAAAACAATCACCCTCGAGGTTAGTTCTCGTCCTTATAAATTTTTAGTTCCCTATGTGAAGAGATCATAATGACTTGTGCATATGCATTGAGAAATGTATTATAGATAGCCATACCTCTTTTGCTTTGTCTGGGATTAGGTCGAGCCAAGTGACACGATCGATAATGTCAAGGCCAAGATCCAGGACAAGGAAGGTAGGGGTTTCATGTCATTTAGTTCTCTGCATCTGACTTATTGTGAAGTTTTCAAACTAAATGTGTAAAAACGTGTGTTGGATATCTGCATTGGGCAATGTAATGTAACATTCGTATAGGAACTGTTGTACTGTTTCTAGATGCATGTAAATATGAATTATAATGTCAAACCGCTTAACCTAATGTCATTCAAAAGAGGTAATACAATTGAATGCTATCAGAGTTGAAAATCTAGTTTCATAATTATACAAAATCTGTGTTTATTTCCTGAAGTCCAGGTATGTCGTAATCCAATGCTACATTCATTGGGATATTCTTGACAATATTTCACATCATATCATCGTGTACGAATAAAGTTCCCTATTCCCAATGTGGATCGTAAATTTTGAGCTTGTAGGCAATTTCGACGAAAATTCATTGTATAAATCGAGCTCACATTTAAATTGAGTGTGAACAGTATCACAGTGGGAATTTCATCAGCTGAGTTGAGATTTTGCCGAAATGTTTGGCCCGGGCCAATTTAACTAACTTGGTCATGGATATCATCGTCTACAACGTTCATAGATTTCCTGTTATACCTGCTGTACAGTAAAGTGCGGAATATCTCTCCTCATTTCTCATTCTCTTCGGCAGCACCACTAGGCGCACTTCAGCTCCTGAAAATGAGACTGGGGGAATACATTTTGACTCCAATCTGTTGCAATATATCTTATGCACCCCTTGAATGGTGCTGAGGGCGGATGGGGGAAATTAACGAAAGCTCATCTTCATCCCTTCAATTCAATGCAGACAGGAATTTAGGATAATTGATCATAGATTCAAAATGACTCACCCACTACACCATGCCATAAAAGTCAAAGTCCACACAGCAATTTCAATCTACGGACATACAGTTTGACGAAAAATGGCTGTGGTGCATCTGCAGAGATTTTGCACGCACCTACAGTCTATTCTTGTGAATAAAACGAGGTGAATGTATGAATGACCCAAATCAACTTACTTACAGTTACAGGAGCTCTGTGAATGTAGTGTAGCTATGTGCAGGGTTCGCAGCGAAGTTTGGAAGTCTGGAAAAAGTTTTGAAAAGGCGCTCCTTTTGGAATAGTTTGGAAAAAGTTTTGAATTTCGAGTTTTTGGCCGTGCAAGTGGCCGTTTTTGACTACCGCGATAGAAGACATGCTGGCGATGAATTCCCTTGCTATTTTCGGGGGCTCTAGCTGCTGAAGGCGATGCCATTGCAATGTACCTTGGTGAATTTGTTGATGGTAGTGGTACTAGGGAGGATTTTACTACTCCCTGGTTGTACTCGTAGTGGAGAAGACAGTCATGCAGAAGAGATTCATAATTTATTTTTCCTGCACGAGTGGGTTTGGAAAAAGTTTGGAATTTTGTGTGCTTGGTTGGCTGCGAACCCTGTATAATGTGTCAGCTGACAATACGAAACTGTCCTTGGTGACAGTTTCAGGATGAACAGAAACCAGTCATTATCTTCATAGATAGTTTCTGTATGGTATGATGTGGATGTACTCCTGGATGTGTCCCAAGACATGGAAGTGGTCCTTTTTTAGTCTGTACTTGTGACAAACCGTATTGTAGTGTGGTTTGTTTGTGCCTTGATTTTGGAGTGTGGGCTTCTTACAATTGTGTGTGCCCATACATTCTTGGGATGACCTTTACGCCTCTTATAAAAGCAGTTGTTTATGGCCGTATATGCCGGAGTTCGAGCAATGCTTTTTTTGAAGTCATGCTTGTGTTCAAAATATGTTAGCATCATCAGTCTATGCTGTAGTCTATACAGTGCGCACTGCTGTGCACGTACTGTGCAAGTAATTGCACATGGTTTGAAAAGTGTGGCTTCTCTTCAATCCTGCTTCTGTCTCAAAAAAATCAGCTTGTATTCCCGGGCTTATAATTTTTTCAACCATTTTGTCATGTACATTGGTTATAGTTTTATCATTGACTTGCACCACAACATATGTCTGTCATGCTGTGTATGGATATTATTCCTGCCCTTATATTGGAGACTGTCATTGTATAAATTCTCTGAGCCCTCTTTCAATGCGCTAATACTAGAGACTGGGCTTCTAACAAAGAAAACACGGTGTCGTGCTTTTTCTCTGTGTGGGATGTAACACCAATGCTGAATGGTTGAATAGTTGGGGTTCATAATTTGTTGAAATTGGGTATTTGTTTGCTAATGACTACAGGTTACTGACAATTCTTCCTGATGTCGTTTTATTCCCCGATTTTCCCACAGGAATTCCTCCAGACCAGCAGCGTCTGATTTTCGCTGGTAAACAGCTCGAAGATGGACGTACTTTGTCCGACTACAACATTCAGAAGGAATCGACACTCCATCTTGTCCTCCGTCTGCGTGGTGGTGCCAAGAAGAGAAAGAAGAAGAACTACACCACCCCAAAGAAGATCAAGCACAAGAAGAAGAAGGTCAAGCTTGCAGTCCTCAAGTTCTACAAGGTTGATGAGAACGGCAAGATCACCCGTCTCCGCCGTGAGTGCCCCGCCCCAGCCTGTGGCGCAGGAGTGTTTATGGCTAGCCACTTTGACCGACAATACTGTGGCAAGTGTGGTCTCACATATGTATACAACAAAGCAGAATAAACTCTTCTAAGTTGGCACATCTCAATCGTTAGTGTGTGTGTGTGTGTCCGTCCTGCCCACTTGATTCGCAATATGTAAAAAAAACCTTCAAGAGACTGTTGTCAATAGTTGTTGCTCAATCATTTGCCTTTGCATGGGGGTGGAATTTATACTATGGGTGCTTTCCTGACAGAATTTCAACTTGTCATTTTTAAGATGTAACGCCCACTGTAAGTGTATTGTCAAACACCCCCTTCATCCTTTAAAACTACAGTCCTGGCAACTGAAATCCGAATCCCTGAGTGGTGGGTTCACATTCTAGCGGTCTCTGTTTCGTAGTTTTACCATCCTTTGTTTGGTTTTTGCGATGTGAGCGTACCACTCAAGGGGTCGGATTTCAGTTGCCATCACTGTAGCTCGAACCGCTTTGGCCATGTGCAGTAGAGACACGCCGTCCAAGAACGTGGTTTCCAAGGGGTTAAGCTATACCAAGAGTACATAACCCCCCAGAGTGTGCAACTCCACTATGGGTGCTGTTCGACAGAATTTCAAGTTGACATTTTGATGATGCAATGCGCACTGTACACGGATTTCCAGACGAATCGTAACCTGTGGTTGACCGAAGCAGATCGATCCTGTACAAATTATTGCAAAGAAAAACGTGTGATGCGTTGACACCCGTACACATGTTGTAAATCACTGGTGCAAGGAGCATTGCGTCATAAATAATGACGTCAACTTGAAATTCTGTCGGGACAGCAGGGTATGTGGGAGTTGCACACTCTGGGGGGTTATGTACTCTTGGCTATACTTATGGCCACTTGAACGTATGGAAAACCCAATTTTCCAAGTTTTGAGACCCATTAGTACAACAAAAAGTATCCCCCATACAAAATTAATATCATTTCCGTAGTCTGTGCATGCTCGAAGACAAATTCCAGAGTGAACAGCACTTCACCATAAGTGACAGGTGGAAGGAGCATTGCTCGTGATCAACACATGGCTTTTTTCGCATGCCGTGATCTCAAACCGCGGCAATCTCCAAGTTTCAACCACCTCTGAAGCTTGGAGAACCTCCTAAAATTCGGAGAGGATATAAGAACAGTTCATACTTGCATGCATAGTTCGGCTAGTGCATAAGGAATTTAAGGATGTCGCAAACATGAAAAAGATTGTGAATCGGCCTTTACTCAGTCCCTTTGGAAAAACGCGGCGAAGAATTCAAAATTCCGTGGGGAAAAGGGGGGGTTTTCTACAGTAAAATAAAAAATCTGCGGCACTTTCTGCAAGTTGTTCACCCTCCTCGTAGAGGATATGATATGAAGGAGCACTTTTCATACTATCCTTTGCAGTCACAAACTGAATAAGAGTGAAGAATCTTTGGACAATCCTTAAATAAAAATCAATCAATCAATCAATCTTGGAGAGACCTGCACTGGCAAGAGAAATGTGCTCAAACAGATCGCAAGTAGTTTTTCTGCTGCTTTCTGAGTAGTAATTTTAGTAATTTACCTGAAAAAATTCAGATTCCGCGGGCAAAAGTGTGGATTCCGTGATTTCCGCGGCCGCGAAATCGCGTTTTTCCAAGGGGACAGCTTTAAAACGCAGCCAGGTTACCGAAAAATAAGAACGTCCCTGGGGGAAACTCCTTTGAAATATCGTTTTTTGGCGAGTGACTCTGCTGTACATGTTTGCAGAAATGTGGATTCTGATCGGGATGAGACTTGGCATGTGTGACCATCCGAGTCTGATCTGCACACCTGATGAGCCGTCAGAATCTATCCGGCGAAACGAACGTCGTGCGACACTACTTGTTATTGCCATTTGTTAGTCCACCACCAGTTCCATTCAACATGTAGTATAGCACGAAGAGATACTGCTGTCCGGTCTGTCTTACTTCGTGTTTGTGTAACTTCCCCTCTTTGATTATCTCCGAAAACATGAGCCTGGCAAGTTGGGTGGTCGTTGTTTCGCGTTCTTTAAAGGGGAAGTGCATCGATTTTTCGAGTATGGTCCAGAAGAAAGACAATTTGATATCGGTTCGAATGGCATATCTCTCGCTTTCATACGATAAGCCAAACTTGCCAAATCGCCAATTGTATACTCACGTTGCCATAGCGACCAGCGCAGTGATGACGTACGAAAGGCTTAGCTCCACCACAGAGAAGGTCGATCACTGCGGAATTTGGGCATTTTCAATTGGTTTATTGTATTCACGAAGTGAAAGAAGGGCTGTTTCAATGCTGTTAGTGCAGTGAACTGTTTGTTAGTAGTCCTCTCGGTTGTGTGCTGGGACGTGACACCGACAGGAGAAAGCTGGAGTGCGGAGACACCAGCAGACAAGCGAAAATAGTGACGAACAAAATGCTGAAATCTTGGTTGGGACAAATCAGACGTTCAGCATTTCCCCCAACCAAGGACCATGCCGTTTGCTCTTTCCACTTCCTGAAGATGAATGAGATGCTTCCTGGCGACTCTCCTATCTCTCGTACCATCTTCTGAAGCCAGGTGAGACGACGGGTGGTGGAGATTGACGAATGAAGTAATGTCGTAGGTTTGAAAGTTTGCTGAAAATGTCTCAGGAGAGATGGCGAATTCCAAGCATCTTGTCCTGGAGGAAACCATTTCCTAGGCACAGTCAGCCTAGGGAAATGCATGAGAAGGGCGATAAATAGTTCACGGCACTAACAGCATTGAACACAGCACTTCTTTCACATCGTGAATACAATAAGACAATTGAAAAAATGACCAATTTATGCAGTGATCGACCTTCTCTGTGGAGGAGCTAAGCCTTTCATACGTCATCACTGCTCTGGTCGCTATGGCAACGCGAGCATACAATTGGCGATTTGGCAAGTTTGGCTTATCGTATGGAAGCGAGAGATATGCCATTCGAACCGATATCAAATTGTCTTTCTTCTGGACCCTACTCGAAAAATCGATGCACTTCCCCTTTAAGGGGCCGTCCGTAAATATCGATGTTTTTTTAGAGACGATATTGGTGCGTCTGGGGGAGGGGGTTTGAGCCATGTGCGTCTTTTCGAGCATCAGAAAAATATCGATGTAAATATCTGAAGTTTCGCCGATCCCTGCACGCGGACGTCTAAATGGCTATACAAGAAATCATTAGAAATGTGAAACCAGCTTCCGTTCGCGGAGCTAAAACTCGCAACACAAGAAAAAATCAAAAATTGGAAGCTGTACGCCCATGGCGAATTTCAAGAGCAAAAGAATGAGCTATTGATTGTGGAAATCGGCCGAACGATGCCTGCAGGAGACCTTCTAATGCAGCACAAGAAGGCTGCTGGCCACAAGTGTTCTCGAGGGCGACCAAAAAAGTCATAATGCTCTCCTTCTCAATTAGACCATAATATAAATACTGCAAACTTGCCATCTTAGGTTCATATTATTGACAAAAAAAGGAAAAAAAATGAGCATCCAAAAATATTGATTCCATGATCTAGATGTACAGTGCATATCGGTTATAGTGTGGTCGTATACAAGAATATACTGCCTACAAGAATGAACACTCATTTTTTCATAATCATAACACCTATTTTATGTGCAAATTTATTCTTACAAGCAGTATTATCGCATAGTAGAATATATCGGCCCTAAGAATGGATTTTGTGTAGCAAAATATGCCAGATTAGTGCAAAGTGTATCGCCTGTAGTAATAACATAATGCTCTGTGCATGCTCAATACAATAATATTCAACACAAAAAGAGAGTTATGTCCAACTGAGCATTGGAGAATCACTTTTTCTGTCCAGTCGGACTCTTTCTTCCGACTTCTCTCCTCCGCAGTCGCCTAGCATGACCGCGAGTCTGATCCATGTCACTTTTTGTGTATCATCAAGAGTACATGAAAACCTGTTGATATCATGATTGTGTAGTACGTGTCCACATATGCCAAACATGTATTATGTCACACGTGCATTATGATATGTCACACGTGATTTATCGTGTGTAAGAAATATCGGCAATAAGAATCAAATGTCGTTTTTCAAACACCCACGCTATAACCGATACCTACTGTACATGTGCGTCTTCTGGGGGGAGGGGGGGTCAAGGGAGAGAAGCACCAATATCGTCTCTAAAAAAACATCGATATTTACGGACGGCCCCTAAGTGAGCAATCAGGTCGTCCTGTGCCTTTTTCCTCGGCATAGTACTAGTACTTGGAGTAGTACTAGTAGTATTCTTTTATTTATAGTGGAGAAACCAAAACAGGCAGATGCCTAATAACAATGGACCCACTGTGTAGGGTGGAAGAGGGTGGAGACATGGCTAATGGTAAATAGTGGCGGCGAAATAGAGCAGTTCCAGCACAGCTACAGAAACATGGGCGTAAAGTTAAAAGCAGGCAAGAATGTGTTGCAAAGCGCTTGACTTGAAGGCGGCATCATCTGGTCACAGCTAACTTTCTTAGTTTGCTGTGATGTTTAGCTTCTTTTCGTCAGTACGTATAGGAAATAAAACCTCGTAAAAGACCTCGGCTTCGCTAGCGCCTCGGTCTTTTACTCAGCTTTTATTTCCTATTGACCTCGTACTCAGTCAATACTAGATACATAGTACAGGGTTATGGGCCGTTACACGCCCGATTGGTGGAGAGACTAGGGAGGTTTAGTCCCACGTAATCCGTGGGTACTTTACGTGGGTGTACCACGTGATACTCAGTGACCCACGTACAGACGTTTTATGATTCACGACATACCGTGTATGGAGGCTCACCCACGTTCCGCCAGAACGTGGGTGAAAATCGGAATGGAGCGCATTGTGCGAGCTGTGAGGGTGCTCAGCTGAAGAAGTTTCCGAAGCACGAAATCAAAATATTGGATGAGCTTCTTAGGCCGGGGTAGCTTCGTCTTTGACCAGGTTTTGGCCTTTAGCTTCATGCTTTTGTTTGTTCCGTGTGACTAAACACAACATTGCAACGTGGGTGCCCTTCATCCACTTTACGTGGATCACCCACGTACGCGTTTCCGTTACGTGGGAACTAAACCTCCCTACTAACATCCTCTCCCCTGACACACTTGTGAGGTCTGCATGCATTCGCCGCTAAGGTGAACAGGCATAGTGGTGGCCTGCGGATACGAAGGCTAGTTTGTGTGTTTCTGAACATTCAAGCGATGCCGTCGCGGATCCCGCGAATATTATTATAACCCAATACTAGGTCAAAACTAGTATTAGATAAACCTTGTTATAGTTCACGCATATTGTTACATTGACAGCATGAAACATTGTTTCATGCTGTCAATGACAGGTAGCCTAGACCTACATGTACATGTACAGTACATGCAGCAATAATATTGACAGGTGCTACCAAAAAAATGTACGTTTGTATACTATACGTATGACGTCATCTCGTCAGAAACATTCAAATTCAAAAGTAATAATTATTAGTTTTTATGTGCTCGTAATCTTGCTGACAAGTACAATATTTTAGTAGCGCTACTCGTACAGTATGTATTGTGAAGATTAGTTGTCTTTTTTTTTGTCAATTGCAGTGGGCCACTTGCATTTTGATGACTCCTTCCTTGCGCTGCACGAGAGACAATAATTATTACAAGAGCCAAAGAGCTGTTGTGTTAGTGAGTTGCTTGACTCGTAGATGTACTTTGTATGCAGCGTAGCACAGTATAGCCTGATGTAGGCTCTTCGTAAAACATTTCTATTAATTTTAATAGTGAAGTACAATAGTAGTTTCAAAACAGCAGACAATGGCTGGTCAGCAACGCCTCGATAACGCCAATCCGAACGTATTTGCGAAGACTTCTGAGCGCATAGTAACCAGCCAGGAAGAGGATGACGATACCGTTGATGAATTCGATCGGAGAGAAATATTTGGTGAGCTTTAATAGTCACTTTGCTTTACATGTGTCAGGAGGTATATATTTCCGGAAAATGCTCTTGTGTGTGTGTGTGTGTGTGTGTGCGCGCGCGTGTGTGTGTGTGTGTGTGTGTGTGCGTGTGTGTGTGCGCGCGCGCGCGCGTGTGTGTGTGTGTGTGTGATATTCCTTTTTGAATCTCTCTCCCCTCTTCGGGGGAGACTCACGTGACCAGTCATGGCAGTGAGCAAGTACAGTACAGCACAGCACAGTACAGTGTGTGCGTGCGTGTGTGCGTGCGTGTGTGTGTGTGTGTGTGTGTGTGTGTGTGTGTGTGTGTGTGTTGCAGTGGTATGTGCAGCGATTTCCAATCGATAGGTTGCGGGGACGATTATAGTCACACACGTCTTTCTTATCTTTCTCAGACTCCTCCTGACTTTTCTTTCATTCTCCTTGGTGGTTACCAACAGCCAGTGCATGCCGGAGTAAGTGGTGTGATGTGTGTGCGTGAAAAAAAAATGAAAAAGACCAAAAAGTAGGGATTCACTGGCCAGAAAAAGCCACTTCATAGCTGTGTGGTGTAGACCAGGCTGAATAGTGGCGGTCAATTCTTCAGCCTTGCAAGCTGTTGAATGGTGCAATCCCAGCACAAGTTGCTATGGCTTCTACTGTAGCATCGCTATCATCGCCTCTGGCGATGGGCGTCCAATGGTCCGATGGTGTGTGTGCATATCCAGTGCATTTACAGATTTGCATGCTTCTCTTGCGACGGGTATACATAGTACATGGTACGTGGTAGGGGCTTCGGAAGGTATTCGACATTGGTGCGGCCATGAATGGGTGGAGGATCCGTAGGTCCTCAACCGGGAAAGGTTAAGCGAAATTGGGCCCGAATAGCCCCTATTTCATTGCTTCAAAAGTCACAAGATGAAATTATTGGTGCGGCTTTGGTCGCACCTGCCGCACCGGTTCCGACGCCCCTGCATGGTGTGTGTGTGTGTGTGGTGTTCAGGGTTCGTATACTTTATACTTGAAGTAAACATACCTGTCAACTATGGACTGCTCCTGCCTAGATTAACTCTGGTCACGCGGATGTGCGAACTTTACTTCTTTTTTTTTAAGTTTACAATTATGCAATATATAGATGGCTCTCCATCCGAGTCCATAAGTTTACAAGTTATCCGTTTTGCAATTTCAAAATTGGACTTCACGGAGAATTTCAAAGTATTAGGAAATTAGAGGCCACATGCCACGTACTGCTCTTTTCTCTCCGAAACTCCACACTTGCAAGCCAGATATGAAAGAAAGAAAAAATCATCTATAATAGTTATCCGTTTTGTCCAACACTAAACATTTGTACGAATAAGCGGCGCGGAGACAATAACTTTATTATGGCAATCAGCAGAATCAGCGAAACGGACATTGGATGTATTACGACAAATATTCGTATACTTCGAGAGGAGATACTCTGCACCTCAGGTAGAATGCCTGAACACAGCTATCAGGAAGCGCTTTATTTGTCGTAATACGTCCAATGTCCGCTTCGCTGATTCTGCTGATTGCCATGCCAACGATTATAAGCAGGATAATGGAGAGTCAGGATGTGCAACAATTAGCACAAAAATGACTGATGTGATACTGACATTCAACGACCTGATGCTTAGCTGCATCCAAGTTGGAAGGCTGTTGGTTTGCGCATTCCAGACATATAATCGTTAGTGTTGGACAAAACGGATAACGTTTAAACTTATGGTCCTCTCTTTTTTGATTTTAATCCTTGGCTTTCCATGTGAGTTTCCTGTACTTTAATCCACTCTGATTTAGCCACCCACACTAGTACCAAGTATTACTTCCACTGGGGGCAGTGGTCTGATTTAGCCACCCACACTAGTACCAAGTATTACTTCCACTGGGGGCAGTGGTCTGATTTAGCCACCCACACTAGTACCAAGTATTACTTCCACTGGGGGCAGTGGTCTGATTTAGCCACCCACACTAGTACCAAGTATTACTTCCACTGGGGGCAGTGGTCTGATTTAGCCACCCACACTAGTACCAAGTATTACTTCCACTGGGGGCAGTGGTCTGATTTAGCCACCCACACTAGTACCAAGTATTACTTCCACTGGGGGCAGTGGTCTGATTTAGCCACCCACACTAGTACCAAGTATTACTTCCACTGGGGGCAGTGGTCTGATTTAGCCACCCACACTAGTACCAAGTATTACTTCCACTGGGGGCAGTGGTCTGATTTAGCCACCCACACTAGTACCAAGTATTACTTCCACTGGGGGCAGTGGTCTGATTTAGCCACCCACACTAGTACCAAGTATTACTTCCACTGGGGGCAGTGGTCTGATTTAGCCACCCACACTAGTACCAAGTATTACTTCCACTGGGGGCAGTGGCAACTGTATTTGGATCCCGGGACAGATACCCTGATGCTGTCAATCCTTTTCTGAAACTTTTCTGCACCCTCTTACTGAGGTGTGCCGAGCCCATGAATGGCATTTCTAAGTTCACCTAGAGTTTTGAGGATTTCAGGGGTGTCGGCCGTTGGGCGGTTCAATAGCCAATTGAGTCGTGTTTCCAAGATTCCTTCTGAGTCTCTCTCCCCTCTCCCAGGGAGACCCACGTGACCAATTTTGGCACTGGGTACAAGTGTGTGTGTGTGTGTGTGTGTGTGTGTGTGTGTGTGTGTGTGTGTGTGTGTGTGTGTGTGTGTATGTATGTTTGTGTGGGAGTGGCGACGAAAAAAACAACACTTCAAAAAGCTGTGAGGTGTAGACCAGGCTGAATAGTGACGGTCAGTTCATCAGCCTTGCAAGCTGTTGACTGGTGCAATCCCAGCACAGGTTGCTATGGCTTCTGTTGTAGCATTACTATCATCGGGACGAAGTGTGTGGTATATGGGTGAAGAACAACAGCCATGGGTTCTAGCTTAGGTGGGCCGCGATCTGCCGCTGTCCACACCCCAGCAGTAATTTAGATCCTAAGGATTCCTGGAGAGTGGCCCCTCCCACAAACTTGTATACAGAGTACGGCTGTTTGTGAGGAAGATGTGTCACCATGTTTGTCCTTCTAGACCTTATCCGTGGGATAAACGATCCGGAACATCCATTCTCGTTAGAAGAGCTCAATGTTCTGCGAGAGTCTCATGTCGAAGTGGATAACACTCGCAACTGCATCAAGGTAATCAAGTAGCGGAACACATGATCTTACTTACCGGGAAGCTTAGTTATTTATTTAAAAAATTAAACGGAGAGGTTTCAGGCTGTCCAAGAGAGTGCTCAATACCGAGAGGCAGAGCTGGTTCAAACAATAAGAGGGCAGAGAAAGTGTTTTAACTCCGAGTTTCACGCACTAAGCGATCATCAGAAAACAGTTAAAAGATATTGAGTAATCAGCGTGGGGACAATAATTTGAAAAAGGCTATGAACAGTATCAACTGCACACTCATGACTGTAGTATATACACACATGACTATAGTATAATATTATACTGATGACTAGGACTAATACACAATCTGCGTAGTATATACACACACATGTAAGCATAATGAAAGTGTACTCTTTTTCTGTGTCTCAGTGCTGAGTTGAAAGTGTCCATGAGTGTCGTTTTACATCACTTGATTTTGATATAATGTTGCTGGATGATTGCATTGTAATGAGCATGAAACAGAGTTGCAACGAATTAGCTTTGTTCCACTGTTATACTGTGTTGTAACGGGTCACTTGATTACATATGGCTGCATGTAGCCAACGAGCTTCCAGAGGCATGATTTGATGACGAAAACTTCAGAGATTCCTCTTTTTGCTACAGTTTGATACCGTATGTCAGCGCCTTTAAAGCCATGGCCTTATGGTCGAAACACCGCTGCTTTCCTAGCTATTTTAGATGCAAAATGATTCACCCAATACACCATGCCATAAAAGTTAAAGTCAACTTGTTCACCCTTCCTGCTGGGCTGTAAGTTTGTTAGTATAGTACGGTACTTATTCCTTCATTTTTACAAAACATACTTCAAATTTCATTTCATTTATGAAGCCCATGGCTTTATAACTGAGACTGGCTTTATAATCGAATATACCTCCATGGCTTTAAAGGTGCGGACATACGGTAATAGAGAGGTTCTGGGGTACGATTTTCCGTGCCAAAGTCCGTATGGGCGCTACGGATTTTTCAAGGCGTGCTTCATACGATTTTTCGGCACGTTGAATCCGTGTGGACTCGCTTTCATACAAACCATGTATGGAGATTTTGCGTCATCGAGTGCAGAAAGATTTTCCGCGTACAAATTTGGTACGAGAAACATCGATTTTCCGCGGGAAGTTTTGATTTCGGTACAGTTTTTCAAACTAAAAAGGCATAGCGCGGGAATACGACGTGTTTGCTATCGTAACCTAGGCAATGACGGCAAACACATAGGTTCCGTACTCCGGAACATTTCCCTGCTCGAAAACGACGTATAAAAATCCGTAACGCCTCTACGGATTTTGACACAGAAAATCGTACTCCGGAACCTCTCTAATATCTTTAGACTGTAGGTCAGGCCCGGAACGAACTACCACACTGCACTGCAGTCGAATCCCATACGATTTCCCCCATCACCATAATAACATGGATAATTCCATTGAGGTACTTGTATTGGTACACAACAATGTAGGCACAGTGCCTTGGTCCGTCTTGTGATCTCAAAAGGATAATCCCATATCTACGTGGATATCTTTTGTGTGTGTTTGCGTGTACATGTGTGCATACATGTTTCTTAGGTGGTTTTCACGCCGACAATTCCCCATTGCAGCATGGCCACGTTGATAGGACTGTCAATTCGTGTCAAGCTTTTGCGGGCCCTCCCACCGCGATTTAAGGTAACAGAGTGCTATAAGTGGAAGCGAAAGTACGTAACTCTGCTGCCAGTCTGTTAGAATGTGCACCAGCTGCAAGCACTTGCATTTGCTCTGTCTCCTCTACCCTCTCTTGGCAAATTGCGTTAAGAACTTTCATGGACAATGCTTCACAGCATACCATCATACCAAGGCTTACTCTCATGTTTGGTGCTCAGTTGTAGCCGCCAGAACGAGTACCTGGCTCGGCTGGTTGCGCTTCAGGCGCATGGTGGCAGCCTCCACCATACCTGTGCCATAGCTAGCATATACTGCCTTGTTGGTGGGGTCAGAGATGGTGGACCCCCTAGAGTATGCTAAGCGGTGGCGGGACAATGTTGTGTCCGGCATGAAGGACCGCCAGATAGTAGACTGGCACGACCTCGCCCAGGATCACAGAGAGTGAAGAACAGCACGCAGTACCATTCCTCCTACCGAGCCTGTCACCTTAGATGTCGTTTGCAGTTGTGGAAAGAGTTATCGCCGCCGCCAGGACTTGACTTGCCACGCCCGATTCTGCTCGTGACTTGAACACTACCTTCGGGACCTGCTATTAGAGAGGTTCCGCATAACGCAATTACGTTAGTAAAAAACGTAGTCGATCTACGGAAAGTCTTACGTAAACTGCATGCGCATCTGGGTTCCGCCATACGGAGTTTTCAAATCACGTAGCTGCCCTTGGCAACTCCGAATGCAGTAGTGTCCGACCAGATCGACCTGGGGAGAGAGTCATAAATTTGTACCCAATCCACTTGCGGACCAGCTACGTTATCAGAGCCCTATCTACGTACTCTCTGTAGACAACTTTCCGTAAGTGGAGTGCAAACTCGCGAATTCACGGGTTTTTCCCGCCCTCTAACGTAAAGTTGCTAAACTTTACGTAGTGCGGAACCTCTCTATTATCTCCGGATGGGCATATTGTATTGTAGTGTGTGTGTGTGTGTGTGCGTGTGTGTGTGTGCGTGTGTGTGTGTGTGCACGTGTGTGTGCACGTGCGTGTGTGTGTGTGTGTGTGTGTGCACGTGTGTGTGTGTGTGTGTGTGTGTGTTCGTGCGTGTCTGTGTATCATGCATATGCAGGTGTTGGAAACTTGGGTGATTAGAATTTCGCTTGCTGCAACTTAAGTTTCTCTCTCTCCTGCTGTGTATATGTTTGTTGGCAGGTGGATATTAGCATTGAGCCTGGAACACATGCATCTGAGCTTGCAGGTAAGCACGTTACTGTAAGACATGTAATGTAACGAGGATGTAAATATAACGTTTTAACTAGTGACATTTCTGTTGAGGCTGTAATGCCCCATATGTGTTTTGTGCGGACATGCCTGAAGACTGCAAGATCGCTAATGTATCTTCTCGTTAACCTATGAATTTGGGACGATCGTTAAATTTGCTACTCGTTATAACGTTAATAACAATCATGTCTTACAGTACACAAAAGATTGCCGGGATCAAGACCAAAGTGCTCAATGCATGTACAGTGTTGCTCAATGAAATCCGATCGTGCAAATCAGTTTTGTGCCTTGTACCAGCTCACATCCCAGTGTTTCCAGTTCTAGGGCTGCGCAGCACCCGGTGTGGCATTGACTCGCTCGACTGGATTTCATTGAGCAGCACTCTAGTAACTAATCAGCACTGCAGAGCCTCGGCAGACAAAGGAAACAGATCAAGTCTTGCATCAGGCAATTGCCCAGTCCACAGGACGAGCGAATCAACCCCCTTTGCACACATTCACATATATCCACAACACACACACACACACACACACACACACACACACACACACACACACACACACACACACACACACACACACACACACACACACACACACTTACTTGTACTTGTTGCTCACTGCCAAAACTGGTCACGTGGGTCTCCCCGGGAGAGGGGAGAGAGACTCAAAAGGAATCTTGGAAAGATGGCTCAATTGGCTATTGAACCGCCCAACGGCCGACACCCCCTGAAATCCCCAAAACTCTGGGTGGACTTGAAAATGATCCCACTTATGGGCTCACCACACCTCAGTAAGTGGGTGAGGACAAGGTGCAGAAAAAGGATTGACAGCATCAGGGTATCCGTCCCGGGGTCCAACTGCAGTTACCCCTGCCCCCCAGTGAAGGTAATACTTGCTACTAGTGTGGGTGGCTAAATCAAAGTGAATCTGATATAAGCGTCACTAGCACCATTGATTACACAAGAGTTAATCTAGCCAGAAGCAGTCGAAATAGAGATACTAGATCATCGTGAATGATTTAATGTCTCTTTTTCTTTTAGTGATTGGTGTAGCCCAGATACCGTTTGGAGAGTGTCGTGAAGATGTATGGATATAGTGGATGGCTGCGATGGAGTCTTCGCATTTTGAGAAATGTGGTATAATAATTATATCTGATTCGCTTACTGAATGTACTTGGTTCATGTCTGTACATATCAATTTTCACGGTTGTTGCTGTTACGTGCAGTGAACAAGCAACTTGGTGACAAGGAGCGGGTGGCAGCGGCCCTGGAGAACAATCATCTTCTGGATGTAGTCAACCAATGCCTAGCAGGAAAGGAAGCTAGTTGATTTCTCGCTCCATGACATAGCCTTGAGTTCTATAATCATGATACCTTCACACAGTTTAGCTAACATGTACATTGCCTGATTTTAGATGACTCTTGCTGGACAAATCATCTCCAATGAAGATTTTCATACATTGTCATACTCTCACTCCATTCACAACAGCCATTGCTTTTCTGTTCGCATGTCCACGGTAGACTTATTAGCCATTCACGTCAGTATCAAAAACTATCAATGCCACAATACATACTGAGCAAAAGTGTTTGCCCAAGCCATGTTACCTAGAGATCAGCAAGAAAAGCAGTAACAATATCCACAGCCTAAAGCCTGATTCATACTTCATTTCGTGTACGGAAAAAAAGTTTACTTGAGTTCACCTTGTTTGGCCCATCACGCGACCATCATCACACTCTTTAGACCCAAGCTGTGTTCGTTTTGTTTCTCGAACGCTGATCTCTAACCATTTCTGTAGATCATCGATGCAAAGTCAGTGTACTACGCATGTTTGCAACATTCATGATAGGATTCATAATTTTGAGGGAAACAGCTGCATACATGTACAGACAGATGCCGATGTGAGTTTGATGATGATTTAGAGCATTTGCTTAGATTTTCTTTCGATTCCATTGATCAACAAGAATCTGTGGAGGGGGGGGGGGGGCGAAAATGTACAAGAGCCTAGTGGTTGGGTGTCATGAAGATGTACAGTGAGCTCTTACGTAAATGCCTAAATGGCTATCTAGCTCCACAGCAAGCTAAAAGTAATATGCTACTTACTAGCAGATGCAGTAGTTTCCCAAGATATCAGTGCGTAACCAGAAGCAGGCACACACAGAGCCAGTAGCACTATCGTCGAGCACAGGAGGGGTGAAGCAGGGAGGGATTATATACACGATCATTAGTATAAAAATGGAGATAGGCCTCGGTAGACGAGAGGAATATCATCTACCTGTTCCACCAGAAGAGCAGAAGCAAACCAATTGAGAGAAGAGCACGGGCGCGGCCCAGGGCGACTGACATATGAATAAGGCGAAAATAGTTCAAAAAATTATAAACACACATCTACACGTGGCTGCATATAGGTGTAAAACAGTAAAACAGTGCGGGTACAGGAACAGCCTAGGGTAGTAGGTGCAACGCCGGAGCCAATGTGGTCGACGGAGTGTGATAACCATTGATGGGGCGGTGTGCGACAGCCATTGACCATGCGGAGTGTGACAATCATTGATGTGGTGCTACAAAACCAGTTCTGTATATCCAACATGGTAGCAGGGTGCGCCAAAGAAGTAGATTCAGTAGATAGAGCAGATATCATGATGTAGAGAAGCAGTGGGAGCGGTTACGCTGACGCCAGACTCCCGCTGGCACTGGCACTTGCACTGGATGGCGTGTCCTTTTCCAGCGATTCCAACATTCCTGTCCACAAGTCCAGAGACTGGAGGCACAGCAAAGAATAACACAATGTGACATGTTAAGATAAAATAAAATAAATAGGTCAGATTGTTAGAGCATTGCTCATGACAAGCAAGGTCCTGGGTTCGAGTCCTGGTGGGGCTAGCATTTTTTTTCTCTTTTCAGGCTGTTCACTTCCCTGACTGATCCTTTGAATTTTGAAGTTCTTCCAATCCTACAAAATTCTGAAGTAATCTGTTAAAAACAGCTCCGTAAAAGGAAGAAAAGTCTCGGTTTGGAGTAACGGTTAGAGAAATAATTTGCGAGATGAAAGGAACATTCTTATAGGAGACACTGTACAGGGATGAATTTATTGTCATATTTTTGCATAGCAGTTTCTCCGATACAAAATCACAATTGTGTAGCAGTCTTTGATTTTGATTAGCATTTTTCTTTGAAGGTCGGGTGTTTACCACATTGCCCTTCTTGGGAGTGATGCCTGAAAGCCCATTTGGAAAAAAAACCGACTGAATCATACATGTGCACGCAGATTGAGAATGCCTGCACCACATACGCTGCATGTTACTTGACAGCACAGGCTACACTTATAGGCATGGATAGTCTGTATGTATCGCAGTTTTCTGCGAGTCATGGTGACTTTTGAGTAGCAGTAGGTCGATTTTGCATCGCAGTTTTGATACAGGATAAATTCATCCCTGCTGTATCATCTCATAAAAAAATGGAAGAGTGCGCTCTTTTCGCACTACTTATTCGGGTCTGTTCATGTCCATGGTCAAGCTTGAGCCGTCAAGTATTCGAGAGAGCGCCTGTTCTTGCGTACAAGTACTGATTACTCAGATTCTCATGATGGTCATTACTAGTTTTCATTTCAAATCTTTCCCAACACAACCCAACTTGAAACTAGTAGCGAGTGATCTCACACACCCCAAAAAATGAACGACGGCAATAAAACGGAGTCAAAACAGAACACAAAAAACGCAACGGGAAAACCATGCCATACATGTGCAGCGTCTGCGAGCATAGCAGCATAGCAGAGCATAGCAGAGCATAGCAGAGCATAGCAGAGCATAGCAGAGCATAGCAGAGCATAGCAGAGCATAGCAGAGCATAGCAGAGCATAGCAGAGCATAGCAGAGCATAGCAGAGCATAGCAGAGCATAGCAGAGCAGCATACTGTAAGACATGTATATATAACGAGGAAGCAAATCTAACGTTTTAACGGATGACATTTCTTCGTTATAATAAGATCCGTTGAGGCCGTACTGCTTCATATATGCTGTGTGTGGATATGGCAGAATACTGCAAGATCGTTAACATATCTTCTCGTTAACCTATGAATTTTGGACAATCGTTAAATTTGCGACTCATTATAATAACATGTCTTACAGTAGCAGAAGTGAACTACCAGACAAGTGTGCTTTTATGAACCCTCTGGTACTGACTATCGACTGAATTTTCATTGAATGGTTTAAACAATCGACAGATGAGTGTGTGGGGGGGGGGGCACTTTTTCACAGGAGGGCGCTCAATCAGAGTAGGGGTGCTGCACCCCCTACCCCCCCCCCCCCCCTTTGGCTAGAGCACTGAGGTCTAATGCCTATAATACACGACATGTCTAGACGTTGACAACCATATTTCCACTAGAACTCCAACTTGCATACCCAGGTCTTTGCCAGGAAAGTAGTAATATCTACGAATGATACTGAATTGAATGTGTCCCACCACCACATGCGTCCCATGATACTGAACTGGCGCATAAATATCACAGACTCGCGTATCAAGTGCGCAAGATTGGAAACAAGATCGCTGTGTTCAGGAAGATACGACACCAACTCACGGAGCACGCCAAGAAAACATTCTACATATCGTCCATCCAATTAGTTCTCGAGTACGGGTCGAATGCGTTTGCTCACTGCCTTCGTGAGGGTCAATATGAGCGCCTGGTTCGCTTGAGTAGACGTGCCTTGCGCACGGTGTTCAACCTCACTCGCGTCAACAGCATCAGTGCACTACAAAAACGCAACCATTTACTCCAACTCGCCGCTCGGTATCAGCTCAGACTTTTTGTTCTTATTTTCCGTTCACTAAAGATCTCGCAAGCCCCCTACTCTCTAGTTGTTTTTCGTTGCGCAGTGCATCATCACATACAAACTCCTGTACACGCTCTCAAGTTTCTGCAGCCCTTGCACTCCCCCCTGCTTCAAATCAGTATGGTCTTTTTCTCTTAGTTTTCTAGGCTCAGATCATTGGAACTGTCTACCTGCTGACATTCGCCTATGCACATCTGTTTCTCGCTTCCGTAACCTTGTATTGGCACATTTAGGGTACCCTGCATAGAAGGCCATAGGCCTGTGGGGATTGCCCTATCAAAAATTTAATATTATTATTATTATTACGAAGTAGTGGTTGCAAACCTTTCTATTATTATTATTATTATTATTATTATAGGCTTTTCCGCGTTGGCATCGCCAAGCAAGCTTGGCTAGCCTTCGCATAAGCTGCTCCATAATGATGAGATGAAACAATGAATGCATGTACAGTGCGTATCGGTTATAGTGTGGTCGTATACAAGAATATACTGCTTACAAGAATGAACACTCATTTTTTCATAATCAATTAATCATAACACATATTTTATGTGTATATTTATTCTTACAAGCAGTATTATCGCATAGTAGAATATATCGGCCCTAAGAATGGATTTTGTGTAGCAAAATATGCCAGATTAGTGCAAAGTGTATCGCCTGTAGTAATAACATCTGTGCTCTGTGCATACTCAATACAATAATAATATTCAACACAAAAAGAGAGTTATGTCCAAGGGAGCATTGGAGAATCACTTTTTCTGTCCAGTCGGACTCTTTCCTCCGACTTCTCTCGTATCCGCTGCTCCGCAGTCGCCTAGCACGACCGCGAGTCTGATTGATCCGTGTGTATCATGTGTACGTGTCCACATGCCAAACGTGCGCGCATATGATAATGTCACAAGTGATTTATCGTGTGTAAGAAATATCGGCAATAAGAATCAAATGTCGTTTTTCAAACACCCACGCTATAACCGATACCTACTGTATATACGATCTAGGACAGAACCAAGGTTGAGGAAATTTTTGAAGAAAGCTGCAAGTTGTGTTGAGGAACACAACGTTGCAAACTCTATGAAAGTAAACTGCAAGAAATGTTTTGGGGAAAATTTAATAATAATAATACCTGGTTCGAGTCCAGGTGGTGACAGTCAGTTTTTTCTTCAGACTTTTCCCGTTTGTCTCTTTCCCTCTAACTAGTGAAGAACATAATAATAATAAAGTACTATAGTAGGTCCAAGAACTACCCGTCTGCTTCTGTGGTACGCCACCACCCCATGATCAGGCATCAGATACAGCTCCCAAACGACGGGGGAGGGGGAGGAAATATCATCGGATCCACCAACCTAAGGCTAAATGAATGGTGCAGCCTAATGTACAAATAGTGGTGTCTTGTATAAAGGATTGTCATGTATAAGTCTGATTTTCACAAGATGCTATGGCAGCACAGCAGCCTGGTTGTATATTGTTGACATACATAGAAATACCTCGTTCGAATAGAAGCCTAGCAATGACATTGGCTTCCACAGGAATAAACCCGGCTTTTATAGGCAACATTACAGTATGTACACATAGCTACTGTAGTTACAGAAAAAATAATTTGTACTTTAAGTAGCTCTTTGCTCCAAAGCCAACACATGCAAGTTCGCCTGCGCTTACCTTTTGCAAATGTGAGATGTGTACATCTGCCACATTGACAAATGTTTCCGCCAGGTCCGACTTCTTGACCTTTTCCCAGCGCGTCATGTCAGCACGCAAGTGTTCGTTGCTGACCTCCATGTCATCATTGGTGCGCTCTGATGCCTTTTGTGCCTGTCAATCAGTCAATGCATAACCAGGAGAGAAACACGGGTTGCAGCGCGTCGCATCACAAACATCATGCTCCGACAAGCACGGCCAGAAGATGCCACTGGCCTATGCACCATGCTTACATTGCTATGGGATGTTAAATATTTGTTCAAGTTATAACTACTGCACAGTCTGGAACCATTTGAACAACAAACTGCTCTCCTGCCAAAATAAAAGTGTTAAACCGGAAAATGTCTACAAGAAGGGACTACTGGAAAAGATTGAGTCCCTCATCAGAAGAATGCGCCGGAAAGCATTTTTCTACTTAAACCCACAAGAAAAAGCAGAGGACGGAGACAACTACTATGGGTTTAAAAGCAAGATTACGCCGCCAAGGATAGCCAAAAGAGCGCAATCTACTGGCACAGATTATCAGACCTACCATTGAAATCCCTCCATATTTCAACCCAATGTAGACTATTTACTTGGTTTTTTCCTACTGTGAGTGTCATTATGAAGTTGTCTGATGAGAGCTTTAGCACGAAACTCGGAGTAACAACGAAGTTCTCGGCTATCCGTCGCTTGATGACTTCAGTGTTAAACAATATGTACATGGGCTGATGCCAGGTAAGTAGAGCTTAGATAGACAGGACCTACTTCGAAGGGAGTCAGGGCCACGCCCCTGCTACATGTACCAGGTTGCTTGGGATGATAAAAACAAAAAACAACAATAAATGGTCGCTATTGAACGGTTTCCTCGTTTTCTTACCGCTTCTAGCGCTGTTTGTGCTTGTTCAATTTTCTCTTGTTTGAGTTTCGTTGGGTCACTGAAAAACGACATCAGTGACTTGCTCATGTCGGCAGACTCCGCCTGCACGCACAAGTGCACAACACAATCATGAGAGGGTTAGACAATAGAGATACACACCGGCAGAAGGAAGAGCGGCAGAATTTTCACAGGGAGGAATTTCAGAGAACACACCAAATATTACAAACGCGTCTTATCCGGACCTATCCGGCACATCTCTCTACCGTGCACCTTCAGCTCAGCGTAGCATGACAGTGAAATGCATTGTTCTGGCGGTAAACACACAGGTGCAGCTGCAGGGAAATCTTCTCATATTGAAGTCTTGAATGCACATTGTGCGTACCTGTTTCATGCTGATGCATACATATAGTGCAATGTCAACAGTCCTGCACATGTCTATAGATAAACGATATGTTTACATGATCATAAAATAATATACTGGTGCAGGGGATGGTTTAAGATGTAGGGAAAATCGAACTACGAGCAGTGCACAGTCTTCATGTGCCCGTGAAAGAGATGTTCGAGAGTACCCACAAACAAACAATTATGATACCTAGTCCCTGGACAGCTAGCTGTTCTGACCTTGTTATGTATACCCAGTGTGTAGCAGTGCCATACACGTGCTGCATCACAGAATACTATACCTCATCTAAAGCCACCTGTCGACTCTGCAATTCTTCCACTGCCATGTCATGGTCCATCTGCGAGACTTCTCGGCGCTTCAGCACTTCCTGCAAAGAGTGCACAAGGAGGTCAGGTGGACACCCTTTGCTATTGCCCGTACATGTACATCAATATTGTGTTGGAAATTCTACTGTCCAAGCATCCTATCATAATGTTCAAAGCAAAACAGGTTCATGGCGGATAAAGGCAAGGGATACCTGTGCCTCTCTCTCTCTCTCTCTCTCTGTTCAATTATCAGGTTGGACCTGGCACTCCTCTCCCTCCCATGAAAACCCCAGGGCCTGTAGAGTTTAGGGAGCTGGGTCAAATGGTCTTAGTCCAAGGAGACCGTGTATTCATAAGATAGTCCCAATCGCAGCGTCATCAACAATGACCATTCGATGACTCAAAGACTAAATCTTCTCAAAACTTCAATTTGGCCAGATTTCCTTTAGTCCCGTGTAGTGTTCAAACTTTTTGCATGCATGCCTGCCTTGCTTATTCCAATGCCATCAGCTCTGAAGATGAACTCACACAAAGTATGCAGCACACTTGAATACCTTCGCAGCTCAAATATAGCTACTTCCTAAATTTTCAGAACATACCTGGGGTACCGAGTCGAATGATCTAGGTCCAAGACCATTGCAAAACATTTCCCCCAATCAAACGGGCTCTAAAATCGGCGCAACTAAATAGCCTCCTCAGACTAAGGCCAATCGAGTCCAAGCCCTGGACCCAGAAGTTTCATATTTTGGGTAAAATCCCCTTTAAAAGTGACAAACAGTGCCGTTTGCCACTTTGTCCCCTCGACACCTCTCTCGGTTTGTCCTTTGCGGACCCCAAGGTCTGGTTTCCTCTCATGCTCATCAACACCGGGAGAGAGACCAATGCAGGAGAGAGAGAGAGAGAGAGAGAGAGAGAGAGAGAAAAAGAGAAAGAGAGAAAAAGAAAGAGAGAGAGAGAGAGAGAGAGAGAAAAAGAAAGAGAGAGAGAGAGAGAAGAAAGAGTGCACTACAGTCACACGTTCTGGGCGAGGAGAATCTTACCTGTGCACTTTCACAGTATTGCAAATACTCATGGAATGGTGAAAACTCAGAAGACAGTTCTTGGCACTGGTCAGAAAAAAGATGCATTGCCAAAACACACAAACACACAGACAGAAGTTCATTCTAACACACTTCTCAATCAACTGAACTTCATCACTAAAAAAAATGTTCCTATGTACTAGTGGTCCAAACACATCACTAAACACAGGACAACATCTACAGGCACGGCCAGTGACATCTGCACTTGCGTACACTTCAGAGCCACAAATCATTGTTGCAGATGACATAGTGTATGTGTGCTGTGCTGAGAGACGAGAGACGAGAGAGAGAGAGAGAGAGAGAGAGAGAGAGAGAGAGAGAGAGAGAGAGAGAGAGAGAGAGACACACACACACACACACACGCAACGTCAACGCTAAGTGGCCATCCGCGCTGCAAGTGCAAATCAGTCCGGATTCAAATTTTATATCAAGTTCACACTGGATGGATGCACAAGATCACAAATGTGGATTAATGTTGGCTTGCACGTGGGTTAAATACATTTTGACTTCCCAGAACAGGCACTTACCATTTTATCTGTGATTTCACTGTTGCCTTGGAAGCAGGCAGCTAGTTCAGACAACATCTTGCCATCCTCCTTTTCAAGACCAGACCATTGTTGGCACACCTGAGACAATGAATACAGTTCTACCTTCAATTCTGGAAGAAAAAAGAGAGCAGAAAAACCCATATCCATTAACAAATTGGACCAGATCAGTACAAGACCAAGGGTACCAAGACCAGGGATACTGTGCATGTCCAGTACTGCTCAACGAAACTCGATCTCATGAAGAAGTTAGCACCCGGAACCAGTGCACAACCCAGTATTCACAGGTCGAGGGCTGCAAATCGCCCAGCATAAATTTGACTTGCGATTGGAGTTTGTTGAGCAGTACTGTAATGCCAACTCAGCCGTGCATACATGTACAGGTACTAGTCGTTTTGCTCCGTGCACTGGCAGCACTTCACTGAATGCCAGTGGCCAGCTGAACATCCCGCACCCAAGTCGCAAGTCAGCTAGCTGTGCAAGCAATTTGGCAAGAACATGGCAGTGAACACACACCTGACATCATAGCTATGCTCTCTCAGCTGCGAGGGTGAGGCCAGGCATGTGTTGACCGCGACTTTCTGAATAGAGGAAGCTGCAGTGGAGTCTTATCCCATTCTTCTAATCAAGCAAATTGCCAGGAATTGTCCACCACCAACCGATGAGCTTACTACATACCTTGACCATCCTGCAATGCAGCCAGCGCAGAGGACTCAATACCAGCCAAATGCTTGCCCAATGTGGAAAAGTACTGCTGCAGGGCAACAAACTCAGGATCGGGCTTCTTTAACAGGACCGCAGTTGCTGCCTGCACCACTGTTGACTGAACTTTGCTGAGTAATCCTGCACCCTGATTCTTTATTGCCTGAAAGTCCTGAAAAAATGAGAGGACACAAACAAAAAAGAAATCACAAATAAATGATTCAAAGAAGAAGAAACTTAGATCCTGTTCCACAGCTTGGCTTTACTACTATCAACTTGGTTGAACCCACCTCACAAATTCAGTACATGTGCTGTGCCGTGAACGCAGAACCAAAGAATACACCCAAATATGCACATACATGTACACGCATAAGACAACCTTTCATCTCCTATGCGAGCAAACACATGTGCATGTACCCGCTCAAGCTCACTCTCACGTATACACACACATGCATACAAACACATAAGACAGCCTTTCATCTCCTTCGCGTGTAAACACAAATGAGAGAGAGAGAGAGAGAGAGAGAGAGAGAGAGAGAGAGAGAGAGAGAGAGAGAGAGAGAGAGCATGTACCAGCTGAAGTTCACACACGCGCACACACACACACACGCACACACACACACCATGTACCATGTACCATGTATACGCCCGTCACAAGAGAAGCACGCAAATCTGCAAATGCACTGGATGTGCACCCACAGATTTTCTCTTATAGCAATGATGGCGAACAAGATCTGAATGAGACAGATCAAGACTTGCGCCAGATAACTGTCTAATCAACACAACTGGCGAAGTCATGTGAATCGACCACCAATGCACACCTGGTCTACACCACACGGAGTACATCGGTATAAAACGGCCAAGACAGCTACCTATGCACACCCTACACTTGCTGGGGTAACCAGTATAGACAGCACGCTGCTTTGATAGAAGCAGACACTAGATGCACTGGTACCTTGAAGTGAAATTGGAGTTACTTTACCAACCAGCCTCGGCTACTGAGTACTGGGAACCCAGAGCCAACAGACATACCAACAACCTCAGCCATGAAAACTATCATAGTAACGACACACTGGATTGTGGAGCCGAAACTAGTCCAAACTCCAAATGCTTTCACACACACACACACACACACACACACACACACACACACACACACACACACACTTGTACTTGTACTTGTACTTGCTCACTGCCAAAACTGGTCACGTGGGTCTCCCCGGGAGAGGGGAGAGAGACTCAAAAGGAATCTTGGAAAGATGACTCAATTGGCCATTGAACCACCCAACGGCCGACACCCCCTGAAATCCCCAAACTAGGGTGGACTTGAAATGATCCCACTTATGGGCTCACCACACCTCAGTAAGTGGGTGAGGACAAGGTGCAGAAAAAGGATTGACGGCATCAGGGTATCCGTCCCGGGATCCAACTGCAGGTACCCCTGCCCCCAGTGAAGGTAATACTTGGTACTAGTGTGGGTGGCTAAATCAGAGTGGATCTGATAAAAGCTTCACTAGCACCATTGATTACACAAGAGTTTGTCTAGCCAGAAGTAGTCCATGGTTAACAGGAATGTATACTTCAAATAGAAAGTATATGAACCCTGAAACCAACAAAGGTGGTAGGTACAACAATACACCTTCAAGCAGCCGAGCCCGTTGGCAACATGCCCAACACTATCTGGCATAAGTGTACCCACCAACCGAACTAGCTGGCACACACACACACACACACACACACACACACACACACACACACACACACACACACACACACACATTATACACACACACACCCTTTTCTTCCTTTCTTTATTTTTTTATTTTTAACCTTTTGATGCCCATTGCCGGAGACGATGATAGCTATGCTATAGCAGAAGCCATAGCAACTTATGCTCGGATTGCACCATTCAACAGCTTGCAAAGCCGAAGAATTGACTGCCACTCTCCAGTCAGGTCCACACCGCAGAGCTATGAAGTGGATTTTGGTCGTTTTCCGTTTTTCCCCGCACACACATCACACCACAAGACTCCGTCCGGCATGCACTGGTTGTTGGTAATCACCCAAGAGAAAAACAGAAAAGTCTCGAGAAAGAGAAGAAAGACGTGTGTGACTGTAATCGTCCGGAATTGAACCCGCAACCTCTCTATGGGAAATCACGGCACCATATCCACACGCCTTCCCCCCCCCCCCCCCCAACACACACACACACACGTACAACTCATCCACCCACGCACGCACGCGTAAGCAAGCAAGCAAGCGTCTAGGTGGCCATGAAGTCGAGACCCTAGGTCGGCGGAGCTCCCTAAACGTCACCACCACGGCCACGATTCATGTTGTGTGTACTTCCCCAGCTGCAGCTCATGTTTGGCCTTTATTAAAGTGGGCTTTGTAAAAAAGAAAAAAACAGAAGAAGCAAGCACATACAGACGCACCCGCACAAACGCACATACACACAAGATGCACGCAGCATATATCGATGAAAAACCCCTAACGACATTCACAAATCTGTGCACTCACCTGATCAGACGCAATGAGGAATGTATTGAGCGTTCTGTCAAACGACATTGTTGGATGGTCAGTGCATCGACCTAAGAATTTCTGCAGTGCTGCACGGCGTCGTTCCAGGAAGTCTTCCGTGAAGTGATCGTTCTGTACCAGCCTCGACAAACTGTGCTTTTCTGGCAGGGGCTGCAGCAAAGAAGCACAGGCGTACCGGTACTCAATCGATCACGGCCGTGGATTGCAAAACTCCACTGGTTAAATGCAGTTAGGAAAGGCACCCTTCAATACGCAGTTCTGCTTTAGTTTGGCCCATGCATCCTATAATAGATGGCATGAAAGTCTCTCCAGAGATACATGCAAGGAGATTTTGAAACATAACAATACAGTACTTGGAGAAACAGTCATACTATACAACAAATACACAGAAAGGATGGCTTTGCTGAAATGAATGTCATCAAAAGCACTCCTCATACATCTGGGTTGATTACAGTACGTACTGGTACGATGTGTGTCCTATATGTCAAGGCCAACTGCTCCCGCAGCCAAATGAAGTCTTGATAGCGACGACGGACACTGTACTCGGTCTTGTCAAAAGTCTGCCGCGTCGTCTACAGCAAAGAATACCACCCCATAACAATGACAACAACAACAGCAGCAGCAGCAGCACCACCACCACCAACATCAAATTAGTAAGCCCAACCAAAAATGCATATTTAGAGAGATCGTTCAGTACTACCGTCAAGTACCGCCAGAGCGCCCCGTCTCGCCAGAGCGCCCCACCTTGATTTTACAGCCAAGGGAAGAAAATTGTATGGCAGAGTGCTACTAAGTTTGTACGATGTGGGAACCTTCGTGTACTAAGGTCACACTAGGTATGCTTTTATGAGGAGCTCGAAGGTAAACTGGGTACGGATTGACTGCACAATGTGCAATGTTTGTACAAGGTCCGTGTCGTATGACCTACAGACAGAAATCCACCTCCACAAGGCGGCCACGAAAGGACGAGGTGGTGGGGCGCTCTGGCGGTACTTTACGGTACTTGCAAATATTTGCAAGTATAGCTAATAATTATTAGGCATAGTTACATAACTGTATTGGAAGGCTATACTCCTAGTGGAAATTACAACTGAGCAAACGGGTGATCAACTATGAATATAAGTAGACTATCATGAACCACAGTGTAATGTTGTAGGAGGTGCGATTCGATTGAGTGCAAGCTCCAGTTTTGCTGGCAGATGTTTCTTCAGAAGTCAAGCCTTTCTGCAATATCTCTACCCCATTCACACAGACTATGCATAGCTTCACGCATTGTTAGAAAATCAGCGTGTCTACAGGCAGAGGCACTCTCAGCCATTTTAAAATACAAATGGATTGACATTGAACAAGGGAGGGCACGTTCTGTTGCGAGAAAATCACGTGCATTCATGTGAGGGCTGGGATTGTCACTCATTTCAACTATCCCAGTGTCGATACATGCAACATAGAACTAATGCTGCGATGGACAACAGAACTGACATCGTGCTTGTTACTAGTTCTGAGGAGGTACAAACTTATGTGCTCCACACGCCTGAGGAAGGTGAGAGCAACATGTGTGCAAATTGTGCTTCCAAGCAGATTGCTAAGGCGTGCGGATGTAACAACAACTTCCAACCCCAACCCCAACCCCCCCCCCCCTCCCTTCACTCAGTCCATTCGTGGTGTACTCACCCGGGTCGTGACAGCATAAGTGGCAAAGGGACCAGAGTAATTCGTAGCCGGATTGGTAACCTTGGGCTCACTTATAGTCACGATTAGATCGCGTTCATCCACCGGCGATAGTGACACATGACCGGCTGCAATAGCTGGCATGTCCACTGTCTGCTCCAGAGAGCGCTCCACTGATGCAGACAAGGTAGCTGGCTCGAGGCTGTCGGCAACTGGCGCAACCAACACAGCAGGTTCGTCCTGCCCACAGCCTTGGCGAACCTCCTAATAAAGCAATGTCAATACATGGGCAGACAGTATAATCATGTAAGGTTGGTTCACAGGTTCGACATGACGAAAGAATAGATTGATGCCAGGACTGAGCAGGCTCATTGCATGTCAGCCTCTCCGATGAGAGTACTATAAGGTATCGGTAGTGAGATAAAAACTGCATCACGCTCTGCTAAGTTTGGCAGTGCTTCATGCTTGTGGTGTTCTCCCACAAAGGCTAACAGGAATGGGCCAGTGTGGGTACATGTAAAAAAAGGCTTTGAATATGCTGGGTACAAGTATGAACAGTCAAACCCGCATAGACTTGAGATTAAATAATATTATAGTTATATCTCACCCCAACTTCCTATACAGTTCCCACTTCACAGCAATATGCCCCAGTGTTTGTGAAGTGGGTGCTTGTCATAAGATTAAGACTGTGGACTTCTATTTTCATCCGGTATCCAGGGGATAAACGGGATAAACATAAACAGGAACGGGATAAACCCCGCATTAAAGGAACGTTCAAACTCATGGAAGGTGACACAGACATACCAAAAAATGAAACATGAAACTTACCGCTGCCTCGCCAGCAGCGCCAGTGTCAGTCAAGTCGCTTTTCTGCTCATCTTCAAGGCTCAAATTTTCAAAATTGTCGCTTGTCGCTGGGGACGAAGCCATTTCAAAGAAAGCCAAGGTAAGACTAACTTACAGATGCATTAGTCACAAAGGCGACAGTCCAGGAAGGTCTGCGTCTGAGTGCAAGACGAGTGATTACTAGACTAGTAGTTGTTCAACTCTGATGTTTTGAAAAGAAAGGAAAATGTTCCCCTTATAATTTCTTGGATCCGACGACGCTTGTTGATAGATCGAATGATCATGTCACGTCAAAAATACAAAAGTACATGATTGTAATGACGTATAAACGTTGTTTTTGTACGTCAAGCTGCAAAAAGCGGCAATACAACATCCATAAATTCCATATCCACCTATTATGTATACTGCACCTATCACGAGAACGTTAACGTGGTGCAGTTGGCAGCTTTCTGTATTACGTAATGACAGTACGTAGTTTTGTACTGTACACATGCATTGTGCTGCTTTGTGCAGACCGCGCCGCGTACCCATGCACCGGGGGCACACACACACGATCTGAGCATGCAAACAATCACGCGAAAAAAGACTGGTAAAAGTGGTACAGTAGTATCGGCGAAGAATCGGGGATCGAGAATGAGACTGTGAGCATTATCATCTTCTGAGAAAGACGAAACTATCTTTAGACTTTTCCTACAGTGGGAGTTCATTTTTCGGTGGATGTATCCTGGTCACAACAGTCGATGTTTCCAGGCTGTGGCTTGGAGTCCACTCTGCCTGTCGACAATGAAACATTGAAGGAATGATGCAGGAATGCGCGGTGGTCGCTGGCTCCCTGCCTGGAGGAGAAGTAGACTGGGATACGGAATTTGGTCACCCAAACAGCACGTCCACTCACGTTGTGTCGGAGCCTCACCATAAAGCTGCGTCCTGTGTTGCAGGACGTTATCTCAAAGGTGCTGTTCTTGGCGAAGGCTCCTATGGCAAAGTGAAAGAGATGCTGGATGTTCTCTCTCTCCATCGACGAGCTGTTAAAATTCTGAACAAGAGGCGACTGAGAAAAATTCCTAGTGGAGAGTCTAATGTGGAACGGTATGATTGATGCCTGAAGCTGTTGTGATGTGTGCTAGTATAAACCTCGGCTCAGTATATGGTGAACACAGTAGCTGAGAAGATGTGCAGCACTGAGAAAGGAGTGGTGCTATAAATGGTGATCGAATTGATGAATTTGAAATTTCATTGACATATGTCACACACGCCTGTCATTTAACGAGCACACGCCATGACTGCATGTTGTACTGTGGGCGTGCATATCAACTGTGTACATGTAAACTACATTGTTGGTCAGGACATATTGTCATATCAACTTCAGTATTATGTATTATGCATGAGTGTAAACGTGGGGTGTTGTGGACTGCAGCAGCATCTTGATGCTACTTACAGTACACAGTTCTGGCATGTTCCATAGTTGAGTACCTGTGCCGAGTCAGGAACTCAGCTTGTGTCACTGTGCTAGACCCAGACACAAGCTCTGACTCAGTGACTGAAGCCCAACACAGTAATGTAGAGAGTACTGCTCAATGAAATCCGATCGGGTGAGCCAGGCTTGAACCCTGCACCAGTTCACATCCCAGCGTTCGCAGGCGTAGGGCTGCACAGCGCCTCACGTGACGTGGCATTGACTCTCTCAGTCGGATTTCAGTGAGCAGCACTGTACCTTATTACAGGGTGCGACAGAGCTCTCGGCCGTTGAAGGCCTGGTCTGAAGGAGTTTATCAATATCGTCTACGGAAGTGTCCTCGCAATGGTGATGGTTGTGTGCAGGACGGTCTAGTCGGCTAAAGAGCGCAGTGTAATGATGGAGGTGACTCAGCACTGTACCTGTGCTACAAATGCATGTTACCAGCCACTCGTGTTTGTCCGTGCTTATACGGAAAGAGGAGGTTTTGTCTGCAGTCCGGATTTGGCATGAATTTCCCCACAGAAATGAAACAGTACAACAGGCTAGTTCGTTGCCACGGGAATGGAACAAATGTTGAAGCTTGAACTTGAGAAATCATAATTTGAATCAATTCCAGTAAACCTGTACACTCCAGTTCAACCAGGCGCCTGTCACTGTGTGTCAGCATATGAACAGGCAAACGTTATGCCCCAGAGTATTGACGTACAAACTAGAGGTCTACCAGTGTGGAAATGCATTTTGAATTTGGTGAAGTTTTTTTTTGACAATGCGTCTGCTCATGCGAGTGCACAAATATACGAAGATTTCCGGGAAATGGTGCGTCAGGCAGGACGCACTTGGCAACACTGCAAATTTATACCACCACAATAGGGTGATAGAGTGGCATTGAATCGAGTAATTACTGTGCATATGGCGCAGTGTGGAGACAGCCTTGGGGCTGCATTGAATTGTGTCGGATCCGGTGAATTGGCAGTATTCACCGCCCCGGGTAGATGCACCAATTTGGAAATGGGAAACTAACCTGCCAGCAAGCCCTGCTTGGCCTAGGATTGCTTTAGTTCAGGAAATCAGTCAGTGGTGTTATCTTATCTGGGCACAGTGCAATGGAGATGAAGTAGCAAAGTATGTACTAGTACAGGTATCAGATGTATGCCCCCCCCCCCCCACACACACATACACATGGTCGTGTCATTATTCATGCAGTTGCAGCGAGCTCTGAAGCTGCACGAATGACCGCAATTGTCGTATTTACTGAAGTTGGGACATGTGAAGTCCAACCTCCCAAATAGGGCATGGTGCCACATCCCAGCCCTCGGGCAGCATCGAGATTCTGTCAAAGTATTTTAATGCTATAACTTTTTTTAGTGTGTCAAATAGCGCTTTTGTTTTTGCGTCATGTAGCACCAGATGCTGTCCCATTGCCATGGGGCTTGTACATGTACCTGTTCAGAGTGGGTGACAGAGAGTGGGTGTATGCTTCAAAGCCGACAAGCAGCTGAGCTATCGGAATATTGCGAATGTGCACAGAGGCACAGAGCAAACTACATGCATTCTACAACTTCTCATACCGGTATATATTTTAAAGCTTGTACATGTATGTGTATCTGTCCAAGTTTATGTGTATATGTGTGTATGTGTGTGTGCGTGTGTATATGTGTATTGTGTGTACAGGGAAATACAACTTCTACGCCAACTAAAGCATGAACATGTTGTCAAGCTCATCGAGGTTCTCTACAATGAGGAGAAGCTCAAAATATATCCTCATTGTTCCTTTGCACGCGGGGAATGTACATGTTGTGCATGCATGTCACTTTGTTGACGTGCTGCTACTGTAGCACCTGCTGGCTTATCTAGGCACCTGGGGACCGAAAGGACCTACTGTACTTTTAGAGTGCTGTACTTGTAACATTAGCTACTGCCAGAGCACGCTACAGTATCATGTCAACCCCTTTCATGCTCTGATCGTGGAGTGATGCGGATGCGGCATCTGTCCATGGTGCTGCAGATGCGAATCCAGTACCGGTCACCTCATGCTCACATGACATCGTAGATGCTGTGTCCGCACTGTAGGGATTGGTCATCGACACTGACAAAAGATCAAAAGGTGTGAGGTACTGTACACTTACAAGCAGCTCCTGCATTGCAGTTCAGCGATGCAGGCTCATACGGAGATGTGATTGTGGCCCTTTTTCCAGGCAAGAAACAATTGTGGGGCGATTTGGAGAGACAAAACCCTCTGGCTGGATTCCACGGTGCTGTTTGTACTTGTGTAGACTATGCCTATCGTTCTGGATTTATAAGCAATGAATTTTGTGCTCATGTAGAGTTCATGCATGATAAACCTCCGCAACCACCTCACCGTAACGAGGATAGCCAATCGTTTTGGATCGGCTTTATTTGTACGTGTCTGTGTGATTTGTACTTCGTGAAGTACGTGAATGTTCCTACCAGACGGATGCCATTTGTCCAAGCCATTGCTTGTGATGCATGTGTGTATTTCCTTGACGACCTGTCTGCACATATATGGTCATGGAGTATTGTGTGTGTCCGCTTGAAGAGATACTAAAGAGCACCAAGGAGCAAAAGTTTCCCATCAAGCAAGCTCACAAGTAAGCCAACTGGACGGTCATGTGCTGTTCTTTTCTGTCGCTCCCTTTTGGTGTTTCTTTCTCTCTCTATCTATATGACTGTCTCTGTCGCTCTTTCTTTTTCTCTTTATCGAGAGTAAATCTGCAATGGGCTGTGAACCGTCCTTCTACCAAGCTTTGTGACGTGTCCTCTTGTAGAAGCTACAAGCGTAGTCAAGTTTTCATTGTAAAATCCAACCCCTGCCACAAGATGGAAGTTGGGAGCTGTGTGTTCATGGTTTTCCGTGACATGTTTGTTGCACCTGTTTATTCTCCTCTTCTGAATGCCCTCAGCTATTTCTGCCAGACTATATGTGGAGTTGAGTACCTGCACAGTCAGCGTGTGGTGCACAAGGACCTGAAGCCGGACAATCTGCTCTTATCTCAGCAGCAAGTTGTCAAGATCTGCGACTTTGGTGTTGCCGAGGTCAGTAGTTGTGCATGTATCAAAGTAACAGTTGTGCTCGGTGAAATCCGACCCGAAGTGCATAGTTGACGCCCTGAACTTGCACGGCCCTTGACGCCCTGGAAGTGGAACGAATGCGGCTGGACGTACACATATATCAGTGCAGTGATGCAATCGTAACTGGTCCAGGGTGCTAGTTTTGCACTTTCGGTCTGATTTCAGTGAGCGCAACTGTACATGCAGTGCATATTTTGTTGATGTAATCTCTTCTACGACGCACACGCTGCGAGTCTTTTGGGAAGTTTTGCCCCGTGCACTTGGCTGGGCTTTACATTACAAGGTCGGTGCCCAGCACGTGCTCTCACACTGCTCTGTGGCAAAATGCGCCGTTTTCTGAAAAAGGTGACGTCAACAAAACTTTCCGCTGTGGGCTGGTTATCTGCAGATTGTGCAGAAGAGATGCGGAGTTGCACACTCTTGTTTGTCTACTCTTGATAATAATGACTGTGTGGGTGGGTGGGTGGGTGGGTGGGTGGATGGGTGTGTGTGGGTGTGTAGGGTGTGTGTGTGTGGGTGTGTGGGTGTGTGGGTGTGTGTGGGTGTGTGTGTGTGTGTGTGTGTGTGTGTGTGTGTGTGTGTGTGTGTGTGTGTGTGTGTGTGTAATGGGCGCTGGATCATATTAGTACTCTTCTTGTGCTGCATTACCATACTTTACCGGTTGTAAGTCGACCCCTGTATCCGGAAGTCTCAATTCCGCGTTTTAAAGTTATCACCCAACGAAGCACTACTAACTACTCCCTGCTACTAACACATCAACAAATCATGTAAACATTCCTTATTGGAGGGTATAACGTCCCACTCCTTGAAAAAGTCCAATAAACTGGCACAAATGTGTACACATGGTGCACTCGTGCATGCAGTGCAGGTCATTTTTTTAAAGATACTGATAGTTCCCGGTTATAAGTCGAATCCTGGTTGTAAGTTGACCCCCACCCTTTCTCCTTCTATTTTTAGTCGTAAAAGTCATATCAGAACCTCCCAACTTTGTCACCCAATGAATCACTGAACGTCATGAACTGCATCCTGCTCAGCACAAGTAAAGTTAGGCAGTTGGTCCGCGTGGAATACTCGGACGGAGCCAGCGTGCATTGTGCTGTGCATCATAAATAGATTTCGTCCGGCTTCTGTGCATTCTGCGAGATGTACTTCAAGTTTGTAGCACGTTTATGACTAAATGTTTGCTGCTTCTGCTCTGTTTGCATTGCATTGTTTTGTTGTCCAGCGTCTGGACTTATTCAGTATTGACGACTCTATACACACGAGCCAGGGATCACCGGTTTTCCAGCCACCAGAGGTCTCACTGGGCCATGACTCGATGTCGGGTTTCAAGCTCGATGTTTGGGCAGTCGGTGTCACGTTGTAAGTATCTCTCTTGTCCTTTTTTCCTTGCCATGACGCAGTAGTGTTTCTGGCATACGGATGATATGCACAAACTCAGATGCACCATTCTAAACAAGTACATGTACTGTAATTTGAACTAATTTCCCAAATTTTCGGTACTTTCGGTGCATCTGTTTCATACCTAAAATTTCAATACACCGAACAAATACTAACACACATGATCCAATAGGGAACTGCTTCTCTGTACCGAAAATTTCTGTTCACCTAACCTGGCCTTTTGCCCTCATACCGAAAAAATTGAGCACTAAAATTTCTGAATTTAGACATTTCAGAAATTTTCGGTGCTCAATATTTTCGGTATGAGGGCAAAAGGCCAGGTTAGGTGAACAGAAATTTTCGGTACAGAGAAGCAGTTCCCTATTGGATCATGTGTGTTAGTATTTGTTCGGTGTATTGAAATTTTAGGTATGAAACAGATGCACCGAAAGTACCGAAAATTTGGGAAATTACAGTACCTTATTTTCAGAGTATAAGCCGCCCATTTTTTTGTCGCGAAATGTAGACATCTGCCCTGTTTATCACCATTAATTTGACCATTGTAATATATGCCGCACCGACCTTTTGGGGGTGACTCACTGGTGTGTAAAGTGCGGCTTTAATATACAGTCAACTTCGCTTATAACGACACTCTGCGGGGCATCAAAAAGGTGTCCTTATTTGCGAAGTGTCGTTCTACCCGAAGTCTCATTATTACAGTGGGATGGGACTTTGCTCTGGGCATGGAAATTCTGTCGTTATTCGCGAATTGTCGTTATATCCGCAGTCGTGATTAGCGAAGTTGACTGTACTCCGAAAAAATACGGTAGCTTTAAGGTGGACCATACAAGGAAAGAACAAACTAGAACTGGTTAGCTGGACTACAATCCTAAAATAAATAAATTTCACGGTTCGCGTGAGACTCGGCTGGAAGCCGAGTTTTCCGCATCCGCCGTGGGAACGCCACCACCCTCTAGGATCAAAGGCGCAGATGCAGCGCCTAAACGGTGGGAGGTGAGTAGATCAGACCCACCACCAAGTGGTCAAAGACCGAAATCCCATTAGCTGCATCCATGTTACCCTCGTGCCAGGCCACGAGTTCCCAATTAACTGTGGGTCACAGCACGGCTGGAAAAATTTCTTCCGCTTCCAAGCAGGACTTGAACCTGGTACCCTCTGTTTCTCAATCATGGTCTTAGACCATCCCACTATACCTGCCTGCTACAATCCTAGAATGGGGGGTAAAGTGATGAGTGTCATGTAGGTACAGAGTTAGTGTAATGTCCTAATCTATACCATGCAGCAGTGTTCAGTGTGTAGGAAGTGAAGTAAGGCTTGCAGGGTAGAACATGTGTGTGTGTGGGGGGGGGGGGGGGGTGCACACGTTCGTCTGTGCGTGTTCTATTCTTGCTCACTGCTTTCTTTCTTCTGTGTGTGTATCAGGTTTCATTTTGTGTCTGGGGACTATCCATTCATGGGAAACACAATTTTCCAGCTCTTCGAGACGATAGGGAAAGGTGTTTATACCATGCCGCCTGGTCTATCGGAGAGCCTACAAGATCTTTTACGAGGTTTGTTGGCTGATCCTGCTGCTACGCTTTGCTGTTCTTTCCCTGCTTCACATGTCCGGGCATTGACAACGTGTCATGTTTGCTATTGTGGCACACAGGTTATCAGTGTGCAGTTGCTAGCATTGATCCTGGTGGAGCTGCACAAACGATGTACCGTAAAGTCTTGTATAAAAGCCGCACTTGAATAGAAGCCGCCCTCGAATAGAAGCCGCAATTTTGGGCCCATCAAATCACACATAAGCCTGGTTTTAGTGTTGACATACATAGAAATACCTGTCTTGTATAGAAGCAGGGAGTCGTAAAATACCAGGAGGCGACACGCCACACATTTCACGATCCGAGGATTGCTGCACTCGACCCGCGAAATTTGATGCGTGATTGAAACGTCGTCGTCATCTTCTTTTTCTCAATTGTTTTTGCTATGCTTCGAGGCCTATTCTGGATCTCCAGAGCGAAAGCTTGTTGTTTCTGATACGTACCACGCATTACCTTGGGTTGAGCCGTGGCTTTTAATTTTTTTTTGGGAAGTTCACTGCTTTGGAGACGACGGAATGTCAAGGTAAGTTATTCACGAAATGTACTCAAATTTGAATTGAGTAAGTGCGAATGACACCCTGTTTTCGGAATAGTTCTCCGCTAAACACACCATGCCCATGGCCCCTTCATGTTGTCCAAGTTCCATTCTCGGTTTGTGTGAAGTTTCGAGATGAAGATCGATGATGTACTCACCTTTCCATGGAAGGGAAAAAAGTAGCATATCAAACAGAATCCATGCAGCATTTGATGCCACTATCCTCATTCTTCTGCATTCAAAGTGTTTCACATTATGGTCCATGAACTACACACAATATTCGTCATTTCTTAACTGTTCATAGCTGTTCATACTTGAAGTAACTGTGTTCTGAACACATTGCCTTCAGGAAACGTAAGGCCGAGTCGCCTGACCGACTGAGCAAAGTTCTCTGCGACGAAAGTCACACTATCGGCAAATGCACTCAAGGCGAATACCCTTGAATACCCTGTATATTGCTTGATCCACTTATCACAGAAGCATACACACACACACACGCACGCACGCACACACATACCATGCATACGCCCGTCGCAAGAGAAGAACGCAAGTCTGCAAATGCACTGGATGTGCACCCACAGATTTTCTCTTATAGCAATGATAGCGAACAAGATCTGAATGAGACAGATCAAGACTTGCACCAGATAACTCTATAATCCACACAACTGGCAAAGCCATGTGAATCGACCACCAATGCACAACACACATACACCTTTGGACCTTTGGATGCCCATTGCTCCGTGCAATGATAGCATCAGGAGTTGCAGTATTTCCTGTGGCGAGTTAGATCATTGGGCTGACGGAAGTCCCTGCCACAGCCGCAAATGAACACTCTAGGCTTTGGCACAGCCGCACACATATATACACACACACACACACACACACATACACACACACGCATGCTCGTGCAACATTCACATGTCACTGCTTCAGTTGTTTTTAGCTGTGTCATATTGTGTCTTATACAGAGCTTCACTTTGGGAAAAGCTGTTGAGATGCTGGAGAGCACTTGTTGCCATGCTTGCGAAATTCCAGCACCATTGCATGCCTTCAGCTGGCACACTTCCTGGCGTAGCAGATTTCCAAAACCTGATGCCTTGTGTAACTGTGTCCTGATAACATGCAGGAATAACTCCATCGCCTCAGTAACACTCGCCTGTCTCATTGTCAGCAGTTCGCATATTCCATGGATTATTGCACCTTCCATAGGCCTGTACACCATGGTGGCACTGCCACTCTTACATGAATCTGCACATAGGCAAAGCAAGGGTTGAGGGCGGAGGTTTACATTATAATGTCAACAATTTACATACTAGGTACACACGTAATTTTCAGGACATGAATAAAATAATATCCTGTCACAGTTTCAACACTGTCACATGTCAAAGTGAACAGACAATGCACCGTGGGCAGACTCCCATTTTTCGGGTGAGTTTGGGGCGCTTAGTACGCTACAGATTATACATTCGTGTTCACAAGGACAAGACGAGACCAAAAATGCAGACGAGAGAATCTCACCAGTAGTCCACAGCTGAACATCTCCACAACTCAGGTCACCAAGTGGATACGTGGCGTCATCTACATCTTCCACGGTGGACTCATCACTTTGGCAGGCATCTCTGTCAAGCTCCGTCATCTACATCTTCCACGGTGGACTCATCACTTTGGCAGGCATCTCTGTCAAGCTCCATCATCCTTTACCTCGTCAAGGCACAAACTTAGAATCACCAAATCAACTGCTGACACTCGGACGATTCCTTGGGAGCAGGATAATTTTTTTGATTTTTGGGACCAAACAGCGAACGCGTCCTTTGTGCATGACCTGCGCCGCTTTGACCTCATGGGGATTCTATATTTTCCCTCAGCACTCGTGCCCAAGCTGAGTCAATCATCCGACGCGGTTGTGCATCTCGTGTCGCCTCCCGGTATTTTACGACTCCCTGTATAGAAGCCTGCAAAATTTCACCAAGAAAGTCATAGAAGCCGCGGCTTTTATACTAGACTTTACGGTATACACTCAATCTGCAGACAGCTAGCGGTTTTGTCCTTGTTAGGTCTGGTCAGCGGAGCTCGGAGTCACTGGTCGAATCCATCACAATCATGTCTAGCGAACAACAAGGCGTTTTGTTACGTGCATTGCATAACGTTTGTGTCCGTTGCTCTTTGACTGTACTATGTTGCTGTGCAGGTATGCTGGAGTACGACGCAAGCAAGAGACTCAGCGTACATGCCATCATGCAGCATCAGTAAGTGCTGGTTTCGTGCAGCTTTTCAGCCCCTGCTTTCCTTGCAGAACGCTGTGGGCATGGCGATGTGCGTAGGGGGACAAAGAGGCAGACTGAGACTCAGGCAGAAAAAAATCAGAAGCTGTACACTCTGGGTTGCATGTACTCCTGGTCACATTTAGAAATTCCCAAAACAACTACCGGTATGAGAGTCTGGTGGGAAGCCTGAAAAGCAGTGCAATCCCTTCAGGCAGAGTGCTGACCCTTTTACAGTTCACCTTTTCCGCACTTATCGTGCTGTCACTGGGCAGTCATACAAACTTTCGACGGCTCCCTGCTTTCACACATCCATTTGGTCTGCAGGGTCAAAGGTCTCCTATATTATGTTGCATGTAATGTGTAGTCTGAATGCAGGCTTGGGAAAAGGTTGTCTTTTAGGTTCCATGTATTTTTTGTACTGTGTGTGCTATGTACGTAGTCTGCAGAGCGTCTTAGAACAGTTGGTTCATGACTACACCACACGGTGTCGTTGGCACTGAACAGCTTGAGCTCGATAGTCAGTTGCGCAACCGATAGCTCGCCGGCTAGCACCAGCTTGTCATGTGGAGGTCTTACATGCGCATTGCTCACGTTGCCATGTGTACACAACTCATATACAATGTATACATGTACTTGTTCATGCCTTGGTTGCCTGCTTCAGTACGACTTGTAACTTGGAGTTTTCTGTGGCGATTCTCTTGTTCTGTGTCGCCCAGGTGGTTCACATCAGCGCACTCCTTGCAGAAGAAGGAATCTTGGTTACCCATTCCGCCTCTGTGTGACTTTGAGCATGACCCGCTGCGTGGCATGACGTGCGTGGATGCTCTGATGTCCCTGCACCAGCACAACCTGCCCACGTGTCCGCTGTACCTGTCTGAAGATCACATGGTTCACCTGATGAGCAGCGCTGGTCAGCACTCCGTCCTCGGCTCCTCACAAGTTCTACCCGACAGCATACTGGAAGCCGTGGGCACGTTCAGCGTGAGCTCGTCGTCCGATAACATTGCACACAACCGCCCGCTGCAATCCATTGGCTCGGTGTCACGAGAGGATAGCTTTGGCATGGACAGTGTGCGTGGTATTTCCACCCCTGATGCTGAAGCAGGCGATAGCGTGTCAAAGTGCAGCGACTCTGTTGTGAGCCGGCGGCAAACGTTTTTCAAATCCCGAGACAAAGGTAGGTGCTGGTTATGGTGCATAACGCTGCTTTCCTTCATGTGCAAGGATTTGTATGCCTGTAGTATAATTATTTTGTTGTTAGACTGCAAGCAGCGTATTCCCTCCGCTCTCCATGTCATAGTTTGCTGTGTGTGTGCGTGTGTGTGTGCGTGTGTGTGTGTGTGTGTGTGTGTGTGTGTGTGTGTGTGTGTGTGTGTGTTCACATGGCTTCGCCAGTTGTGTGGATTAGACAGTTATCTGGCGCAAGTCTTGATCTGTCTCATTCAGATCGTGTCCGCTATCGTTGCTATAAGAGAAAATCTGTGGGTGCACATCCAGTGCATTTGCAGATTTGCGTGCTTCTCTTGCGACGGGCGTATGCATGGTACATGGTGTGTGTGTGTGTGTGTGTGTGTGTGTGTGTGTGTGTGTGTGTGTGTGTGTGTGTGTGTGTGTGTGTGTGTGTGTGTGTGTGTGCATGTGTGCACATGTATGTGTGTGTGCACATGTATGTACGCCTATATGTTAGTATGCGCCCGTGTGTATATGTGATGGTATGAGTGTGTGTTTGTGTGTGTGCACATGTGTGTGTGTGTGCACATGTGTGTTCGTGTGTGTGTGTACCTGTCGCCGCCCCGGCGACCTCAAGCGCCACGAACCTTTCTGCCGGTTGCGGCCAAATTAGTCCTTTCTCTATCATTACCTTCGGCAATGGTTAAATTCAAAGTTTAAAGCTTGTGTGTGTGGTTGTGGTTGTGCAGTTTCGGGTCCGTCGTCATCCGATTTGAGCAATGTCAGCATCCAGCTCAGTCACCGGATGTCCGACTCATCGAATCCATCGTTCATATCCAGTGGGAGTAAGCGTAACAGCACGCATAGCCACACGGGTGGTGCTGAGTCGTCGGCTGGTCCGATGTCCTTAGCCTCACATCGTGCGCTACGCCCGCAGCTCAGTCCCAATAGAGAAGAGGACGATGGCGAAGTCCCAACTGTAGATGGTCCCACCGCTAATGGTAAGTCATCAACTTCTGTTGTCACAGCAGGAGATGAGCCCCAATCGCCAACGCACTGTAGGCAGGCGTCAGCAATTGATGGTTCCTGCAAGAAAGCCATTGCCAATCGGAAAGCGGACACAGGTGCGGGTAATGCTGCTTCTGTGGCGTCCGCGCCTGCTACGCCGACGCAACGCCACTCGTACAAGCCATTAAAACGAATGCGCAAGGCCGTGCAGTGCCGCCAACAATAGTAGAAGCCAAGTTGTGCTGAGCACACATCCCTCCTCCTCCTCCTCCGCCACCACTGTCGGTCTCCAGCATGTATATATGTGATAAACCAGACCTCATATCTCCGCATATAGCCGATCATAGTCTGCTCTCGTAGCCATAAATTAGTATTATATCATTCACTCCGTTCACTTGAAATTCTGCATCTGAAATTATAACATCCATTCACAGCCTTGGGAGGATGCACCTCAATAATAAGTATCCTCCTTGGCAGCACGATAACTAGCGTTTGAAGCATGTTGACACCGAAGCAGAGCTGTTCTATCGCCGTCAGTTCAGAATCCAGTGTGTCATGAACTAATCTCTCAAATCACCATATTCCAATCATATTCAGTTTACACTGTCTTTCTCTCTTTCTCGCTCTCGCTCTCTCTCTCTCTCTCTCTCTCTCTCTCTCTCTCTCTCTTTCCTCAGCATGTTGAGATCTGACCTATGCAAAAAATTGTATATAACGTAACGAAACATATGCCTCACTTCTCATACCGTTTCTCACTAGACCTTTTATAAAGACTTCTTTCTTTTCTATGTTTTATTGTTGTTAGTACTATAGTAAATCAGCGGACTCAGCTATGTAAATATCTTTAGGGCAGCCGAGCAACACGCCTCGTTGCTCTTCTCTTGCGTGTCGTCTGTTCTTGTTTTTAAATATGTGATCTATACTTTCTATGGCCCAGTCTTTCTTCCATTGTTATCAGTTTAGTTATCTTGTCGTTGAACTGGTGGTCTTTTTTTTTCTTCTGTCCATTCATTTCAACTCTCTGTTTGTTCTCCAACAGTGTGTGTTTCTTCTTTACCACTGAATCTATTTAGACGCAAAGGAATCTTCCTTCTTCCACGCCTACCACTCTACTTGACATGTCTCGACTTATTATCTCGCGTGCGTGTGTGCGCGCACGCATGCGAGAGCATGTGCTTGATTGCGTGTAGTGTGCAGTGAGGTTCTTATCCATCCTGCCCTCTGTCCCGGTGAATTCTGCAGATTGCAGAATTCTGAAAACGTGTGGACTGTTGCAGAAAGGCCCAGAAGCAGCTCTTTTGTTCTTCTCTTCTTACATAATGGACATTCTTCACCGATTCCATCGGCAAAACAGCCTCATTGCAGCAGACTGTTACCAAGAGTTGATAACTCTTGCTGTTATGTGTTACGCCAAGAGTACCCCCCCCCCCCCCCCCCCCCCCAGAGTGTGCAACTGCACTACAGTATGGGTGCTGTCCCGACAGAATTTCAAGTTGACGTCATTTTGATGATGCAATGCGCACTGTACACGGATTATCAGACGAATCCGGAACCTGTGGTCGACCGAAGCCGATCGATCCTGTACAAATTAATTATTGCAAAGAAAAACGTGTGATGCGTTGACACCAGGGAGTCGTCAAATACCATGGTATTTGACGACTCCCTGGTTGACACCCGTACACATGTTGTAAATCACTGCTGCAAGGAGCATTGCGTCATAAATAATGACGTCAACTTGAAATTCTGTCGGGACAACATGGTATCATGTGGGAGTTGCACATTCTGGGGGGTTATGACTTGTGTACTCTTGGTTACGCAGTGTTCCCCAGGAAACGATCTCATGCTAACTCTGCATTATTATTATTATTATTATTTATACCAGTATTAAATTTTTGATAGGGCAATCCCCACATGCACAGACCTAAGCCAAGGCCTTCTTACAGGGTACCCTAAATGTGCCAATAGAGAGGTTCCGGGGTACGATTTTCCGTGCCAAAATCCGTATGGGCGCTACGGATTTTTTCCAGGCGTGCTCCATACGATTTTTCGGCACGAGAATCCGTGTAGATTCAGGGCATGTTCGATTGGTAGGATCGGGATCCCGATCCACCGGATCCACTGGATTCGCACCCTTTCGATTGGTCGGATCCGGATCCGGATCCTTCGGATTTGGATCCGGTCAACCCTCCTCGGGGAGCAGGGTTGACCGGATCCAACGGATCCAAATGTGACCTTTGTGCATATATGGCTGGTAAAAATCATTTTTGTACGCATTGTGGTACGCACACGTGGATGGAGATAGAGCTTGTTGACTTTTTGTACGACCTACGGGATGAGTACGACGTTCACCCTTTTGGGTGCCTTGTGAGCGCCATTTTCAACATGGCAACCGTCAAGGTCCAAAATAAAGTGTTCAGTTGAATCTGAAGGATCCGAGGGATCTGAGATCTGGATCCCGATCCCGATCCTTACCAATCGAACATGCCCCTAGACTGGCTTTCATACGAACCATGCTTCGTATGGAGATTTTGCGTCATCGGGTGCAGAAAGATTTTTCGCGTACAAATTTGGTACGAGAAACATCGATTTTTCGCGGGAAGTTTTGATTTCGGTACAAATTTTCAAAAATTAATAAAAAGGCATAGCGCGGGAATGTGACGTGTTTGCGATCGTAACCTAGGCAATGACGGCAAACATTATAAGTTCCGTACCCCGGAACTTTTCACTGCTCGAAAACGACGTATAAAAAATCCGTACAGCCTCCACGGATTTTGGCACGAAAAATCGTACTCCGGAACCTCCCTACAATACAAGGTAACGGAAGCGAGAAACAGATGTGCAAAGGCGAATGTCAGCAGGTAGAGAGTTCCAACCAGGGAGTAGTACAATACAATGTACTACTCCCTGGTTCCAACGATCTGAGCCTAGAAAACTAAGGCTGTGTTTACATGAGAAATTTCAACCCGGGTCGAGTTCAGCCCGGGTTGAAAGTCTGTACGACAGACAAAAGAGGTGAGCGTTTACATGAAGACAGTTGACCCGGGTCAAATACTGATATGCCGCCAAAAGTCCACTTCTACAGTCCTGTATGGTCACGTGAATCCGTTCGCGCGAAATTTGCATCTACAGTGCTGTTCAAACCTGGCGCGAGATACGCACAGAAGTACGTTTGTACGATTTTCTTGACCCGGGTTGATTTCAACCCTCCCCTTGGGGGGAGGGTTGAAATCAACCCGGGGCGAAATTTCAACCCGGGTCAAGCGCAATGCGTCATGTAAACGCGCCATTCACTTTGTGCACATGGCGGGTTGAAATCTGACCCGGGTCGAACTCAACCCGGGTTGAAACACTTCATGTAAACCAGGGAGTCGTACTCAAACTAGGGAGGTGACACGGCACAGAAATCCGTGTCACAGGGGTTGACTCGCACCCTTGACCCCTCGTTGTTATTTTTGGAATAGTTCAGTCCAGTCCAGTCCGAAAGGTCATACTCGGATCGACTCGCCTTCTGTACTTCACCTCCAAGCGTGCCGCATGGGTGTCTAGTTTTTGAAATTATTGAGGCAGCACATTTCGTTTAGGGGCCGTCCGTAAATATCGATGTTTTTTTAGAGACGATATTGGTGCTTCTCTCCCTTGACCCCCCTCCCTCCCCCCAGAAGACGCACATGTACATCTAGATCATGGAATCAATATTTTTTGGATGCTCATGAAGTGCCCAGGATGTTGAGGGTCCGGTGTAGGCGTGAAAATCCCGCCGCACTCACGCAATAGCTGCATCGCCTGGGGGGAGCGAACCGGGTTGGCGCTGCAGTGCTCACAGCCATCGTGTACGAGCCAAAGCGGCTACGCTCGGGCTTGAATTTTTTCAAATCCTTGTTCAGACAGTGAAGACTGGAAACTCTTGTGGAGTTCGTCCGTGTTTGTTCGCACTGCCTCTACGTCTTGAAAAAGGTCTCCTGCAGGCATCGTTCGGCCGATTTCCACAATCAATAGCTCATTCTTTTGCTCTTGAAATTCGCCATGGGCGTACAGCTTCCAATTTTTGATTTTGTTCTTGTGTCGCGAGTTTTAGCTCCGCGAACGGAAGCTGGTTTCACATTTCTTGTATAGCCATTTAGACGTCCGCGTGCAGGGATCGGCGAAACTTCAGATATTTACATCGATATTTTTCTGATGCTCGAAAAGACGCACATGGCTCAAACCCCCTCCCCCCCCAGACGCACCAATATCGTCTCTAAAAAAACATCGATATTTACGGACGGCCCCTTACAGCCCATCACTCGCCAGTATTCTTTGAAAGACTACCAGCAATTTTTTTAGCTCCTGCCATGTCCGAACTACTTGATAGCAGTGATGGCAACAGCAGCAGTTATGAAACGGCGTGTAGTGTTGCGGTAACTGTTCAGAACTTTTCAGAGTCGTATCCTAGGTTAATCCGAATACTAAAAATTGACCCAAATTGCACATAACACGAAGCTGGTTTTTGAAAATTGTAAGTCGTGTATCTGCCCCATTTCTTCTTTATGACTTGCACAATACACCAGTCTTCCTAAACAACACATGTATAGCAGGGGTTAAGTACCATATAAGAGAAGTACAGCCAGTGATATTGTCATGTTGAAATACTACAATTTTGACACAAATTACACATAACACGAAGCCAGGTTTTGAAAATTGTAAGTCGTGTATCTGCCCCGTTTCTTCTTTATGACTTGCACAATGGTCCAGTCTGCCTAAATAACACATTTATAGCAGGGGTTATGTACCATATCAGAGAAGTACAGCCAATGATATTGTCATGTCTAAACACTACAATTTTGACACAAATTACACATAACACGAAGCTGGTTTTTGAAAATTGTAAGTCGTGTATCTGCCCCATTTCTTCTTTATGACTTGCACAATACACCAGTCTTCCTAAATAACACATTTATAGCAGGGGTTAAGTACCATACAAGAGAGATACATTGTACATCTAGTCATACTGTCATAAACAGCCAGCATTTTTCCTGCAGCAGTCACACCACCATCGTCATTATTTCCAGGGAAATCCTCTTACATTGTCAGCTCCTATGTCGTTAGATACAATGTAGGGGGCTGTAGGACCGGCTCGTCAAAAAATAGAGAACCTGAACACTTGAACTGAAGCGTGCTCGGATCGGGACGTCTCAGCAATCGTAGTATGCCTGAGCACTCCAATAAAAACTGGATCAATGGCAAAATCGTTCCCCACAGAAAAATCATACTTTGCGGGTCTTGCGTTGCACGCTTGGAGGTGAAGTACAGAAGGCGAGTCGATCCGAGTATGACCTTTCGGACTGGACTGGACTGAACTATTCCAAAAATAACAACGAGGGGTCAAGGGTGCGAGTCAACCCCTGTGACACGGATTTCTGTGCCGTGTCACCTCCCTAGTTTGAGTACGACTCCCTGATGTAAACACAGCCTAAGAGTGCATCATGAATCGTGTGATGATACAGATGTGTAGAACAGCGCAGCAAGTACATGTAGTAGCCGTACAAAGTCAATCACCCCTCCCTCCAGTGTACTACAAGTACAGTGTACCATGCAGGTGTGCAGGGAGATGGCACGGGAGACTGCAACGGTGTGGGTTTCGCTACCGGGCTGCACGCTCAATTGCCCTCTAAACTTTGGGCAAGGTTGATTTATTCCCGCAAGGCCACGGTTGTGAGTTGCATCGGCCATGGATCATGTAGAACTTTCAAATCCCGCGTCTAACGCACATCTTTTCATGATGCCCCTACCCACTCCCTGGTTTGCACGCATCACATCAAGAGTACACAACTCCCGAAATTTCTGGGAAGCTCCCGAGACAGACAGGTACACACAACACACACACACACACACACACACACACACACACACACACACACACACACACACACACACACGCACACACACCGTGCGCGTGCATGCACACAAGGCCAAGGAATACATCAACGTGATATGAGCTACATGATGTGTCTCATAGAAATGAAAATAAATGTTAGAAACAGCACAGCATAAAAGCAAAACCACCTCACCACAAAACCCAATTCCACAAAACTAAAAGTAACTAAAATTGACGACATGACAAGGAGACAGAGAGACCAAACAGCAAACATGATCTTCGGCTCTCAACACTGTGGCCATGCCCAGACATAGGAAAGGCAATAAAAAAAGATCTTGATCTCACCAGGAGAAATACATACATTCCCAGAAAGGCACAGCAGGCACAGTGGCAGATCCATCTAAAAAAATGTTCAAAATTGACACAGCCAGGACCAAACAAACATATCATGCTGGCACTAGCAATTTCTAACCAAATTAAACGATACGAAGAACAACTAGCGAGCTGCAGCATATTGACGTGAGGAATGAGGCACGTACGCTTGTATGCGTTCGTCACGTTCCGTTCAAACACCAGTGAGACCATCATCAACACAGAGGTTTGGCTGGTGGACTGAGAAACACCCAGGTGATTGGCGATCAGTAGCGAGATGACAAATTACTACTCTTGCAGGTTATGATGGCCGGGCAGTGTTGCATGCTGGACACTTGGCAACGCTGGGATCATGGCTAAGGTAACAACCAGTACAGGTCCATGTGCCTGCTTTGATGTTCAGCAAATCACGCAAGGATCTGCCATCACTGGCAGTTATGGTTGGAGCAGAAGCTGGAGTAGCACTGGGAACAGCAGCAGCTGAAGCTGCGGATGGAGCAGCTGAAGCTGCGGATGGAGCAGCTGGTGCCGACTCAGTTGATGATTGTGGCGTGTTGCATGCTGGACATTTGGCGACGCTGGGATCATGGCTAAGATAACATCCAGAACAAGTCCATGTGCCTGACTTGATGTTCAGCAAATCACGTAGGGATCTGCCATCACTGGCAGTTATGGTTGGAGCAGAAGCTGGAGCAGCACGGGGAGCAGCAGCAGCTGAAGCAGCAGATGGAGCAGCTGGTGCCGATTGAGTTGATGATTGTGGTGTGTTGCATGCTGGACATTTGGCGACGCTGGGATCATGGCTAAGATAACAGCCAGAACAAGTCCATGTGCCTGATTTGATGTTCATCATGTCACGGAGGGATCGAGTATCCGTGGCAGCAGGTGCCTGTGAATGTGCAGAGACAACAGGCGCCTGCTCAGATGTAGATCGTGATGAAGCAGAATCAGGCACAATACTAGAAGCACCACCACTCTCTGCACCCGCTTTCTTGTCCTGATCATGTGCAACACCCATCTTGAATGCTTCAATGAACGCCTGTGCCATTTCTGGCGTCTTCAACCTCAGTGCAAAGTTCTCCGGACGTGATGGAGCTTCAGTCAGATCAGAAACAGTATGCCACACGAGCACACGGTCGGTGCCTGCTTTCAGATTGATGGACATGCCAGCCATGAGCAAGTGATTAGCACAGACTTTATGAATCTGTTCACGTCTCATTAGTACACGGTAGTTGCCTCTCTGCTTGTGACGAAGGATCTTCATCTCACCGAGGCCTCGCTCTTTCCACTCTTCACCCGTGTACCGGTAGAGCTTGCACCGCTCTCGAAAGACAGCTTCCTCGTCCTCTTCGCCGGTCTTTACTTCCACAAGGTCAGGTAAAGGCACCACGGGCTCAAACTGAGGGTCTGGGTCTTCACCGTCATCAGCCTGTCCTTGACCGGAACCGCTTCCAAATACAGCCACAGTCTGGCCAGGTGTAACAGAGAAAGTCTTGCCAGGATTGCGGGTCTGGAAGCCATCCGAGACCGTTGCAAGTGAAGCGAACGATGAGCTGCCTGAAGCAGCTGCTGGCGTTCCGAATGAAGATCCAAAGACAAACTGTGACGCTGCTGATGATGCAGATGCTGAAGCAGATGAGTTGGATGAAGTGGTTGGTTTGGCTACCTGCACCTGCGGGTGCGGTCGATCACTGCTTTCTGCAGCAGTAGGCTGCGCAGAGGACTTGGTTTCAGCCGGTGCAGCACCTCCAGTCACAGTTGAAAGCTTACTACTATCACCATCCACACAGCCAAGGCAGCCAGGGCATGCTGGCTTCTGCTCGTACAGATAGAACGTGTCCGGCAGCATATATTTCCTGGCCAACTCTGCCTCTTCCTTTGTTGGTTTTCGCTCAAATACAACTGCTAGCTCATCACTATCACCAGTGCTAGCAGTTGTCTTAACGGTAGTGGCACCAGCGGATGTGGCAGATGATGAGGAGTTCTGGGTAGGTTGCCTGCACTCATCTACAGCACACTTGAACGCCTTGGCAAGATCGGGGCTCTTGAAGCGCACGGCAAACTGTTCCGGCTTAGACACACCCTCACTGAAATCGGCCAATGCATGCCACACCCATGCACGTTCACTGTCCTTCATAGGCTTGAGGTCAATTTCAGAGGTGATGCGATGGTTTGCACATAGTTTATGTACCTGCTCACGACGCATCAGAATACGAGAACAATTGGTACTGGGGTTGCGTAACACTTTCATCTCCCCGACACCTCGCTCTTTCCACTCGCCGTTGGTGAAACGATATAGCTTGGCTCGTTCACAGAAGACCTTCTGCTCGTCCTCCTCACCGGATGAGACTGTGATGAGCCCCGGTAGGGGAACAGCCGGCTCAAACTGAAGCTTTGAGTCATCACCATCACCGTCATCACCTGCAGCAGAATCAGGAACATCTTCGTCATCCTCTTCCTTTGATGTGGATCCTGAAGCTGCACTAGCAAGACTGGCAGATGGTTGCTGCTGGTCACTGCTACTTCCTGGTGCAGGTGGCTTACTGAAGGAGAAGATTCCACCTACTTCGGTGAGTTTTCCAAAGGAGCTTGCAGATTCCTGGGTAGTGCTGCTTGCACTAGCAGTAGTAGGGGTGGTGAAGTATGTTGACACACCACCAGTGGTGGAAGTCATCAGTGAAGTGGAAGAAAAGCTAGAAAATGTGCTAGAAGAAGCAGTGCCAGTCGACGGTGTAAACTTGAACGCCGAGCCACCAAATAGGGGCTTATCCTCTGCTGCCGGCTGAACTGAAGACGATGATGATGGTGTTGTCAGAATACTACTTGCTGGCCCAGCAGACATACCAGATGCTGTAGAAGATGATGATGATGATGATGGTAATTTGAAAGAGAAAGGTGTTGTGGACGTTGAGTTGACAACCAGAGGCTTATCTGACGGTGGCTGAGAAGATGTCGACCAAGCACCAAGAACACTGGATCCCTGTGTGGCAGAGGGCGCAGATGCAGAAGAAGAATTGGGCAGCTTGAACGAGAAAGGGGTTGGTGCTGTCGAGCTGCCTGCCACAGGCTTATCCGAAGTTGATGGTGCCATGGATGTTGAGCCGAAATTGCTGGATATCTGTCCAGTGGATGCTGAAGTATAAGAAACAGGGGCTACTGCTGGTGGTGCTGCTGGGGCTGAGGACAAGCTGAATGGCATTGGTTTTTCTGAGCTACCAAACAGAGGTTTATCTGCTGAAGGTTGTGTTGAAATAGAGGACGGCGCATTGAACGAGAATGGCGCTGTGGATGTTGCCGGCTTATTTGCAACTCCAGTCAGACCAGTTCCACTACCGAAAGCACTTTGCGTACCAAAGCCAGATAGCAGCTTTACAGAAGAAGTAGATGCTCCATCAGGTTGTGAGCTGACTGGAGACTTCTGGGTTTGCGGCTTCTCGGGAGACGATGAGACAGAGCTACTTTGGGAACTGGACTCTGATTGGCTGCCTGAGTTTGGTGACTGTGGAGAGTCGCCTGTTTCGGCAGTACACTTCTCAAATACGATCTTGAAGTTGTCTGCAATCTCTGCATTCTTGAACCTGGCGACAAAATTCTCCGTTTGAGGGCTGTCCTCGCTGATATCTGCCAGCGTCTGCCAAATCCATGCACGGTCACTGCCCTTCATGGGCTTGAGCTCCATCTCAGGAGCAATGCGATGGTTGGCACAGATCTTCAGGACTTGTTCACGTCTCATTAGGATACGGGCAACACCGGTTGTCTTGTGCTGTAAGATCTTCAGCTCACCAATGCCCCTCTCCTTCCATTCGCCACCGGTAAATCGGAACAACTTTGTTCTTTCGCAGAACAGCATATCCTCCTCTTCCTCACCAGAGGACACTGAGACAAGCTTAGGCAGTGAAACAACAGGCTTGAACTGCAACTTGTCATCATCACCATCACCATCATCACCTGTTCTACACTCGCCACGATCAGCATCGCCAGAGTCGGCCAAAACATCCACAGTCTCGTCGTCGGACGTCACTGATATCACTGGCGCTTGTAACTGGCTTGCAGAACCCTTCATGGTGGGTTTCGGGGGGCTATCAGCACCCTTACTGCTGCTATCTGCCTTGCCATCAGATTTACTCAGCAGGCTTGCAGGTGTTGCAAAAGTAGTTGAGAACAAGCCGCCGGTACCAGCAGAGCTCTGGAAGCGCTGTAGACTATCTGCAAAACCAGCAAGCGGCTTGATCTGGGATGGCTGGCTGGTCACACCTTGGAATGGACTGGGAATAGCAGTTGAGCCACTGGAAGAGACAAGAGAAGCACCACCAAGACTGAAGCCACCAGTTGCATTACCAGCAGAAGTAGTAGCCGCAGCAACAGAAGTGTCCGTGGTCTCACTAGAAGCAGATCGTAGAGTCATGCCACCCATACTGAAACCACCCGTCAAGCCACTAGCAACCGGGGAAGCAAACGTTGGCATGGTGATGCCAGATGCAGAGCTGGGTTTAAAGCCACCAGGTGAACTGCTGGCAAAACTGGCAACTGTGGTGACAACCGTACTGGATGAGGTGCCAGAGGTGGTGCCGAGTTTGAAACCACTAAGCATGCCACTGCCTGATGTAGCTGGAGAGATATTCGCCGTGTTGCTTGAAGCAGTGCCAAGAGTGAAGCTGATAGGCGAAGTATTAGTAGCAGTAGTGGCCGGAGCAGTGAAAGTACTTGCTGGTGTAGCAGAAGTGCTACTAAACTGGAAGCTGCTGCCCGAACCACCAGAAGCTGTAGCAGTGAAAGTACTTGCAGAAGTGTCACCAAGCTTGAAGCCGCTGGTCGAACCACCAGCAGAAAACCGAGCAGAGCCACTCAACAGTGATGACAAGACTGGTGCAGCATCTGTCTTCCCAGTCAATGCAGTAGTGGTAGTAATAGCAGCACTAGCAATGACTGCTTCATTGGTGGGTGTCGTTGACTCGCCACCAGACTTCATAGGAGTGGCGCCTGTTGAGATGCGAGCCAAGGCGTTAGCACTGGGTGACGTGACACTCTCCAAAGAGCGTTGGTAGTCATGTGTTTGCGACTGAGCCTGGAAATTCTGCTGCTGCTGTTGCTGCTGAGCCTGCTGAACTTGATTAGCAGGTGAGTTGTAGGTCTCATAGTAGTTGTTCATACCATAGTCACCCTCTCCACTGTCAGCATAGTACCCACCAGCTTGGCTAAGGAACTGATCAAACTGTGACTGCAAGTTCTCCAGGAAACCATCCAGCTGCTGCTTGCTATTCAGAGACTCTGCCGCAGAAGATGACGCGGACTTAGAAACTCTCTGAAGTTCCTCCATGATGACCTTGTCACGTTTTTCCAGATCCTATACATACAAAAAGGCATAAAGACAGGCAACATGTCAGTAACCCAGCAAATACGTATAGACATCAGCCAGGGCAATGACATGTTATGCGAATCCATGGCTGCTAACCATCAAGTAGATTGCACATGACAGTACTTGATAAAAAAAGATTGATATTTGTGGACGATCCCTATTAAACATATCTTAATGCAGAGCATCGATATTTTTTAATGAAGTGCTATCTCCTCATGAAACGTACACCCACAGATTTCTACAGCAACGACAGCGGAAAAGATCTGGATGAAACAGATCAAGACTAGCGCCAGACAACTGCCTTAACCACACAACTGGCAAAAAGCTGTGTGAATCGACCCTCAACGAAAAACCTGGTTCACATGCAGTCCCACCCAGACTGCGCAGCACACACAAGTACATAATAGGGCTACATGTACATGTATGCTGTCCAAGGTTGGCACCCGGTAGCGTTAAGGTGACATAGCACGTACATGTACACAGCAGAAAGGTGGCAACAGCTAGTACTGTATATACACAACAGCTAGTACAGCTAGTACTGTATATACACAAGCTATACCTGTGATAGAGCAGTCACTCTGGCCAAAGTATCAGCGCTCAGTTTCTCTCCAGCATCAGAGCGTGCTTGGCTGGTAACATGCTACAAGCAACAGTAGACACACACACACACACACACACACACACACACACACACACACACACACACACACACACACACACACACACACACACACACACACACACACACACACACACACACACACACACACACACACACACACACACAGTATCAGATCAGTACTGTAGCCTCAGGGCTATAGCCAGTTTGAAATTGAAGAGGGGTGGCTGGAATGTTTGTGAATAGTTATAAAAATTTGCATCGCACCACACATGGAGAACAGCTTGATAATGTAGACCTATCACCATTTTTACTCAACCATAGCAATGAACCAGCACAGTAGGCTACTCCACAGTGCCTACATGTACACACAATGCATCCTGCATCAGGAAACGGGGAGGTGTGCTATTTTGCTATGGTGACAACCTTGGTCCTTAGGCAGTACAAGAGTGGGCCACAAAGGGCAAATAGCCAAGAAAAACCAAACTCTTTCAGGACAGACATCAAAAAGTCAACTTTCCATTACAAACTATGGCATCACATCAATAGGATGAACAACTACACCACCTAGTTGGTCAGGCACTGCAAAGCCACAAATGTTTATTTCCGAACAATATATTGGGGGGGGGGCAAGCTTTTGTAGACAGAGTAGAGAGGTTCCGCACAACGTGATTTGTAAAAAAACGTAGTCGATCAACGGAAAGTCTCACGTAAACTGCATGCGGATCTGTGTTCCGCCATACGGAGTTTTCAAATCACGTAGCTGCACATTTTACAATGCACTAGTAGGTAGAGTCTTGGAGCATCTTGCACTCCCAGCAATACCGCCCGTTACGATGGTTACACACATTGTGGACAATGCCTTGGTCTGGGGTGAGCATGACGCCTGACCGGATTCATAGCCCTGCCAAACAACAAACTACTCACGGTGACAACACTATGTCAGACTGGAGCAGGGAGACACCACCCAGATAAAGGGCACTTGCTAACAAAGAAAACACGGTACGCATATAAATGGCGGAAAAGAAACTATAGTCAAACTCACCGACATCAATGCAGACATGGACTGCGTCTGCTGGTCCATGAATGACTGTTGCCTCTTCTCTAGATCCTACAAATACAGTAAAGGCACACAGAAACCATAACACTCTCAAATGAAGAGACAACTTTAAACAAAAATAGGAAAATGGTTTAGCTGCCATGCAGACACAGCTCCCAAGAACCAGCCAGTAAGCAAATGCACCTACACCACTTGTATGATATCAGTGATAGCCTACCCACCAGCACCACCCCCAAAAATAACCAACATTACAAGAAGTTACTTACCGACATCATTCTCGTCATTGTACGGGTGTGCTCTTCCAAAAAGGCATGTTGCTGTTGCACAAGATCCTACGGTGTAGAACAACATGGTAAAACACCAAGAACACAATCAATGTAAAGGGGTAAGCCAAGCAGATCCATGGTGTTCCAGCACAACGTGTCTGCCACAAGCAACCCTAGGACACCAGAATGGCATGGGCAATCTGAGAAGCTTTAAGCTTGATTGACGCCAGCAGCATTTCAAACTTACCGTCATCATGTTGGATACAGTGCGATCACATTGCTCCATGAACCCTTGCTGCTTCTTTTCGATGGTCTAACAGACAAAACACATGCAGGCATAGGATATATTGATTATTCATTAGTTTGAGGGAAAGGTGGAAACGGGAAAAGTCAGGAGAAAGAATTAACTGTCACAACCAGGATTCGAACCAGGGATCCTCGCTTATGGCCAGCGATGTTCTACCACTAAGCATATATTTACTGTTCGTTTATAACCCAATGAGAGCCCCACAATTGAAATTCGCTGGTTTTGAGTGAGGACAGTGGATCATCTTCAAATGATTATGACTTCACCAAAATGTTGACTGTTTTTTTTACTATCGAAATATTTTGTCCAGACAGCATTGAAGTTAACAGCCACAACAAACAAAATACAAGGGCGCACGCGCGCGCGCGTGAAAGAGAGAGACACGAAAGGGCAAACACATTTAACTTGCTAGACCCAAGTCAATTTGAGCAACATGCCCGCGATGTAGCAGACAGTAACACATGTGCACAAGCAAGGCGAGTACATACGAGCAAAGCAATCACTCGCTTACATCGACAAAATCGGACGCATGCGACGACATCTGAGCCATCTCCATCCGCATTGCTGCCAGTGCACTCTCCTTCAGCTGATTCTACAGAAAAAGAAAAAAAAGGACCATGGCACAGTGAACGCAGAGACACCAACGTTGGCTTAGCTAGCATCTACTGAACAGAGTGACTGTCCACATCAGTACCGCTAGCAAGACTAGAATGCCATCTGCCAATAGTGCAAAGCTCCCTGTATTTTTCTGCCACCTAGAGCACTCTGATACTTTGACCAGTATTAAATTGGGGGGCTGGGGGGGGGGGGGGGGGGGGGTAGGGGCTGGGGGGAAGTGGAATATTAACAGAACATCGCTAGAAACAGACAGACAAAATGCACAGCATGCCAGACTCTACAGCACATGAACATGGACAAAGAAACTTACCACGTGAGTTTCAACATCGGCACGTGTATCCGGCTCTGAGCAGGCGAATACCCCCAAACAGAACAAAAGTATACAATGTATAACGGTGCACTCGAAGTAATACTACAGGTCTACTCTCCATGAGCCAACTACAGCATAATATTAGATACAACGGTATACCTGGTTTCTAACCACAAGAGGCTACCCAAAAGTCATCAGTTGAAATCCAGTCTTTGCAGCCAGTCACTTCTAAGCTATAGTTAAATCTTCAGTTTATCATTGTGAGCAAGTACTTACGAGATATCATCGAAGCATTCAGCAGTGGAGATGACTGATATTGTACAAGCAGTGGCAGAATACAGCACAGACAGACAGACATCAAGTATGGGCTTGGTTCTCCAGACGACGACACACCAGCAAAGATCTACAGTAGCTAGAAAGCTCATCACAAACAACAGTAATAACGCTAGATAGTTGAACCACATGAACATAGTGTAACTTACACTATTCCCCTTGTCAATTGCACTGGAAGCAGTTGCACCGTCATGCTCGCTGACATCATGAACATCACTTCCGTTCAGAAAGCTACCGCTGGCATCGAGGGATGAGCTGGATGCATCAGCTTCTCCAAGAACAGACCGCCGGACACCAACAAGCTGCTGAACTGTTCTCCGGCACTTTGATGCCTAAACATGCCAAAGGACAAAAAAATACTTACAAACTAATGGCAGGAATTATGTCTGATGGTACTCGGGTCAACAGTAACAAATTCGAAACACTTCACACCTCCAAGTGTGAACGGATGCAATGGGTCATGCGAGAACACAAGCAATGATGAGCCATCCCGATATAAACTCACCGTCCACTGAGTAGCCAGAGGAAACATGTTGCTAGCATTGTCCAGATAGGTCGCATCACTACAAGGATGGAGACACAGGACACATAGACTACGAATGAACAACACAAAGCCCCCACAAACAATCGTGTAAAGCACAGAAAAAAGGGAAGAAAGCAAGTAGGAGTCGGATGAAGTGCCAAGGATTAATGTATAGGAAGAAAAAAGGACCAAGGAACACATGCGTTCTGATTGTCAAGTAACTGGCGGTGTTAGTGGACAATATAGTGTAACTTGTAGTTCCTTTGGTCCTTTTTCTTCCTATAAAATAAGTAGAAGATAACATTATTCTTCTGGTGCAGTGAATCGCACTACATTTACTATGCACATGCAGTGTTTTACCTTTGAAGTGATCGAGCAGTGCGGATTCCAAGATCAACGTAGTTCAGGCATCTGGTCTGCCAAGGCTACGTAGCAAGCAGCACAAAAGGAGTAGTAAGATGATGGGAGAGAGAGTAGAAAACGATCACCAACTCACAAAAGGTGTACAAATACTCCAGATAGCAGATCGTAACAAGAACAACACATAGCTGTCTCAGAAAGTTAAACACTGGCTACTCAAGTTACCCCAGGTCCTTCAGATCAGCATGTCAAGAACACAGGCATGCACAGGTCATACAGATCAGCATGTCAAGAACACAGGCATGCACAGGTCATACAGATCAGCATGTCAAGAACACAGGCATGCACAGGTCATACAGATCCGCATGTCAAGAACACAGGCATGCACAGGTCATACAGACAAGTAAGCTACAAGCACTGTCACATCAACTACCGTACTAGTATTTAATGGAGCATAATAGTGCAGACTTCAGCAACTTACAACAAGGAGGAGGGGGGGGGGGGGGGGCAGGGGGGATATATGCCACAAAATACAGCATATGAAAACATAAAGCCTCCCAAGGAAAGGCAAGCTGCTCACCTCCATCAATTCTGGCACTGTGTTTTCCTCGATCTGGACGGAAGAAAAGAAGCACAAAATGAAAACAAAATAAGATAGAAGCTGCAGGTACAGTTCAACACGTAGGTAGAATTGGACCAAGTTATCGCGGCTATGGAACAGATTCCACCGCAGAAAACAAGATGAATATAACAGACTAGTAGACCGGAACAATGACCTAACTAGGCTCCCTCCTGGGTGACGCCGAAGATGCTGCTCGGAGGCGTCAACTGGCCGCCGCCGCCTTCAACTCACTCCTCAAGATCTGGACCCGGAGGCGCCAGATCAGTGAAGGTCTTCGGCTGAGGCTCTACAACGCCTACGTCATCCCAGTCCTTACCTACAACTGCGGCACTTGGGGCCTACCGATGTCGGAGCGCGCGCGCGCGCGAATGGATCCGTTCCACAGGACCCAGCTAAGGAGCATCATCGACATGCGGTACCCTAAACGAATTAGCAATGGCACTCTGTATAAGCGCTGCGGAGCTGTCCCTATCAGCGAGATGATCACAAGGCAGCGCTACAGTCTCGCTGGCCATATCTTTCGTTTGGCCCCAACTGCTCCTCCACAGTTGGCAGTGGATATGTATCTTCGCTTGGCCAACGACGAGGGCACTGAACGCTTCAGGGGTCGACCTCGGACGACTTTGGTAACGGTCTTGCAGACGGAACTGTCATCATGGCATGGACTTACCCTCCACCAGCCGCTAGATGCTGACGCAGTCCGCACAATGGCAGCGGACCGACAGGCATGGTGTGGAGCCCGCCCCACATAACAGGACTGATTCTCGTGATCCACGTGATTCCGCCAGACATGTTGTATGCATATTCTATTTTATTTTATACTTTGGATGAAGTTTTCCATTAGTCCTATTGGTATTGTTGCTAACGGCTTCGTAACTTCTGTCATTTCATTGTATCGTATTACTCTTCAGACATCAATCCTGAATGGCATAAGCGAAAGTGGCACCCCCGCCACCTACGCGGACATGCTTTTAATACTATATATAGTAGACCGGGGATGAATTTATCCTGTATCGCATCGCAGTTTGCTATGCAAAATCGATCTACTGCGATAAAACTGCGATACATACGGACTATCCATGCTTAGCCTGCGCTATGAAGTAACATGCATACAGTGCAATGTAGGTGGTGCAAGTACTCTCAATCTGTGTGCACATGTATACTTCAGTCGGTTTTTTGCAAATGGGCTTTTAGGCGTCACTCTCAAGAACAATCTGGTAAACACCCAACCTTCAAAGAAAAATGCTAATCAAAATCAAAGACTGCTACACAATTGTGATTTTGTATAGCAGAAACTGCTATGCAAAAATAGGACAGTAAATTCATCCCTGTAGACTACTTCAAAGTACATCACAATCAAAATCATCTATGCCATGCACTGAGCATGTGATGGGATTCTAAATCTCTAATCTGTGACATTACACATGCTAATGATCCGCCTACACCAAACATGCAGGCACATTCAACATACCAAACCGGCAAAATAGAAGGACACGGCGAGCAGTAGGTCTGGATCGATCAAAGTCGAGCCAGCTGCCCGGAGTTCCTGTAAGCCATTGCGCACAGCACGCCGGAGATCACTTGATCTATGGTAAACAGACAATACACAGTTGACAATGGTGCGGTCAGTCTTCAGAAGAGAGATAAACTCCACCTAATCATCAACCCTTTCCCCAACAACGGGCACTTCAGAAGAGAGAGAAGTAAGGCAAATAGCAGCAGATTGACAATGTACAAATGCAAAAATTCGTCACCGACAACTAAAAAATCAATAGTGCTTCTACTACAGGTAAAATCCTGACAATTCGAACACCACACGCACACACACGATATGTACGTCAAACTGCTCACATCAGCACACAGAACTGCGATATGCACTCAAGATACAGATTCCATGGGTCTGGGGTACCCAATAAAGGGGTGTATCTATTCGAATCGAAAGAGACAGAGAGGCAGAGCAATCGAGGGAGGGAGAGTGGGAGAGAGAGAGAGAGAGAGAGAGAGAGAGAGAGAGAGAGAGAGAGAAACTCACTTGTTTCGGCCAAAGTCCAACACATTTGACCACCACTTGCTTTGGGCGTCTGTCAGCAGGTTGGAGGTCAGTGCTAAGGGCATCAGCGACGGGCGGAATGAAGATAGCTCATTGTCCGCACTAGTGTCCACACACTGTGTCCACTGGCTGACACATACCAAGAAAGCCTGGGCAGCACAGTAAATCGTGTCATACGGTAAGGTTACATGCTCCTTAGGGCATGGCTTTGCATTGCATACTGACTTGCTAGCTTGGGATAGGACATTGCAAATCAGCATAATTATACTACAGGCACACAGACACACAGAGAAGGTGGTATCATTGCCATCAACCATCTGCAACACTCACCTCCAAGTCAGCAGTACACAGCGTATCCGGCGATGCAGAGTGGATGTCACTTGTTTCCATGTAGAAATTAGCAGGCAGCACGGACGTGACCCAATTGTGCACACAACTGCTAGAGCTATCCGATTGGATTGGCTGGCAGCGCATTAGCCACACTAGTGTCGCCAAATCTCCACCGCAGTTCTCCACAACAGATGCATCAAAGCTCTCCATGTCCTCGCCAGGCAACTCCATCTTGGTGTCAATAAACTGAGAGTCGTTGTACAGAAACATCTGGAAGCAAAATAAAAAACAGTACAAGAGGGATATGTTTTCAATGCAAGCTCTCAAGACGGAACAATGACAGAACAACAGGCACCCACCACTCATCATGACATAATTCCATGCATCTCCCCTATCAATGAATATTACAATTTACAAATGCCAATAAGAGGCTCAGTTCCAGTGAGGATTCTATTGAATGACTTACCCCAGATGAGTCAAAAAGGCGGCCAAATGCTACTTCAACCAACTTGCCCTGACCCTGGAGACAAACAAAATCAAAAAATGGGCACAATGAATGAGTACACGTACCATTGCTGCCCGAGGGTCATCAAATGACACATGAAGAATAGTACAGAGAAAATTATCCGGCATACCGGTACTGCTGTTTGGAGCACAATATCACTGTGACAAGTAATCGGTCGAAAAAAATACTTCGGTTCTGCAACTATGAAAGAGAACAGACTGAGCAGGCACTACACCCTACCAAGGCAGTGCTCTCCTGTATAACATTGGTTCTGTGTTCCATGGCAGCATACCTGAGGGTTACAGTGCTGATCCACTGCCTGCTGCATCCAGTCAACGCCAAAGCGCTCAAAGAAGTTGTCCATGATGTGACCGGCTTCACTGAGACGCTTGCAGGACAGCAGGTGCAGCTGGCTGCAGAGGTTGGGCTGCTGGAAGGAAAACGTCGACTCCTTGGGAAAGAGAGGCTGGGCCAGCGAGGCACTGAACACAACACATGCTAGGTTTGATGCAGTCTCCCAGGATAGAGATGATGACTGGACATAACACAGGTTCAATCAACGACATAAACTTTTCTTAATTCACAAACTCCCTTACCTTTTCTGAGCACTCACTCACATAACTATGGTGTTTTGGCTGCGAAAAAAACTCTCAATACAGTCAAACCTCGCTTATCCGGTCCTCGTTTATCCGGATCCCTCGCCATCCGGAAGAAAAAAATCTGGTTACATATTTACAGCATACGTGATGCATCCAACACAAACGGTGTTCGGTTATCCGGTTCCCTCGCCTATCCGGATATTTTTTTGGAAAACGGATGTGTGCGGTTAAGCGAGGTCTGACTGTACTGAGTATCACCAAGTTTCAATGAAGGACATCAAAAAACAACAAAAGGAGATTACATAGCCAACAATCAAGAATATCAACTAGCCCAAGCAGCCAGCAATCGAAATACGGATAACGAGCAAAACAGCACAGGGATGCACGCAACAGCTACTTTGTAGAAAAAAAAGCATGCACGCATACCTTATCAGTGGCTGTCTTCAACAACAACACACCAACATGAAAATAGAGCTGGGCTCGAATTTCATTGAGGCCAATACTCCACAGAGAGTCCTTGCCAGGAGACGTCTGACTAGGTGGACTAGAGTCCCAGGCTCGCATCAGTGCACAGTCCAATCTGCAACAAAGACAACAAAGACATAGGAATTCTCAGTGGCAAGAACACCCCAAACAGAATCAAAAAATAAGTTTCGAAACGTGTCGCGACTCGCACCAAAAAGATAAAGCCATACAGATTTTCCTGCCAAGCATACGCCTGCTGCTTACTTCAACAAATTCTTCTGAGCTTCCTCCAGTGAGCAGGACAACACAATGTTCTGTTGAATGCGGCTGAGCACTGGCAGTAAAATGAGCTGTGTTGTACGACCACGCTGCACAGCCTGTGAGTTGTTCTGAGGACGGAGAGTAGCTGCAGACACCGGGACATACAGATATGAATGGCACAAACTTAATGAGCATAACCTCTTTTTTTACATAGAAGACCGGACACAAAACTGCAGCAGAACATCAATTTCTCTTCATATCTGCCTACAGAACTGGAACACCGCTACAACATCTCAAATCTGAAATAACTCAATGCACTGGCATCGCATACCGGTATATCAAGTGCTTACCTGCAAGCTCATGAGCATCTAAGTATTTCTGCAGAGACATGGGCAAATATGAGCAAGAACATCATGTTAGGAGGGTAAGCAGCAGCTTTCGGCCTGTTCATCATTGTGTCCCAACTTCCCAACACATGCTCTCTTCAGCTGACCTGGTTCACCACAGCAGCAACAAGACTCCGGATATAGTAGATACTAGATACTGGCATTTATTCCTCCAGATAGCTGTTTCGATCACATAAATCTTATCAGAAAAATCTCTCTCAATACTGAATTACTATTTTTGATCAAGGACATCGAATAATAGCAAAAAGGAGATCGAATGACCAATACTCAACAGTATCCACCTGCTCAAGCAGCCAGAAATCTAAATATAAAACGGTGAGCTTTGAGGTAACATAAGTGCTAGCACAAGGGCAATAAGTGCACGGTCACACTATAATGTGTAAGGTACTGCGGATATAGATACATGTAGCACTGTAGGCGCAAAAGATCATAGCACACTGAAAAAACACGCTGAATATTGAGGGGACACATCAGACTTGGATGGAAAGCGAAGGACCAAAATTGACAGAAGGGACCAAAACATTACATGTTACCCGTAGCTTGCCCAACACTAACAGATACGAGTGAAATACTTGTGAGTCAGAATGTGCAACAATTAGCACAATCCTGATTGATGAGGCAGTGACATTCAACGACCTGATTGTTTAGCTCCATCACTTTCGAGGTTAGTGTTGGACAAGCTACAGGTAACCTGTAAACTTTCGGCCCTTTCTTTCTTTTGACAGTTCAAAGACCAGGCTCCAGAATAGCATTGCAAGTAGTCATGTGAGAGGCCCCTGAGCCATTCCCTCCACACACTCATTCGTTACCACACTGTGGTCTTGTCACAGAGCCAGGCGTCACAAGATAAATCAAAAGGGTTTGGACTAGATGATCTAGACGTTGGTTTGTCAATTCATCAGTCAGACGATGTTAAGATTATACCCGGGACAACTAGGGCCTACCTGGGCACAGTCAGCAAAGCAGTTCAGCCACAGGACTTCGTCATAAAAGATACGCTTGGAATCCAACTCGGCACAGTACCGAAAAGCATCCGACAGGCGACCTGATTAGCACAGTGAGATACAATGCACAAACAAGCACATGCGTACACACACAGACACACATACACCAAGGATGAATCAGTTCATAACAAACCCACCGAAACGACCCACAAGCAACACGAATGCTCCAACACAGTGCAAGCCGGAAGAACTAAAATTAGCCCACCCGGTTCCCAGATTTTGTACGGACGTGATCACACTGCGACAAGACTAGGCTCGCACCCATGCGACAGCATGACGCAGAAACGTGATGGTTGTGCTCAAACTACATCTAAAACGAAAAGAGAAGTGTTGCATTTTAAAATTTCTTGATGTTGGACATTTTTCACTGGCTGAGAAAATTGTTTGTATTTCCAGTTCAAATTGAGTGAATTTTTACAGGCAACGAGCATTTTATTTCACGTAAAGCAACAAAAACCTGGCTAGCTGCGTAGCTGACAGTGAGATTTCACCTGGACACCCCGGAACTGAATACTAGAAGCCCTACGGTGTTGGATGCAGCTGTGGATCCCCGTTTCCGCACGCTTACTTTACTGTCACTTGATCATGTCAACTGCGCCTGACCGGTAAGTGCGCATAAATGGTGTATTTGCGTGCGCGTGCAGAACTATCTGTGACTGGCCTGTTTCCATATAGAATATTGGTTTCACCCTAAAGCGATATACATATATCCAACTGTTAGAACAATCTGGCTATAATGTTAGAGTCTGGTTTAAATTTAGGCCTTGAGAGACATGTACCAGGTTCGGCCTCGTTTCTCTGTGCTGCACTGATGAGGTCACAAAGGACACAGTAATACTGTCTGCAGGCTGAATAACTGTAAATACCTACAATCACAATAGCAGCATACCAGTGCATGTATCATGCCCAGACAGTCAAACACAGAAATTTTCAGCCCACCTGCTACCTTCCAGACCACAGATGCAACCAGAAACTCACCAATTTTAGCATTGACTTGGACATAGCGAATGTGAAGTGACATGTCCATTGGGTTCTCTGACTGTAAAGAAACAGAGACACAATACCCAGACAACGCATTCTCAGCAGCTGAAAACATGCATGGTTTTGACAAGTGCCCCACGGCAGAGTAGCTGATCAAAACAACATGAAGCAAGGCGGTATCACCACCATTACAGAAAGGGAAGAGATAGCTGTCACTAGGAAGTATTATTACAACTTACCAACTGGCGATTCAGCAGGCCAACAAGCTGCTCCAGGTCAGCTTTGGTAGCTCTCGCTGTAAGCAGTTGCTCCTATACAAAACATACAAACGATTATTAGTCCAGGATTCAAGAAAGAAATACACATGCAAAAGTGAAAAGCAAGACAAGATATACACACAGCACACAACATATGCATGTACTTGTTTAAAAGTATCAGAAGACCAAAGTCTTGAAACTGAATACCTCACTTGAGAATGCTGTGAGTATCTAAACAGCAATGAAAAACTTACCTGCAGTCGCTTTACTGAAGAGTCATTTGGTGCAAGCTTGAGGGCTCGATTTACCCAAGCCTGAAAGAACATACATAAAAGAAGAAAGGTCATGAACGACAGTCCAAAAGCCCACCACACACACTGAAAGCTGCACTTGAAGTGCTCACAAAGAGAAAGAGATGCCAGTATGAAAATAATAATAACATGCTGCATCTTTTAACCCGCTTTCATTCTTTTCACCTCTCTAAACTATAGTATCGCAAGCCAGTTGAGTCTCCAGTTCAAGTTAATAAAAACTATCATGGAGTTAACCCTTTACAGGCCAGCCATACACGACCACAACAAGGTCAATATTTGATCATTTTTGACCATCAAAATATCGAAATCGAAGAGGAAACACATACCATTCCATCGCCGCAATCTGCGAAGTGATAGAATTTACTGTTGGTGTGCTACGATGCTTTGAAGTTTGAGTCACGGCACTTTGCTCGGAAAGTGCGTTTGCCTGTCACTGAGTTGGGGATTTCCCCATTTCCCGCTAGCTGTTTCTATGGGAACACGGATTCAAATCGCGCTTGGGACGCGAGTGAATCTTCACAATAAAATTGAGATTGAGAGGAGCAAGGAGAGTGAATTGGCCGATGAGGATTGATCTTCAGGACGATCCCAGCGCTGGAGCACTATTGCTGGGCTGCTACGCTGGCCTCGTCCCGTGTGTTGACTTGAGTTTGACCTCAAATTGTTCCTCTTGGCGAGATCTTTCCAGGGCGCCTAAGATCGTAAGATCAATCAAGGTAAACTAAAGTTACGACTCGTTGTGTGTCCACATTTCGGAAAATGGTCACAAATTGCATTCTGTGATTTGATTAATCGGCCGGTAAAGGGTTAAAACGGGATTCAAACTTGAAGTATTATTATTATTTCTTTTACATCGGAAGCTCAACAGTGCAGCTGCACCAATAAAAAGAGGCCGATGCACAGCATACAGCTAAGCAGTAGCATGCTGGTCTTACCTCAGCCAGAGGCAAACGTTCTGGCATGTTAAGATAAATGTTTGCCACTGCAGAGAATGAAACACAAGGAGATTGAGAACAGGACAACGTGCAGTTAGTCTTATGGTTGATGATGATATCATGCATGGATGGGATTGAAAGTTATTTTCCCAGCAGCATCCCTACTCTAAAACTACACCACAGATGCAAAGTGGGCAGTAATGTAAAGTACATAAACACATGGAACAGAAGGAAAATTAGCCTTATCACAGTCATCAATGCCTGGATATATTAAAACAATTACTGACACGGGTCGGAACTGAACTCCCTACACAATTACTGACTACGAGTCAGAGATTAACTTTGTAAGGATCTTGCTAATGCCACGTGTACATACATTTCATGACGACAGCCTTCTGAGTATTCTTCAGCTCCCAGGATCTGGAAAAGGAAAATATCGGGGCATGCATACGTTATTTGCAGGATCTTGTACGGGTGGATAATCTCCATGAAGGTACCAGAAACAAACACATCAAACCAAAAGACTTTACACAGCAGTGCATTGCGACACAGGGCGACAAACTAATCTAAAACACTGCCTACAGAAAAGAGAAAGGAATTCACAGCCAAATCTTTGCGTACCATGCAACAGTCACAGCGACTCACCTCCGGAACGATTCCGCTGCCTTTTCCAGCTGGTTTTCCTTCTCATAGACATCACCCAAGAGGTTGTGACCTCTGCACATACAGACACATACAGATACACACAGACACACAAGCACACACACACACACACGCACGCACACGTACGCCCGTCGCAAAAGAAGCAAGCAAATCCACAACACATCTAAATCCCTCTAACTGGTACTTACGGCCACTGCATTGATTACTGAAACATCAGCCATAGTTAAAATGAGAAAAAGGAAGAGCATACGTAAACTCACTTGACATCAGTTGGGTTGCTGGCAATGTGTGCAACCGCATGGCTGTGCATAAACACAAAGAAGAACAATAAAAGAAATTCTAGCTATGGGCCTTAGTCAACGTCAGGAAACAGAGAATGTTTCTCGCATGAGTTTTTCAGTAAAAAGGCATGCTTTCGCAGAGCACTGATAGAGACGAGGGCAGATATGCATATACTGTAATTTCACAAATTTTCGATGCACTTTTATTTTCGGTACTTTCGGTGTGTCTGTTTCATACCTAAATTTGCAATACACCGAACAAACACTAACACACATAATCCAATAGGGAACTGCTTCTCTGTACCTAAAATTTCTGTTCACCTAACCTGGCCTTTTGCCCTCCTGACGAAAATATTGAGCACCTAAAATTTCTGAAATTAGAGTACACCACTTAGGACTAAAATCCAATTATATGTATCATATACATTCAGAGAAATTGAAAACACGTAATGGGTAGCAGCTATATTACGGGTAAACAATCTGATTTATCATCTTCGCTGTACAATGACTTCCGGAAAGTGGTGGTGGGAGTACAAATCAAGAAATCAGTCTAGGAAGACCCAACTATGGGGTAAAATATTTCAGTACATTCCAGGAATGTCAGTGATAATCCATCAGTTCCGCAATAACGCTGGGTAGAGGTCAACTACATGTAAGTCATTCATTTCGGTTCATTCAAAAAACAAAATGTTTCGAACTTCAATTCGTAAACGTGAAACATATACACGGTGACGATCAAAGTACTTGTACAAGTAATATTATTAACTACGCCAAACATACCGTTTGCCTGTCTCGTATTGGCCCTTCTCAACAGCCATCTTGGCCAGCACAAAATGATCCTGGAACATGAAAGTCCATCAGTGTTTGGAATCAGGCGAAATACAATCATGACTGATGCAGTGATGGAATATTGAAATGCAAGAACCAACCTCCGCCGTGCCAGGCCGCTTGCGAGAGCTCTCCACCCCGGCCATAATAAGCCACTGCTGCGCTCTCTCCACTGACGGAGGCTCGCTATAGCTGGAAGAATTCTTCCAGACCAAAATACGGAACAAGAAACCTTGACAAAGGTGCTTACAAAGAAGAAAGTGGATTCAAACCAGTCGAAGGCGGATCTTTCTAGCCATACACGCCGTTACCAGGTGACTGGTCAAACTCTTCATCGATCGAAACAAGCAGAAAAAAATGTACTCATGTTCGAAAGAACTCGTTTCAGCTCGTGCGCCATTTTATTTTACCAAGGCAACGACATAGTTGCCAGGCCAAGCTTCTCCGAAGCATGCAGACTGTGCAGCCAGCGGCCAGGCCAGGAAGATGAACAGAAATTTCAAAAACTGAAAAAGAAGTAGACGTCTACTGCATGCATGCTCCAACACTGCACATAGATCTACTGAGTGACTGCTGTAGTTCTGATCTTTCTTTCATCTTCAAAAAGACTTCATTCATTTTTCGGCCACAACCTGATTCAGTGATTGCTTGTTATTTTTGAAATAGACTGTATGTGCGGTCCTCCCCGGGTACTTTCGAAAACGTTGTCGTGTAAACGTAGCCTCAGCTGGATGATGGAGGCCGAGGTTTCTGCATCCGTAGCCTAGGCGTAGGAACGCCACCACCCCCAAGCCAGGATCAAGGCGCAGAATGATGCATCTCCTAAAGTGGTGGGAGGTGAGTAGATCAGACCCAACAAAGCTAAAGACTGGTCAAAGATCGAAAATCCCATTCGCTGCATCCATGAATCAGGGAGTACTAATACTAATACAGGTAGACTCCCTTTAATTCGAACCTCAAATTGCCAGGCCCTAACTTCGAATTATCCAGAACTTCTAATTATCCAAATGCAGCCCCATGCACTGATATGTATGTCAAAATGCTTGAAATCGCATGCTGAATATTTTTTGCACATTTTTATTTGCATCAACGAAACATAGTTGGTCGTACCGGTCATTTACAACGGATCATCAAAACACTGGATCGACACAAAATCATTTTGACATTATCTTCATCTTCTAGTGAAGAAGTAAGTTGTCAGTCACTGCAGCTTTCCTGAAACAATTTCAACGGAAAAGAACTGCGCTGCCTAATCCGCGTCATGAAAGGCCGTCGAACAGCAGCACGTCGTTCTGAAGAACGGAAGTGGAGCATAGGCATCGACAATATTTACGACAATAGTGTTGTTGTTCGCCAACATCCCCGCGCACGAGCTGGCGCGGCAAGAAAGGCCATCGAGATCCGCGAAGAGAGTCAGCCACCTGGAAGAAGTCGTCTTTAATCAAACCTTTGCAATTTGCCTAGCACGGGCTTGAATCAAATTTCGAGAGAAGGTGGGTTTCTTGAACGCTATAGTCGATCCTGCAGCGGACCATCAATCGATTTTTGAGCTACTCTTGGCTAGAGAAGGAGAAAAGAATGAACTTCGAATTACAAGGATAGCAACTCAATCTCACTTCGAAATAAGCGTTCAAAGGACATAGCCAATGTACTGTAAACAGCTCTTCTGTACGAAGACTGGGTTCGAATTGTCCAACCGGCGCACTTTTCGTACTTCGAATTATGCATTCGATTTTGACTTGAAGTGACTTGCAGAAGATCGGTACGACGAAAAAGTTCGAATTACACGGAATGTTCGAATTAAACCGTATTCGAATTAGAGGGAGTCTACCTGTAGTAAAAATACACAGTACAATACACAGTACCAGTTTTACTACTCCCTGGTACATGGCTCGAAATTCTTCGAATCCACTTTTCTCTTTGTGCACATAAGCACATAATTCAGCTTTCTCGACCATCAAGGTTTCTTGTTCCATATTTTGATCTGGAAGGATTCTTCCAGGTAGCGAGCCTCCGTCAGTGGAGAGAGCGCGGTAGTGGCTTATCATGGCCGGGGTGGAGAGCTCTCGCAAGCGGCCTGGCACGGCGGAGGTTGGTCCATGATCCCGGCGTTGCCAAATGTCCAGCATGCAACACACCACAATCATCAACTCAATCGGCACCAGCTGCTGCTGCTCCCGGTGTAGCGTTGGTCACGCTACAAGCTCAGCATTTGCGTATACGCTCAGCGTACTGTTCAATACGACGTTCGCTACAAGCTCAGCATTTGCGTATACGCTCAGTGTACTGTTCAATACGACGTTCGTTCTACCATACAACGGTCGCATGACAGTACGTTGCTGTTTGTGATTATTTTCCATAAATAGCGTTTATTTTATCTTTCACTATGAGTTCAGAGTTTTACTGCTAGAGGCAGTTTTGCCGTTCTAGAGAGAGAGAATTGTGAATAAAGTTAGTTTCAAGTTGTTAGGTTGTTTTGCCTCCAGGCCGATTACATAATTGGTGGCAGCGGTGGTTAAAGTCAACTTTGTCAGATTCGACCCCACCTGTTTTTACATTGGTAGCAATGGTTCTACAAAATTGGTGGCAGCGGTAAAGTTTTGTTCTAGTTGCATGTTTTCCGACGTAATGGCCGCTACACATTTGTGACAGCCGTCAATTTTAGTTTTAGTTTTCATCCACGTTTCGCTGAGGTCTCAAGTTAGTTCGTGTATCTGAAGGAGCACCCGCCGTCACCCGCCGCTGTCCCAGCTCCGCTGCTCCTGCCGCCCGCCACAACTAGCCAGTCATGATGGCAGCCAACGTGTCTTTAGGGATTAGGCTCCATGACAGATAGCGCTCGCGTCTCAAAGGACGGTGCTCCATGTACATTGCCAGTGTAAGCTAATTCCAGATATGGCATTTTTTTTCCTGTCTTCCTTCAGTCTTCCTGTTCTCTTCAGCCTTCCTTTACGCGAGCGTGTGAATTCAGTTTAGTTTTGTAGGCGTCTGATCATGGTGAACCACGGTCTATCTAATTAATCTGGGACGATGTTAATATATAATAATAGTGTATTCAGTTCGGTTCTGAACTGCGGTTTTCCTGGCGGGTTGCGCCAGCGTTTTACAGGAAGTGTATTGAGGTTTCACTTTTGAACCCGTGAGATAGTTTGACCCCGGTGTGCTTCTATTTTTATGATTTGTTATCAGTTCATTTCTTCTGTCTACTCCATAAACGTTATAATTTCCGATATTATTTGCCATACATATCCCGGTTGACGCTCTATGTTCTTTCGTCGAGGTTGTCCCGACGCGACCATGCATACCGCCAAATGTTTCGACCACCAACCCGCTACTAATCACGAGGACGTGATTGTCTTTGAGAGGGGAGGTGTAGCGTTGGTCACGCGTTGGTCACGCTACAAGCTAGCATTTGCGTATACGCTCAGCGTACTGTTCAATACGATGTTCGCTACAAGCTCAGCATTTGCGTATACGCTCAGCGTACTGTTTAATACGACGTTCATTCTACCATACAACGGTCGCATGACAGTACGCTGCTGTTTGTGATTATTTTCCATAAATTGCGTTTATTTTATCTTTCACAATGAGTTCAGAGTTTTACTGCTAGAGGCAATTTTGCCGTTCTAGAGAGAAAGAGAGAATAGTTAATAAAGTTAGTTTCGAGTTGTTAGGTTGTTTTGCCTCCAGGCCCGCTACACCAGTGCCACTCCAGCTTCTGCTCCAACCATAACTGCCAGTGATGACAGATCCTTGCTTGATTTGCTGAACGTCAAATCAGGCACGTGGACCTGTTCTGGCTGTTATCTTAGCCAAGATCCCAGTGTCGCCAAATGTCCAGCATGCAACACACCACAATCATCAACTCAATCGGCACCAGCTGCTCCATCTGCTGCTGCTCCCAGTGCTACTCCAGCTTCTGCTCCAACCATAACTGCCAGTGATGGCAGATCCTTACGTGAATTGCTGAACATCAAATCAGGCACGTGGCCCTGTTCTGGCTGTTGTTTTAGCCATGATCCCCGCGTTGCCAAATGTCCAGCATGCAACACACCACAATCATCAACTCAATCGGTACCAGCTGCTCCATCTGCTGCTTCAGCTGCTGCTGCTCCCAGTGCTAATCCAGTTTCTGCTCCAACCATAACTGCCAGTGATGGCGGATCCTTGCGTGAAATGATGAACATCAAATCAAGCACGTGGACCTGTTCTGGTTGTTATCTTAGCCATGATCCCAGCGTCGCCAAATGTCCAGCATGCAACACACGTAAATCATCAACTCAATCGGCACGAGCTGCTCCCAGTGCTACTCCAGCTTCTGCTCCGACCATAACTGCCAGTGATGGCAGATCCTTGCTTGATTTGCTGAACTGTACTGGTTGTTATCTTAGCCATGATCCCGGCGTTGCCAAATGTCCAACATGCAACACACCACAATCATGAACTCAATCGGCACCAGCTGCTCCCAGTGCTACTCCAGATTCTGCTCCAACCATAACTGCCAGTGATGGCAGATCCTTGCTTGATTTGATGAACTGTACTGGTTGTTATCTTAGCCATGATCCCGGCGTTGCCAAATGTCCAGCATGCAACACACCACAATCATCAACTCAATCGGCACCAGCTGCTCCATCTGCTTCTTCAGCTGCTGCTGCTCCCAGTGCTACTCCAGCTTCAGTTCCAACCATAACTGCCAGTGATGGCAGATCCTTACGTGCTTTGCTGAACATCAAATCAGGCACGTGGACCTGTTCCGGCTGTTGTTTTAGCCATGATCCCAGCGTTGCCAAATGTCCAGCTTGCAACACACCACAATCATCAACTCAATCGGTACCAGCTGCTGCTGCTCCCAGTGCTAATCCAAATTCTGCTCCAACCATAACTGCCAGTGATGGCGGATCCTTGCGTGAAATGATGAACATCAAATCAAGCACGTGGACCTGTTCTGGTTGTTATCTTAGCCATGATCCCAGCGTCGCCAAATGTCCAGCATGCAACACACCACAATCATCAACTCAATCGGCACCAGCTGCTCCATCTGCTGCTTCAGCTGCTGCTGCTCCCAGTGCTACTCCAGCTTCTGCTCCAACCATAACTGCCAGTGATGGCAGATCCTTACGTGATTTGCTGAACATCAAAGCAGGCACATGGACCTGTACTGGTTGTTATCTTAGCCATGATCCTGGCGTTTACAAATGTCCAGCATGCAACACACCGCAATCATCAAGTCAATCGGCACCAGCTGCTGCTGCTCCCAGTGCTACTCCAGCTTCTGCTCCAACCATAACTGCCAGGGATGACAGACCCTTACGTGATTTGCTGAACATCAAATCAGGCAGGGGGACCTGTTCTGGCTGTTATTTTAGCGATGATCCCAGCGTCGCCAAATGTCCAGCATGCAACACACCACAATCATCAACTCAATCGGTACCAGCTGCTCCATCTGCTGCTTCAGCTGCTGCTGCTCCCAGTGCTAATCCAGCTTCTGCTCCAACCGTAACTGCCAGTGATGGCAGATCCTTGCGTGAAATGATGAACATCAAATCAAGCACGTGGACCTGCTCTGGTTGTTATCTTAGCCATGATCCCAGCGTCGCCAAATGTCCAGCATGCAACACACCACAATCATCAACTCAATCGGCACGAGCTGCTCCCAGTGCTACTCCAGCTTCTGCTCCAACCATAACTGCCAGTGATGGCAGATCCTTGCTTGATTTGCTGAACTGTACTTGTTGTTATCTTAGCCATGATCCCAGCGTTGCCAAATGTCCAGCATGCAACACACCACAATCATCAACTCAATCGGCACCAGCTGCTCCATCTGCTTCTTCAGCTGCTGCTGCTTCCAGTGCTACTCCAGCTTCTGTTCCAACCATAACTGCCAGTGATTGCAGATCCTTACGTGCTTTGCTGAACATCAAATCAGGCACGTGGACCTGTTCTGGCTGTTGTTTTACCCATGATCCCAGCATTGCCAAATGTCCAGCATGCAACACACCACAATCATCAACTCAATCGGTACCAGCTGCTCCATCTGCTGCTTCAGCTGCTGCTGCTCCCAGTGCTACTCGTTTCTGCTCCAACCATAACTGCCAGTGATGGCGGATCCTTGCGTGAAATGATGAACATCAAATCAAGCACATGGACCTGTTCTGGTTATTATCTTAGCCATGATCCCAGTGTTGCGAAATGTCCAGCATGCAACACACCACAATCATCAATTCAATCGGCACCAGCTGCTCCATCTGCTGCTTCAGCTGCTGCTGCCCCCAGTGCTAGTCCAGCTTCTGCTCCAACCATAACTGCCAGTCATGGCACATCCTTGCTTGATTTGCTGAACATCAAATCAGGCACATGGACCTGTACTGTTTGTTATCTTAGCCATGATCCCGGCGTTGCCAAATGTCCAGCATGCAACACACCACAATCATCAACTCAATCGGCACCAGCTGCTGCTGCTCCCAGGTCTACTCCAGCTTCTGCTCCAACCATAACTGCCAGTGATGACAGATCCTTGCTTGATTTGCTGAACATCAAATCAGGCACGTGGACCTGTTCTGGCTGTTATCTTAGCCATGATCCCAGTGTCGCCAAATGTCCAGCATGCAACCCACCACAATCATCAACTCAATCGGCACCAGCTGCTCCATCTGCTTCTTCAGCTGCTGCTGCTCCCAGTGCTGATCCAGTTTCTGCTCCAACCATAACTGCCAGTGATGGCAGATCCTTGCGTGAATTGATGAACATCAAATCAAGCACGTGGACCTGTTCTGGTTGTTATCTTAGCCATGATCCCAGCGTCGCCAAATGTCCAGCATGCAACACACCACAATCATCAACTCAATCGGCACCAGCTGCTCTACCTGCTGCTGCTCCCAGTGCTACTCCAGCTTCTGCTCCAACCATAACTGCCAGTGATGGCAGATCCTTGCTTGATTTGCTGAACTGTACTGGTTGTTATCTTAGCCATGATCCTGGCGTTGCCAAATGTCCAACATGCAACACACCACAATCATGAACTCAATCGGCACCAGCTGCTCCCAGTGCTACTCCAGATTCTGCTCCAACCATAACTGCCAGTGATGGCAGATCCTTGCTTGATTTGCTGAACTGTACTGGTTGTTATCTTAGCCATGATCCCAGCGTCGCCAAATGTCCAGCATGCAACACACCACAATCATCAACTCAATCGGCACGAGCTGCTCCCAGTGCTACTCCAGCTTCTGCTCCAACCATAACTGCCAGTGATGGCAGATCCTTGCTTGATTTGCTGAACTGTACTGGTTGTTATCTTAGCCATGATCCCGGCGTTGCCAAATGTCCAGCATGCAACACACCACAATCATCAACTCAATCGGCACCAGCTGCTCCATCTGCTTCTTCAGCTGCTGCTGCTCCCAGTGCTACTCCAGCTTCTGTTCCAACCATAACTGCCAGTGATGGCAGATCCTTACGTGATTTGCTGAACATCAAATCAGGCACGTGGACCTGTTCTGGCTGTTGTTTTAGCCATGATCCCAGCGTTGCCAAATGTCCAGCATGCAACACACCACAATCATCAACTCAATCGGTACCAGCTGCTGCTGCTCCCAGTGCTAATCCAAATTCTGCTCCAACCATAACTGCCAGTGATGGCGGATCCTTGCGTGAAATGATGAACATCAAATCAAGCACGTGGACCTGTTCTGGTTGTTATCTTAGCCATGATCCCAGCGTCGCCAAATATCCAGCATGCAACACACCACAATCATCAACTCAATCGGCACCAGGTGCTCCATCTGCTGCTTCAACTGCTGCTGCTCCCAGTGCAACTCCAGCTTCTGCTCCAACCATAACTGCCAGTGATGGCAGATCCTTACGTGATTTGCTGAACATCAAAGCAGGCACATGGACCTGTACTGGTTGTTATCTTAGCCATGATCCTGGCGTTTACAAATGTCCAGCATGCAACACACCACAATCATCAAGTCAATCGGCACCAGCTGCTGCTGCTCTCAGTGCTACTCCAGCTTCTGCTCCAACCATAACTGCCAGTGATGACAGACCCTTACGTGATTTGCTGAACATCAAATCAGGCAGGGGGGCCTGTTCTGGCTGTTATTGTAGCGATGATCCCAGCGTCGCCAAATGTCCAGCATGCAACACACCACGATCATCAACTCAATCGGTACCAACTGCTCCATCTGCTGCTTCAGCTGCTGCTGCTGCTCCCAGTGCTGATCCAGTTTCTGCTCCAACCATAACTGCCAGTGATGGCAGATCCTTGTGTGAAATGATGAACATCAAATCAAGCACGTGGACCTGCTCTGGTTGTTATCTTAGCCATGATCTCAGCGTCGCCAAATGTCCAGCATGCAACACACCACAATCATCAACTCAATCGGCACCAGCTGCTTCCAGTGCTACTCCAGCTTCTGCTCCAACCATAATTAATTGCCAGTGATGGCAGATCCTTGCTTGATTTGCTGAACTGTACTGGTTGTTATCTTAGCCATGATCCCGGCGTTGCCAAGTGTCCAGCATGCAACGCCCGGACATCATGACCTGCAAGAGTAGTAACTTGTCAACTCGGAACTGGTCGCCAATCACCTTGGTGTTTCTCAATCCACCAGCCAAACCTCTGTGTTGATGATGGTCTCACTGGTGTTTGAACAGAACGTGACAAACGCATACATACAAACGTATGTGCCTCATTCATCACATGAAGATGCTGCAGCTCGCTAGTTGTTCTTCGCATCATTTAATTTGGTTAGAAATTGCTAGTGCCAGCATGATACATCGTGTTTGTTTGGTCCCGGCTGTGTCAAATTTGAATACTGTAGTGTCTTGTATAAAAGCCTGTCTTGTATAGAAGCCTGTTTTGAATACAAGCCTAATTTTTAAGATACACTGTCAGCACATAAGCCTAGTTTTAGTATTGACCTACATCGAGATACGTGGTTTGAATACAAGCCTAGCACTGATATCGGCTTATACGGCCGTAGGGGACCGTCCGTAAATGTCGAACTTTTTTCACCAAACGAATTATTTTAGTTTAGACCCAACCCCTCCCTCCCTCCCCCTCATAACGTAAAAATTGTTGACATATGCATGCATATACAACAAAAGTCGCAAGTGTGTCACTGCTCCTATGGCCATGTACATGTATCGAAGTTTTCTGAAACGAAATTAGTCAACCCCCTCCCACCCCATAACGAAATTATTTCGTTTCGTGAAAAAAGTTCGATAATTATGGGCGACCCCTAAGCACCTGCTTTTATATTATATGCGACATGGCGGTACTTATTTTATTAAATGGGTCTACCACTGGACCCTGCTGTGACTTCTGGGATTGTATGTTTTTCTCCTGGTGAGATCTGTGCATGGCTACAGTGTGGAGCTGGAGATCATGTTTGCTGTTTGGCCGGAGCAGTATGTTGTGAGCTTCAAGAGCCCGATCTTGCCAAGGCTTTCAAGTGTGCTGTTGATGAGTGCAGGCAAGCTACCCAAAATTCCTCAAAATCTGCCACATCCATGGGTGCCACTACCGTGAAGACAACTGCTAGCACTGGTCATAGTGAGGAGCTAGCAGTTGTATTTGAGCGAAAACCAACAAAGGAAGAGGCAGGGTTGGCCAGGAAATAATTATATGCTGCCAGACACATTTTATCTGTACGAGCTGAAGCCAGCATGCCATGGCTGCCGCTTGGCTGTGTGGATGGTGATAGTTATAAGCTTTCGACTGTGACTGGAGGTGCTGCACCAGCTGAAACCAAGTCCTCTGCGCAGCCTACTGCTGCAGAAAGCAGTGATGGACCGCACCCGCAGGTAAGGTAGCCAAACCAACCACTTCAACCAAGTTAGTACGCATTTTCGTTTTGCATAACCTCTCTAATAATAGAACGTCGGTGCTAAGCATACAACGAGAGAGCTAGGAAGCTCAGGGCCCTAAGCTATGCTTTTTTTGCCTAGCTCATCGTGCATGTTTTTAGAACTGATGGAAATGTTTTTTTCCATTGATTGGCTACATCATTGTATTGCAAAAACGTTTCAATCAGTTTGAATATGAGTTAGGCAAAAGTAACTGCAGAATTTATCGCGGATTGTTATTTTCTCTCACTTCATCCACTTTTTTCTTTTCTTTTTAGGCAGGCAGGCACAGTGGGTTGGTCTAAGACCATGATTGAGAAACGAGAGGTACCGTATTTTCCGGTTGTAAGTCGACCTTTTACGACTTAAAATGGAAAGAGAAAGGGTGAGGTCGACTTACAACCGGGATTCGACTTATAACCGGGAACTATCAGTATCTTACAAAAATGACCTGCACTGCATGCACGAGTGCACCATGTTTACACATGTTTGCCAGTTTATTGGCCTTTTTCAATAAATACAAGGATTGGGACGTTACACCCTCCAGTAAGGAATGTTTACATGATTATTTTGTTGATGTGTTAGTAGCAGGAGGTGGCTACAGTGCATTTCAAAACTATAGATGCGTGGGGTTTTTGAAATATTTCAAATTTGGCTGGAACTTTTTGAGAATAGTTTTCGAAATATTGCTCAGGATCGCTCCACATTTACTCTCATTATAGTTTCTAAAGGATTGGATAACAGACGCCCAATTTGGAAAAAATTATGCACAAAGTGATCACAGATTTTATGTGGTATAGATGCTGGCATAACGGTTTTTGCCAAGGTACGCGTCTATAGTTTTGAAATGGACTGTAGTAGTGCTTCTTTGGGTGAAAACTCTAAAACGCAGAATTGAGACCTCCAGATACGGGGGTCGACCTATAACCGGGGTCGACTTACAGTCGGTAAAATACGGTACCAGGTTCAAGTCCTGCTTGGAAGCGGAAGGATTTTTTCCAACCGTGCTGCGACCCGCAGTTAATTGGGAACTCGTGGCCTGGCATGAGTAAAACATGGATGTGGCAAATGGGATTTAGGCCTTTGGCCTCTGGTTGGTGGATCTGATTTATCCTCCCCCACCGTTTAGGAGCCACATCTGATGCCTGATCATGGGGTGGTGGCGTCCCACGGAAGCGGAAAGGTGGTTCTTGACCAGGGAGTTGTACGACTCCTTGTTCTTGACCTGCCCGGTATATATTACCGGTACGCGAACCTGTTGAATTTTATATATTTTTTTATCCACTTTTGGTTTGCTCCTTCTTTTCCTTTTTATCTCCTTATAATCGGATTTTCTGGCCTTTTGTAGTAATACATTGACCTGTTGAGCCAAAGAGGTATAATTATATTCCATACAATAATGTCCTTACCTTGAGTGTGCTTGTGCTTAATTAACTGTGGCTGACGGCCGAATGCATGGTTGCCTGTGGAGCACATTACATGACTTTACAGTCTCCTAATACGCAACCTGTCCGACGGCAAAAGAGGCTGCAGATTTAGTTTTTCTGCACGTTATCAGCAATGCCTACTGGTCTTCAGCAACTTGGGTCTCCTGTAATACGCATCCTGTCTATCCTTTCGTAATGCTAACATAATGCTTGGGATAGCACTCGCTACGGATCTTCGGAAACTTGGCCTATCACTCACTGTTGTAATGTTCACCGTTAACGCGTTCCCAAGCGGTCGTTGGCTTCTCCCACAATTTCATCGTACTGTTGTACGACATGCTATACGACATCCTTATAGTTATACCGTACAACATCGTATTGGTGTCTGGTTATGGGACAGAGAGACTTTTGCTCCCCGAGCTTGTGCATGTAGTGTTTTACGTCGACCATGACGGCTCGCTTTCTTCTTCTTCTTCTTCTTCTTCGGTATCAAAACAAAGATGCTAGAAATAGAGACAATTGAAAGGACGATAAATATCTGATTGTTGCTCAACCGAAACAGTAGAAAGGTGCCGGAAGTAAAATAAATACTAGAGGCCTGTGGTATATGTATGGGAGCTAGGCGCTATTAATTAGTATTATAGGCCCAGACAAATTCTGCTCCAGTCGCCTCGATATTTTGCGGCAAAATGTTGCTGGGAAATCTTCGATATTTTGCCGAGCCTGGCACAAGAAACTCGATATTTTGCTCCATTTTGATCCGGAAAAACGTGTATTATATCCACTTCCCGTACAATCCCGTACAACGTTTCATAAAAATCGCAGGGTCGGTTTCTCAACACGGGTTTCAACGCACGTGTTCCTGAGTTCTTCCAAAATCAAGTCGATCCACAGTGAATCCCAGAGATATTTCGGTGACATAATCTCGTCCTGGGCAGTGTATCCTGCTGAACAAGGAAATCCAAGTATCAGGCATCGATTTTACCCAACATCTCGATATTTTGCTCCGATTTTGCCGGCAATTTCCGCTCTTTCAATTCTTCGATATTTTGCCGAAAGCCGGCAGGATCTGTCTGAGCTAAGCTCAGTTCAAATAGTTTGTGTCCAATCCTTTGAATTACAGAACGGCTGCTCCGATACGAACTCCGAGGCTAAAACCAGAAAAATAATATTGGCTACAATTCCCAACCATACCACAACGAACTGATCGGCTACATCAGTACTGACAGTAGACCAGTGGTACTGGTAGACATGGTTAGCATTTTACCGACGTTCACGCAATTAATTATTTCGACGGTCGGCGTGTAGAGGGCGCGGCGAGTCTACTGTTTTTGATGTGTTTTCGAGACATGTTAGCAGTTCGGCTTCTGAGTCCCGGCGGGGGGTTGACTCCTGACGCAACGTGTGAGATAACCTGGTAACACTACATGTAGTTGGAATCTTACCGTTTCGTTCTCCCGCTAAAAAAAAGCTTTCTATCGTCGAAACGGTACCAAACCGACGTAACGCCTACTAACGGTATTTTGGGTTTGGGGTACGAGTGCCGTTGGATCTATCATCTAGCGCGTGAACTGTAAAATGCCATGTCTACACACACAAAAAACGGTGCAGGCCGATCGTCTAAAATAGCGTGAACGGTAAAATGCTAACGATGTTTATCACTCCCATTGACTCACATAGATTTTTGCCATCCCTAAGGGGCCGTCCGTAATTATCGAACGTTTTTCACCAAACGAATTATTTTAGTTTAGACCCAACCCCTCCCTCCCTCCCCCTCAGAACGTAAAAAAAGTTTGACATATGCATGCATAATACAACAAAAGTTGCAAGTGTGTAACTCCTCCTATGGGCATGCACAAGTATCAATGTTTTCTGAAACGAAATTGGTCAACCCCCTCCCACCCCATAACGAAATTATTTCGTTTTGTGAAAAAAGTTCGATAATTATGGACGACCCCTAAGCAGTCAAATATTCCTGCATATTTCACTCCTTAGGGCTATATTGACCGCTTATATTTGACTCCTTTTTAGCGATTGAACACAGGCTTTGGCTAGTCGTGATAAATATAATATTGACTTCGTACTTGGTCAGTATAGGAAATAAAAGACCTCGTAAAAGACCTCGTCTTCGCCTCGGTCTTTTACTCGGCTTTTATTTCCTATATTGACCTCGTACTCAGTCAATATTACATACCTATTGCAAAAAGTTTCCATCTGTTCGAACAACATTCGTGATGCACGTTATTTCCGACGTGACGCGCAAATTCACGTCAAATTTGGCGTAAAGCTCCAAATTTCGACGTGAGCATGAGCAGCAGGTCACTCGCGTTGAATTTTCGACGTGCGAGCCAAATAACGCGAGCTGAACTATTACTTTCGCGTCACGTCAGAAATAACGACGGTTACGTGCATCTTGAAAAATAACGACGGTTACGTGCATCTTAACCTCTCTAATATGTTACTTTCTCTTTGCATTCGAGGGTAACACGACACCGTCTACCACCTAAGCTTATATTTGTAGGCAAAAAAGCATAGGGATGTTATATAGTTTTCATTTCTCCTATTTTTTTCAAGATATGACCAATGATTCGAACCAGGGAGTCGTATAATTATGACTATCGCCCTGCGCTGCATGCATTCCCCCGATAACTTAGCATACATACTCATACTTCCAAGATGCTCCACGTAACTCGTTATGATCTTGCATTTGAAAGCCCTATTTGAATATTGTGGCCAGCTGTCTTTGATGGTACGGTAGGGGATAGCGTTAGGCATGCCGACGGCACAAACAAACACACGCCTTGATGGTACATGTACGGTACGGGACAGGTACGGGATAGCGCCAGGCCGACGGCACAAACAAACAAACACACACCTTGATGATACGGTACGGGACATGTACGGGATAGCGCCAGGCATGCCGATGGCACAAACAAACACGTGTGGACCCTGGCTAGCGCCAGACGTTACTGAAGTAACGTCTTTTGTATATATAGCTACGGGAATAAACGATTTACTGCATCTCGTAGTACTCGTTTGTATATGGGTAATACCAGCTTGATACGTGACATCATGGCTGATGCCATTCGGTCGTTTATCAGCCGGTATTGCCCTTGTACTCACTTGTCACATGATTCAGGCAGGAAATGAAGTAATTCACTGGCGCTTGTAACAATTCCCCTGCTGTATCGTAACTACACTCATGATTGTAACAACTTGTAACTACAAGATAGACTAAGAATATCTGGCGACGTGAGTTCGTAGGAATTTCCAAGAGCGCGGTCTCCTGTCCACATATCATTAGTAGATACTGCAGGTAACAAGATACTATGACCAGTGTGAATACTAACATTTCCCATCAAAGGAGTCACTTCATCTTGCATCATGCTGTGGGAGATAACAAATAGGCACCGCATAACTACCATAGGGTCCATCAAAGCGGACTATAAATCAACATAAGAATGATAAGATATTTCGTATTAGTGCCGGAACGCGGGAAGACCATTCGGAAAACTACATTGGACTTTTCTATCATTACAATAGTCTAATCCAAACAAATACTTTGAAGTATGGATACTTATCCATTTGCTTGGGGCCAACTCCGGGATGGCCACATGACGGTAGACACTATGTACAATCATATGACGCAGGCTCATCAGCATTGAATGCCTGACAAACACTGCTCTTTACATTGGGTTTTAGCAGTGTGTTTATGGGGCTTGCTCTTCAAAAGCCTTGTGCAGTGTTGTGTACAAGTAGGCAATGTGCTAGTCGTTTGCTGGGTTTGCTTTGTTCTGATGCTGTTGGCCCCTGCCTTCCACGTTGGCAACCATTGACAGTGGCTGAAGCTCCACTCGCGAAATTGAGAATCACTTCACAGACCAGTCAGCTTACTCATCTTCATCACCACCAGTCTTGACAATGGGAACTCCTGAGGAAGAGTCATAACACAGCAACAGACTAAGTGGGCACCCAAGTTTGAGACCCGTGCTGGCAGCAGGGAGTGTGACTGTGCTAACAAAAGCGGCGATGCATGCGTGCACCATTGCCATGATGTACTGCGCCACACCCACGGTCAACTGGGTACGGTACTAACTTCTCCGAGTGAGGATGAAATGGATGCAGCTAACGGCCCATAACGGGGTTTTGCTCCCTTCTCGGGCACTGATCGTGAGACTTACCACCTCACACTCGCCGCGAGGCATGATAATCAGGCATGGTGGTGGCTAGGGATGTGCGGATTGTGCCCGTATGCACCTGATATTATGCTTTTGGGCATTTCCCGTGGAAATTCGGAAGTATTCCGCAAAAACATCCAAAAAATTCTCCAGATCTCACCAAATCCATCCAACAAACCAGCACGAACCGTGCCTTGCGCATGCGCTTTTGTATGTAAAATGGACGGTCAGGCACGTAATCACTGATTTGCACTATTGCTGCATGCATGATCTACAAATCTACACAGCTACAGCTGTACTCAGGCTGCACGAGCATGCGTAGGGGCTATCGCTAGGCTGTCACCGACGAAATTGACAGAATTCCCTCAAAATTCTTCTGAAGGTTAATTAATGGATCTGGCCAAAAATCTGTAGAATTCCCCCCAAATTCCCCAAATTTTCTTAACGATAGTATTCCCAAAATATTCCGGGAATAATCCGCGCACCCCAAATGGTGGCTGGGGCCGCTGGGCACAAGCGAAACTTTCTGAACTGGTTGTTTTTCTGATACGTACAGCTACAGAAAGACCAGGCTTGTCTTTCTGGAATGTGCACATATTTCATCCACAGGCATACCTGCACTGGGACGTATTGTGTACAGCAGTGCATGCGTCGGTTCAACACCGTATTTTGACCTATATAATAATATATGCTGAAGTCCCTTCACAGGTAGAAATTTGACAGGAGGCGGATCAATGGTACATACCGTCAAGTTTCTTGAGTTTGGGCAAGCGCTGCATCACCTGCTCTCTCCATTCACTTCCTTCACCTTCGCCAAGTCTCTCTTGCAGTGGATTGCCTGCAGAAAGTGCCAGAAACGTCAACCAGAAGCACGCGGCATCAATTTTGAGTGCGCACACTCACTTTAAGAAAGGCATCGCCTGTGCAAGGTAACTGGTATCCGTCACACAATCTGTTAGCAACCAGCAGACCATTATGATTATACATGTAGTCCTCTTCTTGCAACACACAAACATAGGCAATTAACCCTGTGACCATCTTTGGTAGAAGGTCAGCCCGGCAGACACTTTTACGGCAGGTTGTGCAGCCTGGTTGCATTCCACGTGATTCTGCTCCATGTCAGGTATCAATGTTGGCAGTGGAACATTGTTTGGTGACAAACTCAGCCCAATTACCTGGTGCGCAGGCACACAACTAACCAGTTGGGACACTGGGCTGTTTTTAAAGATCCCCTGGCCCAATTCTGGCCTCGGCTCAAAGTGTTTGTACCAACCTAGATCTTCTCGGATGCTCATTGGTCACAAAGTCCACTACCCAGACTATCCAGGGTTATAGCCAAAGGAGGGTAGGGGGAGGGGGCAGCACCCCCTACATCTACATCAGGTCACTGGAATTCCTTACCAAGAAAGTTTAGCTCCTCTAAAGACACCAGCTCAGCCTGAAGTAAAATCACGAGTCACACACATCACAGACAGACAAGCACATGTACTGTAATGGAATTTCTGGTTGGAACGTCCAGAAGCCGGGTTGGGATTCGGCACTTCTTACATACCATCCTTCCACCATCCTATGCAAACGACACATTGCCATTCTTCCACTCGCAGTCGCCACCATACTATACGGTATTCTCGATCGTAGTAGTGGCCCCGGCAAGCTCAGTGCGTGCAGACCCAAGGGTACGTATCGCACAGCACAGTGCTGTGTTGATCACCTGGGATGTATGTCTACGTCCAACTTACTTCAACGCCATAAAATGTGTGATCTTGTCACAGTTAAGCAAACACACACTCATCATTCACAGACCCATGCCTCCTACTGTACGTACATGTACATCTAGGTCGAAGTAGTTCATAGTTGAAGGCAATCAGTATTCGCTGAGAATTACACGTACTTATACTTATCTCTTCTACGGCACTTCTCAGTGACATGAAGGCACTCACCAGCTTCATAAACTCACTCCAGTCAGTGACTTTATTGTTTGTGAAGTAGAGGATCTGAGTGAGCAGAAAAGGCAGCGACCATTGACAGGATAATAAGAATCCATGTGTACGTCCTTTTTAAGTGTGCGAGTGACGCTAGTCATTCAACCAAGAAATGCCTACAGTTCACTTGCTAGCCGTTTGGCCATGAATATCAATGGCTCCATACCAACAGTACCGTTACACCAGAGGTCAATGATTTCCGTTTGTCAATACGCATCTAATTGTCAATTGTCCAATGTAAGTAGGGTCTTCATAGACAGGGATAGCCGTGACTGGCTAGGACTACGGTTGAAAATTCTGCTAGCATGCAGTAGCACTACACCAGTGCAGTGTACTTCATGCCGGAGCCCGGCAGTATGGAATCAAAAAGCGTAGAGTGGTCTCAGTACTAACTTTCAATTTCTTCAGTGTAGCTATGCCACGCAACTTCTCTACGTTGTTGTAGGAAAACCAGAGCTGCTCTAGTGTATCTCCGACCGCTTCCTGGAATGAATAAGAAGTGAGAAGCAGCATAATTATATGATTTATATCAGCAAGAGTACATAACCCCCAAGAGTGTGCAACTTCCTGCACAACCTCTTTGCAGTGCTGCGATGGCAGAACTTCACATCACGTGACATGGTTCAAAAGGTTATGCTGGCAAACAGTGCAAAGTGACCACAAGAGAGCTGAACCCAAGCTGGGTTGCGTACAACCCTGTATCTATCATGCACAGAGTGCAAGTAATGTGTACGGTTCATCGCGTGATGTGAAGTTCTGCCGTCGCAGACCACATAGCTGGAGTTGCAAACTCTTGGGGGGTATCTCGTACTCTTGATATCAGGCAGCGCGAGAAAGACGCACCCTGGAAAGGAATGCAAACCGGGGAATATGTTCACTGTACAAACAGCCGGTACAGTCCAGCATCAAGTGCCACCGCAGTTTGCACGGTCAAAGCCTAAGGCTAATCAGTCATCATCACACAAAGTACACTCACTAGTACTTGTTCATGCACTAGCATCTAGCATGGATGATAGTATTTCCCGCTACTGCAGCAGCATAATGCGCTAAGTAATGTATAGATGATAATGATCTGTCTAACACATACCAGTCCAGCCATACTTTTGATATTGTTGCGACTCAGTGTCAAGATCTTGAGATTCTCTGCAGCATAAACCAATGTGAGCACAATGAAAGTTTCGTTTCAGTCATATCTGCTGCAACCCAGCACGATTTACTACACTCAGTACATGAACCCATTGACCGGGCCATTGTACGAAATGATTGGACAACCTCCCCCGGGCCTTTTTCAGGTGCCCAACACCCGGGGGATACATGTAGACATGAACGTTACGAGTCATAGAACACATGCTGCTGGTACACGTATGTCTGTGCCGACATACTCGGTCAATACTCAATAGTACTAGCTAGTTTGAGGATATCTGGGCGAAGTGGTGGCCCACCGATGTGAATGTACTTGCTTGATGTGTTCCTAAACACGTCAGCCGGATGCGGCCGCGAATCCGGCTAACTTTACTTTTTAGTTCGAGTGTGAAGCGTTTCAGCATTACATAGCTTCCTCACTGCCACTAGGTGACTTACGACTATATCAACCGTGTCATGAATGCCAGGCTAAATTTAATGGCGGTCAATTCATCAGCCTTGCAAGCTGTTGAATGGTGCAATCCCAGCACAAGTTGCTATGTCTAACATAGCTTGTTCGCTATCATCGCTTCATCAATGGGCATGATCAGGAGTATGAGTATGAATGCTCACTTAGGCTACAAAAAAGTATTTTCATGATTCAGCGAATAGTGAGTCACTAAACTTACTGAGACCACCAAGGCTGCCGATCTTCTCGATCGCGTTTGATGAGAGTGAAAGATGTCTAAAGAAATATGGAAACAAGGCGCACGAGAAAGAATCCCGTCCCTCAAGGAACATATTCGCTGCTACTTTGAGTTTCGCGGCGCAAACAACACAATGAATGCAGAAGCTGAGCAAAAGCCTATGTCAGGATTCCGGTCATACAAACAAGCCAAATAAGCACACATGCTTTTGAGCATCTGCTTGAACCGTCACTGGAGTGCGAAATCCGTAACACTAGATTTGCAGGAAATCACCCATGATGCTGCTATCTTATACCCACTTGAACACGGATTACATGCTGGAGTGGGCGCTGTGTATGTTACTAGCTCGTACTCGCATGCCACAAGTGTGTTGAGGGTGGCATCCATCTTCTCAATTGGCGGCAGCTGACCGATCAGCGACACCTTCTTCGCCGAGTCTGCCTTCTCCTCCGGATTTTTCTCTTGCTGGGCAGGGTGGAAAGCAATAGGGACAAGATTGAAAGATCATGACAGACAAATATGGACAGTTGACAGCAGTGCCATGCACCCCACCATACCAGTGGGGCGTTGGAAGGTATTCGACATGCATGGTGCGGCCGCTTGGATAGGTGAAGAATCCGGGGTTCACCCCGGGAAAATTTTAGGGAAATTGGGCCCAATTAGCCCATATTTCATTGTTTCAAAAGTCACAAGATGATTATTATTGGTGTGGCTTTGGCTGCACTGGTTCCGACGCCCCCCTGCATACAATATAACATCACTTTGCGGCCACCAAGGTGTGTTACTGTTGAGGTCATGTGTATACCCTCCATATTAGGGGTGAAAGTTGGCACTGAGATCCCGAGTTCGAGTACTCTGATTTTCTCCGATCGAATATTCGAGTATTCGAGTATTCTTCATCACCCAAAATTTGCACACCAAGGGCCTTAAAATCACATGATACAACCCTTATCGAAGCGAGTAGCAGTCATTTTTCTCGGGTATATTGGTTGGTGGGTCATTTGGGCTCTCTCTACTCGTGAACAAATGTTCACCACACAGTCTGCTTATCAATATCTGCCAACTGCTGCTCTGAAACGCCAGATATCTGTGGTAAATGCATGTACCATGTATGAACGAGTACTCTGATTTATTCCGAGTGCGATTATTTTTGAAAAAACCGAGCGAGCACTCGAGTATTCGGTATAATTGTTTCAGCCCTACTCCATATCATACCCGAAGTATGAAAGGCTAGGGTATTGCCTGACCAATCAAAAATCTGCTTCTGCCTGCGGTCCTGTAATGATACACTGCATGTGCTGCACTGTTATGTTAGTGTGCATAGAGTATCAGGGAGAATAGGTTTGTCTGGCTACGCTCAGCGCCACTACATATTCGTAGTAAAAGCGCAGCCATTGTCACTTGTCCTGGCAGAACTTTTAAGAAACTCTCAAGTAAAGTGCTGCATTGTTGTACCTCCAGCAATGTGTCGGCTACTTCAACACACTGCAAATATACCATTTGCTGTCTGAGCGCAGGTCACATAGTCATTGCTGTGAAGCTGGGCCTATTATCCAGGCCAGGTGACTCCGCAGTCAGCTGTAGTGACCCTGGTGTCAGGGACTGGGACCAGGGTGTCTCCTCAGATGAAGTGATCAGTACATGCACCCCCCCCCCCCCCCCTCCCCGGACTATACCCAGTATGCACAAATCACCAGTGATACATAATCTAGCCTACACACATGCACATGTAAACTCTATGCACTTCTTGTAGAACAATGCACTGTGTTACTGTTGTATCCCTAGGCCCTGCTACTGAAAGTACAAATGATCAAATAAATGACTACTCGTATGTAAAAGTAAGAAGCTTTTACTTACAAATAAATAAACACAACACAACTTATGACTGTGTACAGCTGCTAGTATTGCAGTGTCTGGACTGTGTATTTTGTAGTGAAAACGTCTGTGACACCGAACTGGCAAATGAGATACAAAACAGCCTCATCATTGAAACTAGGCAAATCCACGTTCACCGCACACAGCAGCATATTTTAAATGTTCATACTATGAGGCATGAACAGATAGCCACACTCACAGACACGATGCCAATGGTAGATCTACACTGTATACTACAGTCTACAGCACCAGTACTGTATGTAGTGGACCTACATGTACATGACTGTACAAAGACTCCCATCATCAGCATTATTATTTGATCCTTGTCCCATGTCACCCACACGGCTTGTTGCCGATGCGACGGTGACACAAAACAGACATAACAGCAACTGAAGCGAACCGGCTCAGTGTACTTTTGAAGTTAGTTTTGTCTCCTCCGAGTGTGTTCTATTTACGATGCGAGCACGCAATGACTATGTCGCGGTCGAGCGTGCACGTGTAAGCGAGCAGCACATAATCTACAACACAGACAGTCAGTCATGCTCCAAGCTGATACTGCACTAGTCTGTGCTAGAGTAAGCCAGCTGGCTGCTCGGATCGGGTACGTAGCGGTACATGTACTTACCCATCTGGCAATGGCTTCCTTGATTGAGGTAGGCTGTACAAAGGCAAACAAGCGACACGGTACGCAGCAACAACATTCAGATGAAAGGAGGGGATGATACGGCGTAGGCTGGACTACGCTGGTAAATTTTTGAATTCATCAAACCACATGAGACTTGAGAGGCTCAGGCCAGGGTTTTCACTGCACTTCAGTCTTCACAGTTCAGTTTGGACCAAGTATTTTCGGTGACCGGTCGCTGCACCATCGGCCTTGTAGTGACACTCAGGCATCCAGTCAGTCCGACTTAGTCTTGCCGAGACGGCGATGTAGCTTACCATTTCTTTTGTTGGTGACGCCGGTGAATGCTGCCACGGGGTCAACAGAACTCGAAGCTTGCTCACACAACGCTGGCTGACACCACCGAGTGTCGACTGACACCCGTTTAGCTCGGTGAAGCTGAAGTGGCTTCGCAGAGCCGAAGGAAGGCAAACGACTCAACAAAATTAATCAGGAGTAGCGCGACTCTGCAGTCTGCACTCGCTTTAGCCTAGGTTCCCTAGGCCCTGCTCAAGGACCAGACTGGTTAGTCATCGGTTGGTGAAAGGGATATTCAGTTGGGAGAACTAGAAGCGTTCCCTCTCTGTTCTTCTCTTTTGACTTCTCCAACTCATTTTACGACCCCAAACAAAGCAGCTGGATCTGGCAGCTACTTTGCTGTTATGCCAACGTGCCATGACAACAATCATTATCATTGATGGAAAAAAATTGGCGGCAAATCTTGAGTTAATTTGAAATGACATCCAGCTAGCTCGGGATCATGTTGAAAAAAAGTTTGCATTTGCAGTCGCATCAGCGTCGTCTATGCGAAAAGAGATGTTCCAATGACTGGAGCCCTGTGAAGGAGTCGACACGATGCTCCGCTCGAAGGAGGTCATCTGGAGACTGTGTGGAAGCTGAAACGAGGAAAGGAATCGCCATGCTGAAGAGGAAACCGGGCCGGGCGAGCTCGGACACCAACCTCCATTCGACTTCCGGAAAAATTGTAAAGCGAGTGAGGAAAGCCAAGCAGCCTGGTGGTGGAGTGGCTGACAAGGTCAGGCTGCATTCTTACACAGACTGAGTTGGATTAAGTGCAGGAGGCTGGAACAAGGAGTTGTTATGCTGTGCTGTTGTTTGCCAAACTGCAGGCAGAGCTCGAACGTGTACTGGGAATCAGTGCAGTTAGCAATGCGTCGCTGAGCTGTTGTGAGGTGAAAGGCATTGTGGCCTATCCTGCGGGGTGAGAAATAATTTTTCACAGTGCAGCTGCATGCATTTATGTACATGTCTAATCACACATCCGATGTGAGCGGTACCAAAGTAACCAAACTACTGATGTAAAGTTAGCCAATGCGGTGCGAACGGGATATATGTGGAGTGATTTTGCGTTGGGTGAACTTCATGCCTGGCGTAATCTGAAAGATATGTTACTTGCCAGTCTCAGTAGCGCAAGCTTTCATGCATAGTATGGGCTGGCGTTACAGATGTCAGTGCTAATTACATGTGTATCCCACGCCCCTGAGTGAGGGCTGTGTGCCCACCTTGATATTTTTGCACGTGAGATGACACCGCTCTGTTAACCCTTTTACCACTGCAGGGTACTGCCACCTGTCCACTGACGACCCGCGAAAATGGGTCATTTTTACTGAAACACACCACATCTAAACAGTTCGTAACTCTGGCATCCATGCTCCAATTTACTGGATCTAGAGCTTCCTGGAAAGCTGCTGCGATGAGCAAAACGCTGAACTAAAGCACAAGTATCCACAAGGTCTTAGACCAGCTATAGAGCTAAGCAAATCTCTTCCAAAGTCATGGCGCAGTCGCGCAAGTGAAAGAAACTGAGCTTTCACCCGCCATTCCACTCTCCTTGCTCGTATCGAGCTGAACTTTCTTGTGAACACTCCAGCGAGTCCACTGCTGATTTGAACTTCAGTTGCCATGGCACCAAATGTCAAAAAATGCAGAAAAATGAAAACCGAGCGCCCACGCACGGCGCAAAATAGTTCTGGCAGTGTGAAGCTGTGTAGCCGCCGAGCGCCATAACTCAGTGGTCCTTTATCCTATCACTCCGACGATTGTTGCAATCGAAAGCTGAGAGTTTTCTCTTCGATCTACATACTTCGATTGTGAGAATTGAGTAAGGATTGACTGAGTTACGATTGTTTGAACATACGTGCCTCCTGAAAAATTTCATCAGTACTCAATGTACACTCAGGACGTGAATATACGTCCTTAGTGGGCGGGCATCATTCTCAAGGACGTAATAAACGTCCTTAGCGGTGAAAAGGTTAATATCACCAACTATGTTACGCCTTGACTCATGCCTGGCCATCATTATTGCAATGATCAGTCCCTGGGTTTTAGTATCAGTTGTCTGTTGATTGCTTCGGCATGAAGCTTTAAGCTACAGCACAACCTGACTGAACACAACTTATTCACACCATCATTATAATTATCGCACCCACTAATCGGGTCCACTCTCACAACTGGTGTTATCTAGCTATTTGCTGCGGCTCTGCCATCTTGAACTTCTCTTCATATGTGTTCCTGTAGATAGCTATGCGCTTTGTGCACCGAGAACCTTTCCCGGCAGCTGCCACAACTTTCTATGTACCAACGCCAGCATTCAGACGAATCAGTTGTAGTTGCTCATTGGAAGGCGTTGTGCTCAACTTGTTACAGCACTGTCGGGTTCCGAAGAACTGGGGGGGATCAGCCTCGTAGCCTAGGCCGTTCTTATTTTCATCATGTACTACTATGGTCTATGCACAGCTGAGTCACCGTGTGTACACTGGTATGCTGTGCTTGGTGAAATTCCAGCCTGGCTATTCTTTGGCTAACCGTTCTTCAGGACCGACAGTACTGTAGTTCTCCTGCAGAAAGACCAGGGCAACCAGGTTCTCTGCGAGCTGGTGTCGACGACCAGGAAAGGCCAAGTTGCACAGCGAAAAGCTCCTCTCGGCATCAGCCGAATTCACAACCGCATCCGTGTAGAAGTTAGCGGGGCTGGAGAGGACCTGGAATGTTGTCAGAGGGCAATCTCCAGAACGCATCAACATCGGCAGTATCACTTGAGTGCAGGCACTGAAAAAAAACCCACACGCACGCATATCCCAATGCAGGCGAAACTCAGTCTTGTAGAGTCCCAAAGCCTAGAATGGCGCTGTACTTCGTCTTGTCTTCTGCCATCCGTACCGCGCCTTCGGTGAAAACACGTGCACTTGTTTCAGGAAACAGCAGCTGCAGGTTGATGTTTGGTTGCCATGTGCGCTGGCAGCTTCTGCCAGGCCGCTTGGTACGCTTCAAAGTGCTCATCTTGTGTGTGAAAATCAGCAGATTTCCCTGTTGCCGTGCTGGTATTTTTTCAATTCTTTTCTTTAGATGCGTGGTTGTGCTCTACTATCCACGCAAGAACCGACAGCAACATATCCAGAGTCCTGCACGGTAAGTTTGGACAAAGTGCTGTGACTGTTTGCCATGTAGTAGTAGTATTGTACTCTTTCTTGCAGCCAGTGACCGTGACAGTATCTATCTTCTCTTCTTGTATGTACATTGTAAATATCAGTTGCCAAAAATCCCATGCGCTGCATCCGCGTTTCCTTCGTCTTTGACCACTTGGTGGTGGGTCTGATTTGCTCACCTCCCACCGCGTTAGGAGCTGCACCTGCGCCTAATCCTTGAGGGTGATGGTGTTTCTACAGATGCGGAAACTCAGCCTGACTGGGTCTCATGCCAACCGTGACAGTGTGTGTGTTTTTCAGTTCTCATTGTCTGCTTTTTCACTTGCCCTTGCCATGAGTGCTGTGATGACCTCAGTCCTGTGCAACAGTTGGTACACTTGTTCTCACGTCCTTTGGCTCTGTTAACGTGTCCTGCAGGCGGCCTATCTCGTGTCTGTCCTTCTCTCAAGATGGCAATTATCTGTGCACAGGAGAGGTGAGGCTTGCCTCTCGAAAGAATGCCATTTGCCATTACTTAGCAACTAGTATCATTCAGTCTATGCTAAGGTGGTGGCAGACCTGTGCAAGCAAAGAGCTTTTCCTCTCACGTTGGAAGCGTCCTTTGTATTCTGTCGTAATTTGAATTACCCCGTTTTTTCTTTATTCACCCAAGTTTGACTTCTGGTTGTCTAGCAGTTACTGCTGCCAGCTTGTCCTCAGCGGTGGGATTTTGACCTTGCGGTCCTGTACCTAGCCCCAATAACCAACCGTATGAATGTGCTCACGTATATGTACATGTACATGTACGTGTTAAAATATATATCTTTTCTTGTGCATTTCTGTAGAGTGGCCACCAGCCCATGGTGCGTGTGTGGGAGCTGCTGGACACGCCAGTGCAAGTTCAAGAACTTCAGGGTCATCGCTTTGGCATATCTATGGTGGTGAGTGTTTGCAACCCAGCGTTTTCTGCATCATCTCATTCTGCATCTGCTAGGGATTCAAAGTTCGACAAAGCAGTCGCCGGATTGGGTGCTTGGGTTGGCTGCACGGCTTGCATAAGGCCAGTCATGGTTTCTGTCAGCTGAGCAGTGAAGTCACGGTGGCAACTTCCTGAGCTTGCTACGGATGTTGCAGGTTGCCGTACTGCTAGAACAAAGAACCCTTCGGCATCGTGATCTTTATGATGCGTTCAGCTTGCAGCCTACTCGAGTACTACTTCAGTGGTATAAATACACATTGGTCTGGTCCGAACGAAGAAATATATTTGATTCTTGCTGTGTTCGGTCCAAGACAGGAAGTGAGATTCAACTACATGTACCTGTACCTGTACACTACTACACATGTAGAGACTACACGGGGGAGGATGTCATAGTTTGTACGCTGTGTCAGCTGACACGTGCACCGCACTATGGGCAACATGCACACTCAAAAGTCCCATCAAGAATTTCCCCAGCATGACCACCTGCAATAGAGCGCATGGACTGGGTCCCCAGCATGACCACGTGCAATGGACTGCATGGACAGGGTCCCTTTACTCGCTAATCAGTTGTGACCAGCCATATATCTCCCAAGTACGATATGAACAGTACTTTTCCAGTAGCAACTGGAATCTACATGTAGTACATGGACGGTATAGATAAGCATTCAAGTACTACAAGTAGTACATGCTGCTCAATGAAATCCGATCGCATGAATCAATTTCGCACCCTGCTCCAGTTCGCATCCCAGCGTTCGCAGGTCGAGGGCTGCAAAGCGTCCAGCATAGCATTCACTCGCCCGATCGGAGTTCGTTGAGCAGCATTGTACATGGACTATACATGAAGTATACAGATATAATTGTTATCGTTCAAGAGACCAGCCTGATCCCTGTGGCCACAAAATGCTACTGTATTGTCCATTGCATGCACTGATTTGTGTATAGTTTTTTCTCTGAAAAAAGGTATCTCTGGCTGATTGCAACCGATGTTCTATTCTTGGTGTGTGTGTGTGTGTGTGTGTGTGTGTGTGTGTGCTTGTGTGTGCTTGTGTATGTGTGTGTGTATGTGTGTATGTGTGTATGTATGTGTGTGTGTGTGTGTGTGTGTGTGTGTGTGTGTGTGTGTGTGTGTGTGTGTGTGTGTGTGTATGCTGCTCACAGTCCTTCTCACCGAAGGGGAAGTACCTGGTGTCCGTTGGTTACGAGCATGACATGAATGTGATTGTGTGGAAGTGGCGTAATGGCTCTCAGCTGGCGTCCAACAAAGTGTCTGTCAAGGTAGGAGCAACGCGTATTATATTCAAAGTAATAGGCGAACGGAAGATTTACCAGCTCAGTGGCGAAAATCACCCCTTCGTCTTAGATACCGAGTGTTGCACATGAATCGACCTGTGCCCCTTGTATGTGAGGCATGTATGGTGTCAATCGACTGTGTTTTTCGCGCACTGCTTTCTGCCTGTGCACTAGAGCGCAGCTTCTAGCACTGTGTACCGGTAGTTCTTCTGCCGTACCACAGTATACGCGGACACACCTGTCTCGTCATTGGTGATTGTTGCACTTACCGTATGAGAACGTCTACACCACACGGAGTACATCGGAAAGGGACAGCCAAGACAGTTACCTGCTAGTATGCACACCCTACACCTGCTGGGGTAACCAGTACAGGCAGCATGCTGCTTTGATAGAAGCAGACACTAGATGCACTGATATCCTGGCAGCCTTGCTTTACAACCGAAGCAATTGCCGCATGTACTAATTTTTGTGAATTGAAGGTTTCCAGTAGATCGTGTTTTGGTACATGTATAAATAATCTCATCCAGTCATGTTTCAATTATTGGTGAAAATATAGAGCCAGATAGTACTGTTCTGTATCTGTTGTGATTTTCTCATCTTTCATTCATCCAGGTTTCTGCATTGTCTTTCTCTCACGATGGCTCGTACTTCGTGACAGTTGGCAATCGTCATGTGCGCTTCTGGTACCTGGATACCTCCAGCAAGGTTTGTCAGTTATCTGTAACACCCGTATTTACGACAGCACGGATATACCTTGGCCTGGCGTAAAAGATCTCCGTAAACGATGGCTGGTGTGCTGGTGTATGGACAATAAGTGGGTGTTGGTGTATTGGTTCATGTATGAGTAAATCATGTGTGGGTGTTGGTGTAGTGGTACATGATTGTATTAATATTGGTGTATGTGTGTTGTTTCTAGGTCAGTCAGGCTCAGCCATTGCAGGGCCGTTCGGCTGTGCTGGGTGAGCATCGGGGTCTGAATTTCGTCAGCGTTGCCTGCGGTAGCGAAGAGAGCGGCTCCAATACGTACGCCGTCACCTCCAATGGCCTGCTTATGCAGTTCAGTCAGCAACGTCGCTTGGAAAAGTTTGTCACTCTCAAGGTACTGCAATGCGTTCACCTTTTTGAAGTATCTACACACGTGTGTACTGCACATGTACATGTAACAGTTACTGTGCTTGTATGCTGGAAAAGTCATGATAAAGGCCATCAGTTTAGAATGTTGCCACAGTTGGTTTTGTGTAGTGGCTACTTGAGCAATCAGCTTGACAATATCTCCTTGACTCGCTTGAGTGTTTCACATCCTGACTTCTACATATTCTCATGTTAATGCTACCCCTGTACGATATTCTCATGTTCTTTCTGCCTTCTCTGGACCATGGCAGACACCGCGTGCATTGAGCATTGCTCTGGGCCGGTTCATCTACTGTGGCTGCATCGATGGTGTTGTCAGGGTGTTTGATCTGACGACACTGTGCTATGTCACATCTCTGCCTAACCCCCACCCGCTTGGTGTTGATGTGGCTTCCATCATTGATACAAGGTAAGGAACGGGCACAAACTTGATGATCAATTTTCATTGAGCAGCGCTGTAACTTTGTGTGTGGAGGGTGGAAGCCAGATGTCTCATTTTGTGCATCCAAGAAACAATCCCCACCATGCACTACCAATATAAGTACACTGTATATCAAGAAGCAGTGTTTCTTTTGGTTTTGACACGTGTTAAGTCAGTCCATCGCCTTATTCAGGAGCAGACGGGAAATCAGTCCACATTTGAAATTAGTTTGTCTTGCCACACATGCATGCATGTGTATGGTGTGTGCACATGTGTCTATGTATGTGTGGGTACGTGTGTATGTGTGTGGGTGGGTGTTTGGGTGGGTGGATGGGTGTGGATGGGTGCGTGGGTGTGTGCATTTGTAAATTTATGCCAGCTCATTGCTTGAGTCAACGGATGGCAAATCAGGCTTGCAATTTCCCGATGTGTGCGCGCTGGTACTGGATGATACTGGGTGCCGGGTGAGTGTGAGCGCACACGCATGAAGTAGTGTAGTAAGGTGTAATCAGCTCTCTCTCTCTCTCTCTCTCTCTCTCTCTCTCTCTCTCTCTCTCTCTCTCTCTCTCTCTCTCTCTCTCTCTCTCTCTCTCTCTCTCTCTCTCTCTCTCTCTCTCTCTCTCTCTCTCTCTCTCTCTCTCTCTCTCTCTCTCTCTCTCTCTCTCTCTCTCTCTCTCTCTCTCTCTGCATTCTGTTGCTGGTTCTTATATACCCGCGTCTGTGTCACTTTGGCTTGATGATGTGTAAGGAGCATTGGCAAGAGTACATGAAAACACTATTGTGCAGCTTTTGACCTCCTTTGTATTGGTGTCTGTCACGGCGAAATTCTGTATTACATCAGAGTTGATGTGGTATGCCCCACATAAAATATTGAAATTTTGAGCCCAGATCAGTGCATATGTTTGATTCACGGGATGCCCGGGGCAAAGAGTGGTACGGTCAATACCGTAGTGACCGCAGTGTGTCCAAACGCCCCTGGCTATGACGTGTGTCTCTTGTTGTGTTCTCTTGTAGCTGACATGCGTGTATCGAGACCGGAGTATGTACGTGTGGGACGTCAGTGATGTGAACAAGGTCGGCAAGACGCGCTCCTTCCTCAACCATTCCTCGGCCATTTGGGATGTGGAGGTTAGTCTGTCACAGCGCGATATGTGGAGAATCACTGGCGCGGTGCTGTCGTTTTTGGGTAATATGCCTATCCAAGCCTCTTGAGATACAATTTTTGCGCATTTGCATTTGTGCACATGTACTTGACAAAAAAATGAGGTGATGTATTGTTTCATGAACTGTAGCGCTAGCAACGGACAAGCCCTTGCTTTCCTTTGCGTATCTCTTGTGTACTTGGCAGATGTACCCGGAAGCAAAGAATGGTTCTATCTCACTCCTGCCACCCGGAACATTCATCACGGCAGGTGCTGACAGCACAATTCGTTTTTGGAATGTTGGCCACGGTGAGTATCCTGATTGCTGGTTTCAGCTTGTTTTGTTGTTCTGCAGTACCGGCTTGTGAACAGGTCTTTAGGAATGTAACATTATGTTGTACATACCCCCGCTGGTCAAGCTTACATTCCTTATTGTATGGTGTGGTTGGGTCCTTCGTGAATTACTCGTATATATGAGGAAGCAGCTCAGGTCCTGCTGTGAACCTTTGCAACATGGAGTAGCTGAATCTGTTTGTATTGTTAGTTACTGCCGGTGAAATTCACCTTCAAGTATGAATTCTAAGCACGGTGCTACCTTTTGTATCCGGAAGATGCACACTGTTGCTGTTCACGAGTCAGTTAAGACTACATGTACTCATCTCATAAGTACGTGTACCGGTATTCAGGCGCACAGGCCAGTCTGTGTCTCAGTTTGTTTTATATATTATATAGTGCGGCTGATAATGTTGTGTGCCACCTTCTGTTCATTTGTCTAACTCTGCACTTCCATGCCTACAGCAAGCTCCACAATGTTCAGGAATATCTACAGCAAGGTATTATTGCACTACAGTAACTGTGCACGTTTGCATGCACTCTCTGCACAGAGAGAGGGGAGAGAGAGAGAGAGAGAGAGAGAGAGAGAGAGGGGGGGGGGGGGGGGAGAGAGAGAGAGAGAGAGAGAGAGAGAGAGGGGGGGGGGGGGGGGAGAGAGAGAGAGGTTGGAAGTCTGTCAATCTATTCTTACGTTCACCTCAGCCGTGGATTCACTTGCATTCGTTGACTTGTGTGTGCCAGAAATTTTATAATCCCCTTTTGCTGCTTTTTTTAAAGTTTTTCGTGTGCTACATTTGTGCCTTCAGTGATCTTCAGCTCAAGTCCATCCTTTCTCCATCTGTGTTTGCGTGCCTGTTTGCGTTTGCCTGTATGTGGTATTCTCACTTTCTAAGGAACTCGTCCGTATCATTGATGTACAGAAAGGTGACCAAGACAATGCTGTTCCTGGTGAGATATATTGATAGTGCCTGACTCTGCTCACGGGTTTGTTACTTGTGCCTCAGATGTGGAGAGAGTGATACCTCTGCTTGTGTGTACAGGACTACAGTAGCAGTGATGATTCTAGAGAGGGGGCTGATCAGCAGTACTTTATGGTACTACAAGCAGTACATTGTAGTACATGTTCAGCCATGTAAAATCAGACCTCTTGAAGCTCCTGGGCTTCACAATCCTAACACTAAAAACGCTGTGCTATGCTGTGAGCAAGGTGCTGCCGGATTTCTCTTGCCGTGACTGGAGAGTCTATTTCCAGTTGTACATGACTATAAGTACAGCTGGGGCCAAAGTAATCCTGTTCTTGGAGCTACATGTACTTGACGAAAACACACCAGATGCTCGCTCGTTCTCGGCGCATTTCCACTGTAACGCCCTGTGCTGGCGCGTCGGATCTCTTTGGCTGCATGTGGACTCGAGAAAGTATTACACTTGTGACTTTAGATTTTTTACTCTCTTGCTCTCTCTCTCTCACTCACTCTCTCTCTCTCTCTCTCTCTCTCTCTCTCTCTCTCTCTCTCTCTCTCTCTCTCTCTCTCTCTCTCTATGTGTTGATGCTCAGGTGGTGACAATTGCGGTGTGCGGGCATTGAGGGCGAGTCCTGATGGCAGGTGCCTGGCATCGGGAGACCGCTCCGGCAATTTGCGGTATGACTGAGTGGAGTGAATAGGCGGAGGGATGCATGACCTGGATGTCTGCCAGCATGGTGTAGGTAGATAGATCTACACAATACACCCATCTCAGCACAGCTCTGGGTGGTTCTACCAGTTTGTGTTTGTATACAGTAGAGTCTCTTGGACACTCTGGTGACAAGATGCTTCTGTCCAGGAAAAGGAGGTGTTCTGACATCTTGATTGGGAACATTTGTGGGACTGAGCAGATGTCCTGGTTATTGATATGTCCTTGATTGAGAGATGTCCACAGAGGGAGGTTTTCTTGTGGCTATTTTTTTTAAGTGCACTGCTTGGCTGTGTCTTCCTATGCAGTATTCATGACTTGAAAAGCTTTCAAGAAACTGCACTTGTTCTGGCCCACGATGGTGAAATCCTGTCGCTGGACTTCGGTGAGCCACTGCTTGGTGAGTTCTGGTTCTGAACACTGCTCACTTCCGTGAACTGATGGTCCTAAAAGCATTGGCTGTGGGTTCTTATCTTGATGTGCATATGGTAGGAAGCGAACCAATTCCAGGCTGAAATTTTCATTTCCCTACTCTGCCTCTCTCTCTCTCTCTCTCTCTCTCTCTCTCTCTCTCTCTCTCTCTCTCTCTCTCTCTCTCTCTCTCTCTGTCTCTCTCTCTCTCTCTCTCTCTCTCTCTCGTCTGTCTCTCTCTCTCTCTCTCTCTCTCTCTCTCTCTCTCTCTCTCTCTCTGTCTCTCGTCTCTCGTCTCTCGTCTCTCTCGTCTCTTGTCTTTGTATCACAGGTCGTCAGTTCCTTGCATCTTGCAGTAGAGATCGTCTTGTTCATGTCTTCGACACAGAGCAATGTGACCTTGTTCAGACTTTGGATGACCACTCGGCCGCTGTCACTGATGTCAAGTTTGCTTGTGAGTTGCATGCTGAGACTTTGTCCTTGCTCTTTTCTAAACTTTAGTATGAGCTTACTGCGTCAAGAAAGCGAACAGTTGGTGTTGTTTATGGGGCATTCGGCATTCATCCTGTTTTAGACATGGCTTGCCTTTGCCATTCTCCAACAAAGCAGCAAAAGCAGTAATAGCTGGTCTACTAGGGGCTTTGTGAGCATAGAAGTGCAGGTCCTGCACTGCTGCAGTATATGACCACTCGTGCCTAGTTTGTAGTCACTAGTAATTCGACATGAGCAGTACAGTGTATCTCTTCCAATAGGGGAGTGTCCGTTTCCCTCTTCTCACGATTCCTGATGTATCTGTGTGCAATGTGCAGTTGTGGATGATACACTGAATTTGCTGAGCTGCTCAAATGACAAGTCACTGATGTTCCGCAGCATGCAAGAGGTACAGACACTCGAGTTGTGTTCTGATGGAATGCTCTCTTGATTGTGTTCGGATTGTGTTTGGATCATGTAAATGCATGTAGAGGACGAAAAGCTCCCATCCCAGTGCCCTTGCTGCCCGTCAAACTCCTGCTAGTAGCTGGGAGTTTGCATCCATTGTGAGTTCTGGTTGCATGCTGCAGTTACCGGCACTGGTATCAGTATCGCCCCTGTGCTTCTGTGATGCTTTCTCATTGTGTGAACTGCGGTAGTCCACACATGGCAGCCAGTACGTCATGTAGTCACTAGCTGGTGGCGTGGTCAGTTTTTACTTCTGAAGTAGGAATCTTCCTTTGAACAATGGCTGTGCCCACGTGTGGTTTTGTGGACTAACTTGCGTTGCTCGTCTCATACCAGTATTGTGCATTCTTCTCCTGATCTCTTTTTGCTGTCTCGCCTAGGACGAAACCTTCACATGCACGCATCATGTGGCTGGAAAGTCATCTTGTCAGTCGATGGCAATACCACCTGAACAGTGAGACATTTGTTCTGTATCACACTAGCTTAGTGTGACTGGTGTTTATAGCATGTGTGGTGTTGAATTGTGGTGGCTACTTACATTGGTCCATGACTGTGGAGGGGACTTCTAATGCATCATCCTGCTTGTTTCCTGTTGTTGATGCTCTCCTAAAAGAACTGGTGGACGTGTGTTTTGTTTGCTGCTGCTACTGCTGCAGGGATACTGTACTCGCTGCATGCCAGGATCGGTTGATCAGGTATGTTCACAGTCTGTTGGCTGATGCTACGCTATGCCAATGGATTAGGGTTGCCAAACACGTGTGTGCTGTAGTCATGTGTGCTGTAGTCATCTCATCTGGAATGTCAGGATAGGTGCTGTTAGAGGCGTGAGAAAAGATAGGGCTCGTTCAGCATTCACTACAGTTCATGTATGTGGCCCACAGAGCTCAGCTTCACCGGCTTCATCAGTATCAACTATCAACCCCATGCAATATCTAATGTTATCGATCATCAGCAGGGAATTTCTACATACTTTTGTCACCCAACTACACTGTAGTTGAGGAGGTTAAAACAGTTTTTGGTCAGAATTACATTAGTTTCTTAGAAAACTAGGTTCATGTTCTGTGGTTGTTTGGATATGTATTTGGAAATTGTTCTGTGAAATATTAAAAAAGGAGGTCGACAGGAGAGTTCTGCGTGGTATCTACACGGCATTTGCACTGGGCTCTTTTTTTGGGAGCAAAGTTGTTACACATTGTGCTGCTTCAGGTAGCTCACGACTGTGGTCATGTTGTCATGCTGTCTTTCACATGTACTGTGTAGGCTCTATCACTGCAACAGTGGCAAGAGTACTCGCAGCATCAAGCTTCCCAGTGGTGATGCTGGTGGCCTCGTGAAGGTAGGAAAGAGCACAGCAAACACTGAATTCAGTGCTGCATGCACGCGCGTAGGGGAGAGGGGAAGGCTTGGGGGTGCATGCAACTCTGGATGCAAATTACATCAGCCACAGGTCGGCGTCTACCCCTGGGTATCGTGTGCCCTAGCTAATGCCCTTGTGTGGCCCATCGTCACGCACTGTATTGAGAGGAATGGAGCGTGCCTGCCATTTGGCAAGTACCTCTTTGGCTGTACATATAGCTGCCTACATGGCGACATACCAACAGGTGCCTACATGGGGATGTAGCGACAGCTGCCTAACAGTTTTATGGGCATGTAGATGTGTTTACCTACATGGAGATGTGCCTATAGCTGCCTAGTTGCTGGGCCAGGGGGTGCATGTTTATATACATGTACATGGCGGGGATGTGCTTGTAGCTGCCTACTTGCCTGTTTTTACCTACATGTGCGTGTCTGTTGCTGTGCTCCAGATTGAGTTGGATCCGTCAGGTTCCGTGCTTGCAACGTGCAGCAGCGATCGCTCCATCAGCCTCATCGACATCGCATCCGGAGAAGTTGCAGCGATCCTTCACGGCCATGCAGGTATGGGCAGTACACACGCATGCCTAGCTTGTGCCGGTGGGGCCGGCATCCACCTTGGTACCATGATGTATGCACCAAGGCTGTATCCGGAGCTGTTCTTGAAACGATTGGCTTGCACACTGTGCTGTAGATCTGCTCACTCGCAGGATGTGAGCTTTTTTCAGTGTGCTTTTTTACACTTCTATAAGGATCATTAGTTGCACTAGCCAGGATGGTTGTATGTTCTGGTGTTCTCCAGTTCCTGCTACTAGTACTTCCCACCATAGTAAGCTATGATCAAGAGAACTAGGTGAGGACTGTAGTGTCTCCGTTTCATTTCGTGAGACGACAGGTAGACGGAGAGTGATAGGTCAATGGATCGAAGAGCATGTTTTGGTGATAGGTCGGGCCAATTGTGTGTGTGTGTGTGTGTGTGTGTGTGTGTGTGTGTGTGTGTGTGTGCGCGCGTGTGTGTGGGTGTGTGCTCCGTTCATGTTGGCCTCTCATGCAGAGACGATAACGGGTATCAAGTTCACACTGGACTGCCGACGATTGATCAGCGTGTCAGCGGATGGGTAGGTTTGCATGTTCGAATTTAGAAAACTGCTGTATGCTGTCCAGGTAATGCTGAAACTTGCACGCGCGCACACACACACACATACACATACACACACAGGCCCACACCCGCACACACACATACACACACATACACACACACACACGCCTTGACCGTAATACACGTTGCCGTAATAGGTTACACGGTCCCCATCAGGGGAGAGGTGTGGAAGAGGCTGAGGAGCAGCACTTCTGAAGTTCTGATGGCACACTAGATGATGACGTAGTCGGAACTTCCTGTGGCATGGGCACTCGAATGGGAAGTCGGCCCTTTCTGACACTGTCCTGCGTTTCGTGCGGTCGCACTTGTGTCTGGCCAAACTGCTGCTAGACCTGAAACTGCGGTGACAGGTGCTGCACTGCGGAGTGACTGGATTGCCGAGATGCTCGGTGTGGGAGCAGGTCCGTGATCGCACCGATGGGTAGCCAATCCACTGGGACTGCGGAACCAACGTTGGCAAAGACGACACTGGCAAGAGCCAGCCTGGTTACAAACCGGTTCTGCCGTTCCGCCAAGCATTTGTGACGCTTCTCATCTGATGGGCGAGAGAAGTTCCGATCACATACTTGGCAATGGGCATTGGGTGTGGGCGGCTCATGGACAGTAGGTGTGGGCGGCTTGGGCTCGGAACTACGGTACATGCGGCGCCAGTCGGGGCGAGAATCTGCCAGACCGTACCATCCCTCCCCAGCATTCAGGGCCTTCAGATCTGCAGTAACGCAGTCTTTCCAGAATTTGCGTGGACCGCCAGGTGGACGGTGGGATGGGAGCAGTCCGAACAGCAGAATCTTCGGGGTGCGCTCTGATGGCATGCGAGCAACATGACCCAGCCACTCAAGTCTTCTTTGCACACACATATACACACACAACACACGCACACACACTAATTCCAGTCAACTGGTGCTGCAGTCACACATAGGCTTTGGCGAGTACTTTCAACTCGGTCCTGTTTTACCTCTCTTATTTTTGCCTAGGTGTATATTCATCTGGAGGCTGCCGAGCTCCCTGGTTGAGGTGAGGTCCTACTTTTCAAGTACTGGTACTTTAATATGGATGTGCAAGAATTTGCATGTGGTAGGTGTGTGTTGGGGGGGGGGGGGGGGGTGAAGAGCATTGCCAAGACCCTCAGCAGTATTTTCTTTCTTTCCTGTATTGGGTACACTGCACACGAATAGCACATTCCATCAATTCGGAAACTAATTAGGTCTAGCTTTTTGTACTGGTTCTTTTTGTCTTATTGTTGGTTGAGTGATAGCTGTTTGCAAAAGCTTTTTTCTGTTCTGCTATGGTATGCTGTGCATTACAGCTGATGCAAGAGAAGCTTTTAGAGCAACGGCGTGCATCCGGTCTGTTTGCCCCGCTTGTTGAGTAAGTTTGCCATGCATCCCATGTATTGGTGTCTGTTCGATATCCTTCAAGACCATAACAGCTGAACTACAAGCCCTACACGTTTTCCAAACTGTCACCAGCTGTATCTCGCCAGCATCGGTGCTCAGTTGTATATTATTTTGCTTTGTTGTGAATGGTGGCTGCTTCCAATAGCGTCCAAATAGCGTGCCTTGCTTGATGCACAAGATGTATTGGATGTTGTGTGTGATAATGTCACCTCAGGTATACTTACTGGTATAAACGACTGTTAGTAGTTGGCCCATGTCCCCCGTCATATCCACATTCATCAGTAGATCCTTGCTCTCATCGTCTTTGTCTGGTTCCTGTTCTGGTGTACCTATTTGACAGGTCGGAATTAGCTTTGACTTCACCCGCGCCTTCCGCATCCCAAGCCGTCCACTCTACGGCCAATAGTACCTTCACACTTCCTCCCGGCCAGCCGGATGACCTCCAAGGCATCACTCCCGGATCTCCCTTTCAGTCGCCGGGGGCTGCCTTGTCCTCTGTATCACCCGTGTCGCCGGAGAATGATTATCGTTTCAGCATGGGTCAGCTTCCTCGTTGGGCACGTGGACAGGTAAGACATTTTATGATGTTCGGTGGGTGCTGTTGCTGGTGTGTATCAAGTGTGTGTGTGTGTGTGTGTGTGTATGTGTGTGTGTGTGTGTGCGTGGCGCTCACACTCATCTGTACCTGGCGTCACCCTGCGGTATCGCATCGGTCGAAAGCTGGTCGGAGATCGAACAGCCAAATCCCGACTTCTTGCGACTGAGGTTACAGAATCCCAGTTTGCGGATGATGCGGCACTCTATGCCGTTTCGCACCAGGACCTTGAGGTCATGACCAACGAGTTCGTCGGATGCGCCTCTCAGTGGGGCCTAACAGTCAGCACGGCCAAGACCAAAGCTATGGTGGTGAATGGTGTCGATCCACCTGGGGTTCGTCTGGACTCTGGAGGGGACATTGAGGTGGTGGAAAATTTCACCTATCTTGGCAGCACCATCAGTGGCAGCGGTGCCCTTGATGATGAGGTTCGGGCAAGACTTGCCAAGGCATCTCGCGTGTTTGGTTCCCTGCAGAGACCTATCTTCCAGTGTGGATGTCTCTCCGTTGCTATCAAGAAACTAGTTTATCAAGCCGTTGTACTCACTACACTGTTCTATGGTGCGGAGACTTGGGCCGTGAAAGCCACCCACTTGCAGCAGTTCAACACCTTCCACCATGCTTGCTGCCGCGTCATCCTTGGTGTTTCCCGGTCCAAACAGTGGCAGGAGAGGATTTCCACCGAAGAGATTGCGCAGAGGATTGGGCTGCCTGCGAACATTGATGACCTGATTCGCTGCCACCGTCTTCATTGGCTAGGCCATGTTGCGAGGATGGCTTCGGGCCGCTTGCCGAAACAGGTTCTCTTCGGGGAGCTCTCAGCAACCCGCCCTCGCCATGGTCCCAAGAAGAGGTACCGGGATGTCATCAGCGCTGACTTGAAGGAGGCAGAGATCTCGGATAGGGGCTGGTATGACGCAGCTCAGAACCGCGCAGATTGGAGGCAACTTACACAGCATCGTCGCGCTCCTGTGCAGAGGGTGGACACATTCCCCTGCCCCTGTGGTCGCGTTTTTGGTCGGTCAGGAGACCTCAAACGCCATGCAAGATATTGCTCGGCTCGCTAGCTATCATCGCCTTACGGCGATGGGCGTCCAAGGTCCAAGGTGTGTGTGCACGCGCTTGTGTATGTGTCACATTCATGATATGTGTGCGTGTGCGTATGTGTGTGCGTACGTGTGTGTGTGTGTGTGTGTGTGTGCACGCGCTCATGTATGTGTCACATTCATGATGTGTGTGTGTGTGCGTATGTATGTACGTACGTGTGTGTGTGTGTGTGCACGCGCTCGTGTATGTGTCACATTCATGATGTGTGTGCGTATGTACGTACGTACGTGTGTGTGTGTGTGTGTGTATGTGCCATCTGATTTCAGTTACTCTTTATTGGTACATGTGCTAACTTACTAATTGCTGATCTGTGCGTCCCTGTGTGTGTGTGTGTGTGTGTGTGTGCGTGTGTGTGTGTGTGTGCGTGTGTGTGCGCATGTGTGTGTGTGTGCGCATGTGTGTGTGTGTGTGTGTGCGCGCGCGTGTGTGTGTGTGCGTATGTACGTACGTGTGTGTGCACGCGCTACTGGTTGTTTCTCGGCACTGTGTATTGTAGCTGCTGTCAGATAGTGCTGTGGATCAAGCTACAGATCAACAGACTGAGGGTGTTACCAGGGCTGCCACCCTGCCCAGAGCGCAGACTAAGTGGGCCCAGGTGTGTGCCGTGGTGCGAGTACAGCATTAATTTGTGTGTGTGTGTGTGTGGTGGGGGGGGGGGGGTTGTTTGGTGGTGCATTATATTTGTACGCGTAGTCAGGCATTCATGATGTTCTAGATTCACGTATTCGTTTGTCTGAATGTTGCTTGGATTTTCATTTCCACCCACTTTGTGTATGCTACTGTGTCTTTCCAACTTCCTGCCTGAGCTCATCATTGCATTAATTGGTTAATCCTTGACATTGATGTCTGCATGCATTTAATTTCTTCATTATATTGCCCTCTCTCTATCTCTCGCTCTCTCTCTCTCTCTCTTTCTCTCTCTCTTTCTTTCTTTCATTATCCCTATCCATGACAGGGGCATAGCCAGTCCCCCTTTTGGGGAAGTGCACGGCCGCATACCGTAGTGTCTTGTATTAAAGCCTGTCTCATATAGAAGCCTGTTTTGAATAGAAGCCTGATTTTCAAGATACACTGTCGGCACATAAGCCTGGTTTTGGTGTTGACATACATAGAAACACCCGGTTTGAATAGAAGACTGATGTGAATAGAAGCCTAGCCCTGATATCGGCTTCTACAGGAATACGCCTGGCTTTAATATGCGACATTACGGTATGACTGTAGTGTAGGATGGCTGCTGCGTGTCATTCATGGTCATTATGTGCATGCTGAACCTAGGTCTAAATTTTAAGGAGGGGGGGGGTGCACGTGCCTGCATGAGTTTACGGATCGTGTATACCAGCCTGTCTATTACTTGCCTGGATACATACTTACCGTAGGCTGCCGATTATCCGTATGTGAACTATCGAAACGATCGATTATCCGGAATGCGTTTTAAACAGAAGCGAAGGGAGAAATTGAGTGTTTGCAGCACCACTGAAAGTGGTACACAGGATGTACGATAGCAGGTTGTCGTCAACATGTATCCCCTTGGGTATCTTCGAGGAGCTGGAATACCTCTACTCCCTGCGGTTATGATGTTAGCCTGAGGAAATGCTATGCTTTTAGATGGATATTTGCTGGCTCCCGTATCCCAACACACCCATCCAAACCACTGGAGACGGCTCTGTGCCCAGAGGGATGGGGATGATCGGCACTCTACTGTAGTGACGAGTGCACCAGTTTTGTCTTGATTGTCCCTGTTTCTTCTCTTCTGAGTTTGTTTTGTACCTGTGTGCGTGTGTGTGTGTGCATGTTCATATGACTTACAGCGTGTCGACGTATCCGAGGGCTTGACTGTTGCGTCACAGCTCGAAGGCGACAATGGAGTACTTCGCGTTGATGATGCCTGGTCAGGTAGGGTCAGCATGCCAATATTGTCACACTCCTCACAAGTCTTGTCTCCTAAACTGTAGGTGCCCCTCTCAATCCATCTACTATATGTACACGTTGATTCTAGACAATATTAGTCCTGATAATACATACTGAAAATCCCACATGCAGATGATCAACAATTTGCTGACCTCTTTCACATTCAATAACTTGTACCACCGAATGCTCTCCGAGTTCTGCCAATCTCCCGGAGCAGCGCTGTGCACCTGTATTCTAATGGGTAGAGAATATCTCCTATCAGCTCCGGCAATAATCAGGAGTTCAGAGAGGAGTGAAGTAGAGTTTGAAATGGCAATCCAGTCCTTTTCTAATGCCTGTGTAATGAAGTAGCATGCTCCACTCTCCAAAGAGTGCTCAATGCCCATATAGGGCAGAGCCTTCCACACCTGCTCTTGCCTGATGATCGTGACGACGTGAAACTCAGAGTTGCAACACAGCTCCCCCGTCCCCTCTCTCTCCCTCCTTCTATCTATCTGTCTATCTCTCTCTCTCTCTCTCTCTCTCTCTCTCTCTCTCTATCTCTCTCGCTCTCTCTCTCTCTCTCTCTCTCTCTCTCTCTCTCTCTCTCTCTCTCTCTCTCTCTCTCTCTCTCTCTCTATTTTGTAATGCCAGTGTATACGGGAATGTTGGTGTGACTGTGTTGTGCAGGTCCTCGTCCGCGCTTGTCATCGCCTGGTTCCGACTCGGTGAGCCCACTGCCACTGCTGCCGCATCTCTGTTTTTCTGTACACGTATGTCTTTGTGGGAATGGGCCGATGGAGTCATTGGTCTTTGAGGTTGGTGGCCACCCGTAGGGATCAAGGTGGAGATGTCACGTTAGCTCATAAAGTGGTGGGAGGCGAGTAGATCAGACCCACCACTAAGCGGTCAAAGACCAAAATGTCCATTCCCATGAAGACATAATTATTCTAAGAGAACTGCTCAGTATTAGTGTGCAATGGTGACTTCTGCTTTGAATGAAACTGATAAAGTAGGGACAGTGTGCTAGGATATACAACAATATCTGCGGTTATAGGCCTATAGGCATCACATGGGCTTGAGAAGGACAATATACCGCAATAAATGACCCCAGCTAATGTTTTTTGTCCACTAGCGTAGTCCTTGTTCTTGTGTGTGACCATCTCACCGTTTGTGGGATTCATGCTTTTTTTCTTTGTGCACCCGTGCTGCTGTGTTCTGGCTTGTAGCCATCTGGGAGAACGTTCTGCGTGGAGACAAAGCACGCGAGTTCCACTCCTGCTGTCTTTGGAGATTCGACAGCACGTTCATCAACACCTCGTGACCTAGATAGCAGTGTTGTCCACACGCCCACCAGTGATCGAACCTTCACCGCAAGACTACCTGATGCTGGTCAAGATAGTGGTGATGCAACAGTAGTACTTCTTGCTCAAGACCCGCAGCTTAGTCCAGAGGGTGATATTGATACCATTGAGGAGGAAGATGAAAGCGAGGAGGACACGACGATCTACTTGCCAAAGATTGCCAATGACGCCGAGGCCTCCCAGTAAGTTGAGTGCAGTTTGCGAATGCTTGAGCCGGTCGATCCCGACCCGTGTGTGTGTGCGTGTGTGTATGTGTGTGTGTGTGTGCGTGTGTGTGATCCAAAGTAATTTCCAAGCACTCTGCAGATCTGGTAGGTAGCTGTTCTCGTAAAATAGGTGTACGGTTAAATCAGTAAAAAAATCAGTGCATTGGCTGTATTCGTATAAACGTGTTTTCCCCACATGTATATTTGTAGGACGGATCAAAACACTTCGAAGTTTTGTTTTGTTGTGTTGTTATGTGTCCGGTATGTATTCCCCACTCTCTTCAGGGACTTTTTTGTAACTGAATCAAGACAAGAATCTCCACCAATGGACGATGTAAGAACTAGAAACGCTTCGCATAACTGCCATGTCAGCAGCGCGGGGTGGTGGTACAAGAGGAGCAATGTATCCTATCCCGGGTGGTCTGATGTGAGGGTGTTGGACTGGGCTATTGCGGTCATTCATGGTCTTCACCGTTCAACTGCAACAAAGTACTCCTTTTTCTCTCCTGCTTTTGGTATGCTATACAGTTGTCATGTGACTGCCAACGAATTCTTATGTGGAAAGCAAGTATGGTATGTTTGTTATGGTGTTGAATTGTGTTGCTGTTTCCTTCAGACACCTGAAAGCGATGAAACGATGTCCAGTTATCCAGGTATGCCGATTGTCATGAGCCTAGTGGTTTGAGGAGCAACTGGTTGATCCATGGCTATAGCAGTGGCAACTGAAATCCAACCCCTGATGTTTGTGCTCGAGTGCAGCAGCGATTCTAGCCGTCTCTATTGCCTAGTGTTACAATCGCGTGCTGGGTCTTTGCGATGTGAGCGCGTCGCTCAGGGGGGGTCGGATTTCAGTTGCCAGCACTGTACCTACTGCAATATTTCCACTTTGGACTGTGCAAGAAGCCACCTACGTATATATACATGTACATGTGCATGTACAGTCATGTAATTTTATGCATGCTGTTGCTGCTTGCTCCAAAACCCTTCACACTGTGACACTAGGAAAGTAATCAGCTCATTTTCTCTCTCTCTCTCTTCTCTTTCCCTTTGCTCATCCAGGTACGCCACTGGAAGAGGCCACATCTCCTCCTGCACATCCTCTTCTCTCTCCACACAGCGAGCAGGAGTTCCAACCAATCTGTGACCAGCTTGCCGACTCGTTGTTTGGCAGTGCTGCTGACGCCCCTGGCTCTCCCCATGCGTCTGTCACCTCACGGCAGCCACCGACCCAACAGAAGCTACAGCTGCAGCTGCAGCGTAGGCTCAGCATGACATCCCGCTTTTTGGCCAGGTCCAAGCAGACGAGTGGTAGTACCGCTGCAACTCGGTAGGTGAAGAATGGGCGCGCTTACACACACGCACACACACACGCACACACACTGCACTGTAGATATGTACTGTAGTGTGTATGGCAGTGCAAAGAGTCAAAATAATTCATGCTCGTATGTGACAACCTACATGCAAGCACGGCTATAAGGATGAGTGATTGGCTGATACGTAAAGTTCACACGTCGGCATTACCATCGTCTATGCAATTGTGTTGAGACATACAATCAGCATAGGACGTTTTGCTGTTGCCCCAGGATACTACCATGCTTAAGAGGGCGAAACCTCGTTAGCCGCATCCCTGTTACACTCACTCAGACCGTTGATAGCTTAGCTTTTATTGCGTGGAGTAGCAAGGAATGTGCCAACAATATGAATGCCTGTTTAGTTTGCTTTCTTACTGCACACTCAGGATTGTAGCATAGCCAGTGCTGCCAAATAATTTTCGCCCAAAATCGGACACCCTTCACTGCCAAGACTGGCCACATGGTGCGAATTTTTCTCCTTGGCAATTTTTTTACAGAGAATTCAAAATATCGCCTAAAACACCATGAAAATTCGCTTCGTTGCCATGGTAACCCCGGAGTTGTCATGAATTTTATAATGATGAGTGTGGTCGTACACTGACTCTGTACAGACTGTCAGCGTACATGCCATCCAGCCTGATCCAGGCATGTTATACTTTGCACTTCCACAGCCAAGCGCTAGCCTTTTTAGAAGCAAATGTACAGTGATTTGTGCCTTCAGTTGCGCTGAAAAGTGAAAGTACAGGACTTCTGCATAGGAAAGTAATGATCTCCGACATTTTGGCTGCTTTTCGGACGTTTCCCTTTTCGGACCGGTTTTCGGAAGAGCCTTCAAAAACCGGACGGTTTGGCAGCACTGCATAGCACACGGTGTATATTTTGAACTTGCATGCTGGTGTTAGATAAATGCCCTGCCATCTTACTATGTGCTGTACTAGAATTCACTCTGGGTGTTCTCTTCTTCTTGTTGATCCCTTGTAGGCCACGTCCAACTGACTTGCCGGCTGTGTCAGAAGCATTTGCCCGTAGCGCTAATCAGGTATGCGCTGCATCATGTGCTTTTGCCATTATGAGTCATCAACGTCATTCATGCAGGCATGCTGCTGATGTTTTGCACATGCATTTTGAGATGCACCCATTTGAATGGTGTCTCCATGTACGCTGGCATGAAGTTCTGCCAGCTTAGCACAAGTGAAATTTGCTAGGATAGGTTTCTGATGTGTGTGTGTGTGTGTGTGTGTGTGTGTGTGTGTGTGTGTGTGTGTGTGTGTGTGTTGGTTAGCTTGTTTCTCTAGGGATGGATGCGCTACGCTGTGTACATGTAGTTCTGTATTTTGTTGTCGGACCTCTGGCATGAACTATTTGCTGGTATTTGCTGTGGGTGCTCTGTGCAGGCTGTGTTATTATCGCCCAGCACGGCATCAGTTGGAGAACCGTCGTCCATGAACTCTTCAATGACCTCAGGGGCGTCAACAACAACAACGCGAGCATTTACCAGCAGCAATAATACTGCAGCATCCCCAATTGCGCCTGTTCGTAGCCGCACATCAAGTGCTAGCCACAATAAGAGTCAGCAAGCTACTCGTGCTTCTGAGTCGAAACCAAGGCCTTCGTCTGCAGCAGCGTCGAAAACCGGCGGACTGCTTCCGGTGCAAAAACGTTCCGGATCAGCACCCTCGTCCAAGCAGCAGCTGCCATCTGGAGCACGCTCTCCATCTCGTCATACCGGTTTCTCGCCCTCGTCTTCGGATTCGGGCATAGATAACACGGCACTTCGAGACGCTGAGATCACTCCACCGCGTACACCACAGTCACCTGGCAAGAGCCGTGTGGTGGCAGCAGCACCAGCAGCAGTGGCAGGCAAGAAAGCGGGGCCGGCAGCGTCTAGACAGTGCTCTGATTCGTCCGTGCCTCAATCACCAGGTAAACTGCTACAGTACTGTAATTTCAGAAAACGTTGGTGTACACATCAGTCTTTTCGGTACGTGTACATCCTAAAACTTCAGTACATTCACAACCACTGACACCTATCCTCTGAAAGGGAACTGCTTCACTTTACCTAAACGTTCTGGTCACATAACTTGGTTATCTTTCCATCTACAGTCAACTTCGCTAATAACGACCGCGCATATAACGACAATTCGCGAATAACAACAGAATTTCCATGCCCAGAGCAAAGTCCCATCTAACTGCAACGCATATAATGAGACTTCAGGTATAAGGACACTTCGCGAATAAGGACACTTTTCTGATGCCTCGCCGAGTGTCGTTATACGCAAAGTTGACTGTACCTGAAGTCCCCCCCCCCCCTCCTTTGAAAAGTCTCAACAGTACGTCCCACCCGGCAATGTTTCCTGTGACCGGGTATCACACTGTACACTGTATTACCGGTACTGCGCTTATTCAGTGCCAACTCAGTACCAGTATCAGAAAAGTATGCAGTGCATCATGTTATCTAGCAGCTAGGTCCTAATTTCCCTTTGCTATACAGGTGGAATCCTGATAATTCGAAACTCCAAATGCCAGGAAAAAATTTTAATTATCCGGACATTCTAATTATCCAAACATGAAACCACTATACAATATGTATGTCAAAATGGTCCCATGTTCACGCAGAGTTGCGCTATGGACCTTAGACACAGATTTCACGGATACTGAACTGACCGGCACAGCCTGCTCATGCAAACTGAACTGACCAGTACAGTGTACAGTGAACTTCGAATTACACTTTGCTTACTTCGAATTATCAGCACAAATCCCACACATTTTCTATGTAAGTGGAATCCGTGGAACTTCGTCGAGGTTCGAATTATCAGAAAACTTTATGTGGGAATCGTATTGACAGAAATCGGTCCTGGAAAAACTTCTAATTAAGCGGTGTGTTCGAATTAAGCCATATTCGAATTATCAGGATTCCACCTGTACCTTCCAACTCCGCTCTGGTCATCTCAGATTGAGTCAATGCAGGATGTTAGCCCATGCAGAATCTGCTGTAGCATCTGTGTGTCCGTTCACAAACCTTGGCCGATTTGATTATACTCTTTGTGTGTGTGTGTGCGTGTGTGTGCATGCCCGGTTGTGTGTTAACAGGCGAGGAGCTTGCAGCTGCAACTTGTTCAGAGGCACTTGACGCTCTTGAGGGCAGTTTTGAAGCTGCCATGTCTCACTTTTCCAAAGTAAGTTTGAAATCCCTCAACTACTGAAGATGCCTTGCCATCCGCGACTAGTTAATCAACGTGACAGCCCCTCCTCATACAAGCGTGACAGAATATATACATGTATGTTCATTGTGCTCTCTGACTGTTGCGCACTGTGTACCGTATTTCCCCGATTAATATATATATAAGTCGCACCCCCATTTTCAGGTTTGAGCAATATATTCACTTCAGATATGGGCCATGCTCGATTGTAAGTCCCTCTTTTGCCCTTGAATTTTAGAGTGAAAAGGTGCGACTTATATTCGGGGGGTAATGCCCTACTATCTGATGTACATTACAGTCTCTTCAGTTACCAAGATAATGGTGATCTACAGACTAAATACGAATATCAGACGTCACCCAGTGCACTAGTCCATACACATCAGTGTTTGCTTCTGAATGAAGCCAGGTAGACTACACCCTGGATGTAACGCCTGATTCATTCTTCATTTCCCGTACGGGAAACGCTTCGCAATGTGTATCGCACGATGGGTTGAGATCAACTCAACTTTGTTTCACCTCGATGTGATTTTTGAGTGCTTGAGATGAGTGGAGTATTGAGGTCATGACAAAATCCCTTTGGTTACTCTTTTTTTGTTTTTCGTTTGTCTGCTTCTCGGCATTCACTTGCGCAGCTCAAAGGCCGGTGCCAGCAGCCTCAAGCACCACCTGCTTACAGCCGCTTGCTGGAGCGCTACTCCAGTGTATTCACACGTCTTCACTCCGAACTCGGCTCGCATGATGCTCGTACAGGCATGACTGAAGAACTGTCTTCAGCTGATGCAAGCGCTGGCCATTGTGAAGGTCGATCACTGCTAGGAGAGGACAATACGGTTGCATTACTGGAGCGCTACTCCGATGCGTTGTGCTCGATGGTTCAGGAAAAGCTTCAGCTCCGCAGTGGCAGTGGCAAGCAGCTTAGTGATCTGTCCAAGAGAAAACGAGACTTAGACAAAACTTGACATGTGTATCACTACTACTATTAATATTTATCATTCTATTCAAAATATTGAGTTGTGTACTCAACTACTATTGGACAGGCTTCAAGTTTCTTTATTTTCTGCCACATCATGGCATGTCATATTGTTGAGGAACTCTTTCAACATCTGCTGATGGTCCTGCTCGCTTTGCATGCAGTAGCTGTATCTTTTACCTTTTAGCTTCACTGCTTATGCATTGCAAACATAATAGTCCAGCACATAGTACCTTCCGCTTCCATACACTTGTTAGGTGATGCAGCTAAGAATGCCTTTCTCCCTCAAATATGAGTACCATAAAAGAATAATTAGGATTTCTCCACGTACTTGTCTCGGGACTACCACAAAACATGTACCACACCTTCTGGAACAGAGTTCACTTACTGGAACATTCAAGACCATGTTTTTAAATTTGTTAGTATTGGTTCATTGCAGAGTTTAATAGCTGCACTGTATACAGGTCTAAGTTATGGTAAAGAAAAATAATAAAAAACAATGTCTCATAAGTCTGAGCACAGCCGTTAGACTGCTGACGATACTGGTGTCTTCTTTGCGGCGTCCTCTACACGCCGTTTGGTCAATGCCTCCTCCATCTTGTCGACAATAAACGTGTCGAGCTCCTCGCCCTCCATGTGTTGTATGTCAGACATACGCACCATCTCAAAGTGCCAACCAGAGGTCTTCATCATACTGAGGCGACGCTTGACGACGCCAGTGACCTCATTGATTGGCTCCAGTATCTGATCGCCCTGCAAGAACACGACCGTGCTGGCATAGACGCCCAGGGAATCGGGAAGACGCGACGTCATGTGCTCCGGCACGCGGTTGCGTGGGAAACGCACTAGCTTGCGCGGCGTCTCCTTCGAAATCAGCCCACAGAGCGGCATGAATCCCTTCAGAGAACTGACGTTCATGACAACCAACTGTGACTTGGCGAGCGGTCCTAGCCTCTCAAGAAACTTCACATCCGGAGACTTGGCGATGTAGGTCTCTCGCATCAGCTTGTGCACGTCCTCAAAGCCCATCAGGTCATTGAACGATTCTACCAGCTGACTGAACTCCGAAATGTACTGGAATGGCAGCCTACTGTCCTTTGAGTGTTCAAACATGCGTCGCATGAATACTTTTAGTGTACTCTTCGGTCTCTCCACGCCCTGAGCTAGGTATGCCCAATTAATCTTAGATGCTGAGTCCAATGTATGATGGGCAATGTAGTTTTCGTCATCAATCACCTCCAGCAGTGCCCTGAAGACGTCCGGTGCCGACTTCCTCAGGAAGCTGAGCGCGTACAGGCAATCGGCTGCCACATCAAAGTTACACAGCACACTCTGTTGTCCATTTCGCTCAATCAGATTTTGCAGGAAGTCTGATAGCTCACCTAGCACAGGTGCGTGAAAAGTTCTCAGGTCCACCAAGCTCTGACACAGCGAACGCAGATTTTCACCATCCCCAGCGTTCAGAAAATGTTTGTTACTGGAAAGTTCAGGGCCAATTTGTTCAAAGATGGGATACAAGATGGAGGAAGATGGTGGTCCATGTACCTTTGATATCCGACCTAACGGACCCAGAACATTCACAGTATCTTCAAACGTCAGATCCCCCTTTGACTGGTCCAGAACTTCATGGAGGCGTTCAACATCACTTTTGCTGGCGTCGGTGGCAGATGCTACTTCTAGAACTTCCTTCACTCGACTCGCAGCCGATGAATTCCACCTCATATGGGGACGCAGAGGAGCAAGCAGCTCAAATGTGTGGCGACGCCACATGGCTAAGGTTACCACCAATATGTCCTTAGCTCACAAGATACTCATTATCTTCTTCGACTCCTTGGCAAAGTCATCTTTTCCATGCATGCGCAATAATAAAAATAATTGTTGCTTTTCGAATTCTTCACTCTTTTCGAAAAATGTGCTTGGGTGCGTCACGTGTTACATGATCTTACATCTCGCATGAGTCGCATCCAGGGAGTCGTAAAAGCCCGGGAGAGGACACGGCACACATTCCCAGAAAACATCTTTGCCTCACGCTGCCGGGGAACGCTGCCAGGGAACGGTGTTGCGAGGCAAGGAAATTATTATTTTCGAAAATTGTGATGTCTTCTTGAAATACTAATTGGGACATTCTCCGATTTCTCTTAGAGCACGGAGACGATTGCTCCGTCGGGTCTTCTGATCTCTATTTTCATCTTCAATTCTTCCAGCTGCCTCACTCATTCTCTCTCAGTTTATCGAAGTTAATTTATTCTGAGGCGATGGAAATGCAAGATAAATCCCTAATTGTACTTCACTTTTATTTGAGTTGGGGTGAACGAAATGAGATTTGTGGATAATGACGCCACTTCCCGTGTTAGCCGCTGGTCGTATCATACAGCTCATATTCCATTGCAGGCGATGGGCGAACGTTCGTGTTGAGATCCGCTGAGCTTCCTCGTACTCGTGGAGTTGAATTTGTGGCAGAAATTGCACTGAATTGCAGTCAAATGGTTGTGAATGAAACGAGATTTGTGGAAAATGACGCCACTTGCCGTGTTAGCCGCTGGTCGTATCATACAGCCCATATTCCATTGCAGGTGATGGGCGAACGTTCGTGTTGAGATCCGCTGAGCTTCCTCGTACTCGTGGAGTTGAATTTGCGGCAGAAATTGCACTGAATTGCAGTCGAATGGTTGTGAATGAAACGAGATTTGTGGAAAATGACGCCACTTCCCGTGTTAGCCGCTGGTCGTATCATACAGCCCATATTCCATTGCAGGTGATGGGCGAAAGTTCTTGTGGAGATTCGCTGAGCTTCCTCAGCGTACTCGTGGATTTATGAATTTGTGTCAGAAATTGCACTGAAATTGCAGTCGAGTGGACTTCTGTGCGTGTGTTGTGAGTGAATCGCAACGGCTCCCTTCCTTCAGCATCGTCAAAACGCAACATAGAGCATTATTACGCACTCGTTCCATGATTCATGATAATGCCTGGATTCTTTTAAAAACAATCAATGTGTGTTCCCTATCTATCTACATTGTACATGGTTGCAGGTCGTTATTTATAAATCTTGATAATTTCAACACTTTTCTACTCGTATACTGAGTACGCGGTGACTTGAGCCGTTTAGGAAACGGAAGTCTTGGCGAGTGTACAAAAGGTAAACCTATCATTTGTACTTCATAACGGAATTGTGCACAAAAATGCACACGCACGTGCGCGCGCACACACACAAACACTGTACAAACACACACAAAAGTACAAGCGCATGTGCACATACACACGCCTCCCCCCCCCCCCCCACACACACACACACACACTCAACTCCCCACCCCTGTACCATGTGTACTGAGTCTGACAGACATACAATCATGTTTATCCTTCCTTCGCCACCAGTTTCGGATAATGGTGTCAACAACGAGTTGTAAAATATTGGTATTTTAGGACTCCCTGCCCTGAAGACGAGCACAGCGCCGTGGATCGAGCAGATCCGGCCGCGCCGGCCTAGCGTGCTTCACTTTCTGGCCGAGGCAAACATCGTCCGCGTGCGCGCATCCCGTGTCCTCTCCCGGGCTTTTACGACTCCCTGGTCGCATCACATGATCACGCCGACGCCATTTTGATGGGGAATTGGGGATCCCCCACGCGGCCACTAGCAGTCTTTTCGTGCTACACAGGACAGTACTAGCTAGCTAGATCTACACACGTATGTGCAGTGGTACACACACAGCTATAGCTACACTACGTAACCATGGTAACACTAGCCTCATACAAGTCGTAGATCTACACTACTACAGCTTGACACTGACAGCTAGCTAGCTCAGCTGATCAGGCTGGCCTGGGTTCGCCGCCGAGCCGACCATTCATTTCATTCATTTCCCACAAACATACACATTCAAAAATCTTTTCAACTACTCACACTGAAAGAGAAGGGACAAGTAATAGTTACTTCAAGCAAACTAATTTTCAGTTGGAGTAAAGGCAGCTGTAAAGAGAAGCTGATCATGGATGAGGCAGATCTGGTAAGTGACGTTTTGGGTTTTATGTTTCTTCAAGTCGTCAAATTGCTGATTTCTTCTGTGGTGGAATCACTTTTTACCATGTACTGAATTTTTACAGGGATTCGATTTGAGCTTGAAGAAGAAGAAAAAGAAGAAGAAGACACCTGTCGACTTTGATGCAGACGCCGGCGCAAGTGCACCAACAGACGCCACTGCGGACGAATCTGCTGAAATCCCCCAGTCGGAAGAAGTAGCTCCGGCTGCAACAGAGGATGTTGCAGATGACTTGGTTCGTTTGCTGTGAAGTGTTTATCCCTTTTAATACTCACATTATTGTGTGCCGCGTACGGAGGTGAACCGACTTACATGTATCTGTTCGGCTTTAAGTGCACATGATGTATACAGTGAAAATCCAGTATAAAGTATCCTGTAGAAAACATCCTCTGGTAGTATGGACACACTATGTTCTACCAGTCATTAGACCTGAAGGGGAAAGACCATCAGACTCTTCTACGGCACGTACACGCACGCACACCGCACAATCTCAGGACCTGGTGTTTCTTGTACTGGTTCTAGGAAGTAGTGAAACTCACTGACCTAGATTATTATTGAAGACTATTCTAAATACACTGTGAGGTATACCAGTTGCGCAGCAAAAGCCCGCACTCGCACTTGCTATCGAAGGCTAGTAATTAAGGTATTAGAGTAGTCCAACCAGCTGAACACAGCAGCACGAGAAATTACATGACTAGGTAAACACTAGGATCTGACCCGTATGATCAACAATTATACAATGATGAGCGTGTGCTCTTAACGTAATTGAGCGGCCCAGATGTTCCAATCAATTATTTCTAACATGCTATCCTTGCAACCCAATCTACTTATCTGTCATGAACAATGTAATACTTGTACCACAAAGCAATACCGTGCACTAGACTCTAAATACATGACACCACAGTCATCAGTATTAAACCAATGCATGCAAGCAAGATCAGCAGTTATCCTTCAGACCTTAGATATACAGACTCAGTACCTCCACCATGAAGTACAGATTGCATGGCCCTTGGAGGTATGTTATACTGAAGTATCACTGTACATGTAGAAAGCACGTTCACATGGATGTCATTGTGGTGTACAGTAGTCAATGCTCCTGTGGCCTCTGTTTCCTGCAAAGGCCTTGAGTATAATATGACAGTGCCTACATTCGATTCATTATAGTTATAGTGCAGGATGCCTGTCCTGTCGGATAGACACTGTACCGGTATCATACAAGACAGGTTAGGTGGCAAGATAGAGGACACTTCATAAGAGTAATACAGTATTCATATAGTGGTACAGTACAAAGCCCTCTCTAATCCAACCGAATGCAGTCATAGTAACTATTTTTCTCGGCGACGGCGCGTAACTATTATTTATTATTATTATTATTTATTCTTCTTTTACTAGGGAATTCCCAACAGGCGTCAGCGCCTTTTTACAGGGAACCCTAGGTATAATTTGATGGATGAGCGAAATTCAGCTGGTGAACTAGACATGCGGCAAGCCGGTGGAAGTGTATTCCACCTGGCAGCGCCAACTCCCAAGAGTATGCAGCTGTTGGAAGACTGCAATGGCAGGACTTCAGACCACATGACATTCGGTTCTCCCGAGTTTGCGTGTGGCTCTTTGGTTTTGATTTTTGCACTGGTTGCTTGTGCAGTTTTTTCGAACCATGCCACATGATGTGAAAGTCTGTTGTCATACCTGCGGATAGAGAATGTGCAGGCAGGTGCACAATCTTGAAGGCTATTGTGCTCTTGTTTGCAGCGTGTCCCCCACCTTGTCGCCAAGTTGTTATGACGAATGATATGTTGTCGTAAAGAACCATCCCAACCATAGCCCTATGGCCAAGCCCAAGACTTGGATGCTGCCCTCTATGATTCACAAGTGCTCCCTCCTTTGTTCTTCTCATGTGTTCAGGGTGCATTCAATCCCAACATGAAGAAGAAGAAAAAGAAGAAGAAGGCAGCAGACTTTGATGCTCTAGTTACCACCGACAGTACTGAGAATACGGCTGAAGACACTACAAGTGCTGCAGGTAAGATGATGATCTTAGTTCTCGGGTGATTGTACTGTTGTGGGCATGGAAATCTGGTCGAATGACTCGGGGCCGGCGCCCTCAGTGCGTACAGAACGTTGCATGCACAGTGCACATGTCGATCGTATGCGTATTGACGGCTGCATGGCCAGCGCACTGGGCCGCTTGACCTCCGACCGGATTTCCTTGTCCACGACAGCAGGTGCGTGTGTGTGCGTGTGGATGTGGGTGGATGTGCATGCAGGTGGGTGGATGTACATGCGGGTGTTTAGGGGATATGGCTCCCTTTGGTGGTGCACCTGCATTGGTGAATATGGACTTTAGACATCCTTATAACAATTGCATGGACATGGAGCTATAAGGGACCATCGCAAAAGTTCGCAGAAGCCCCCGAAACGAAGACCGTGAGTTTCGGGCCTGACCCCCCTCCCTCCCCCCTCAAACGAAACGACAGTCACAATATGGGCTTCATTTTTTCACTTCGATGCTCACACATAATAATTATTATAATATACTACACAAGTATTGTTGTATCAGTGCGTAACAATGTACAGCACTTAATAAATGCAACGATGATAATCACCTTGCAGTGGGTGATCTAAGAACGAGAACAGCTAGAGCTATGCAGTTGTATCCTTTGAGCATTACAATGAACGTTGATTGGTGTATATTGCTTTCACATTCAAGCGATCTACGCCGGCTGTGCATGTGATGGCATGCTAATCCTACAGCTCCTATCATGTCGTCAATACTTTTTTGAATTGAAGCCCGGTTTGCGATTTTCGCACCGACTCCCTCCCCCCCAAACGTATGCTCTTCGTTTCAGGGGCTTCTGCGAACTTTTGCGATGGTCCCTAAGGGGAGAGAGAACAATGATTTGCACAGGTGAACCTTGGGAATTCGGCCACCCTCAGTGCCGGCTAAAATAATCTGATCTTTTTGAAATGACTATCCAGACTATAAACGCCATATGACGACTGGAACCCAGGATAGCCCTACAATCACGTGCTGCGTAAAATCTACACTCACAGCATCAGCTTCCTGCAGCCTAGCCTTTGGCAGCATGCTCTGTATTGTGTTTCATGTACAGTCAAACCTCTTTAGGACGAACATCAAGGGACCGATGATATTTGTTCGCAACAACAGGAGTTCTTCTTATCCATGTGTTTTACCCAGTGAATACACAGGGTTTTATCCAATACAGTTACGAATACTAGTTCTTCTTAGGCAAACATTTTTCTTATCAGTGTTCTTCCTGACCAGGTTTCACTGTGTGTACCAGTACTTTTACGAGTGAGAAGAGACGAGCTTTTGGTTGCATTTGCCTTTTTGTATGCTTCCCTCGGAGAAGTGCACTAGTGAACTACAAAAGTCAATCAAGTGTCTCAAGCAAATGTGGTTGGAGACCAGTGTTCCACGTTCTCCGTAAACACTTGCTTGACCCATTGTGCGTGGTGATTGTACAGAGGAAAGTGACAAGGTGTATGGAGGAGGTAGTAGTTGGCTTCTCACTAAATTGCTATTTTTCTTGATGTGTTCCTCTCCAGCCAGTACCACATCTGCGCTTCCTGAGGTTGACTACACATATGAGAATGTAAGCGACACTACTAATAGTGTATTGTAAAGTGAGAAACTTTCGCTAGAGATTAAATTTTGCTGTTTTCGCGACCATCACACATTCGCGAATATAAATCGCCGCAAACCTCTCCGCACATTGATTGTAGACAGTACAAGACCCGACTGAAGAGATAGAATCGCAAACGCTTCTCATCGTGAACCAGCCCGATTTATGAAAACGCTATATTTGCACACCGCGAAAGTTTGTCGCTTTACAGTATCCCATCTGTGCTTCACCTGGTTTTTTCCATTGCTGTGCTGTTCGATTATCGAAGCATGTGCCTGTCCTTTTACTATCATGTTGATGATCTTGGTTGTGTTTGTAGCTTCTCCATCGGGTGTTTGACATCATGAGACTGAAGGACCCTGAGAACAAGCTCGGAGAAAGACCCAAGTTTGTGCTGAAGCCACCTCAAGTGACACGTATTGGAACAAGAAAAACATCATTCGTCAACTTCACAGAGATCTGCAAGCTGTAAGTTCCTTTTTAAGAATTGTATTGTACTTATTTGGGCTGATTCTCTCTCTCTCTCTCTCTCTCTCTCTCTCTTTCTCTCTCTCTCTTTCTCTCTCTCTTTCTCTCTCTCTTTCTCTCTCTCTCTCTCTCTCTCTCTCTCTCTCTCTCTCTCTCTCTCTCTCTCTCTCTCTCTCTCTCTCTCTCTCTCTGTACTTGCTTTCTATCATTTTCTCATCACGAGTTTCCCAGCTTCTGATTGTTCCTTTGGGTGCCCTATGTGGTGTGTGTGTACTTTGTCCTCTTGTGTTCAGACTGCATCGACAGCCAAAGCACTTGCTTGCATTTATCTGCGCTGAATTGGGTACCAGGTAAGTCCGGTCAGGGTGTGGCATTGCTACTGCTGTATATGAAGGTTGAAATGATCTGCACTCGCTTTCTTTACAGCTCAACAAGTGAGCAAGAGGACTCGACATTACACTGTTCGATGGGTTTTGAGATTTGCTGTTTTTCCGGAAGGGAGCGTCCACACCAGCTGAACTACAGCTATCAAGTGCGAAAGCATTGAAGCACTAACGTTGCGTGCAACTGTACTTTACTCTAGAACACTAGGTACAACGCACAAGGAGGTCTCTATTGCCACCGGTTCTCTTCCGACTGTTTTACTTATTTCCTCCCCTCTCGGTGTGCTGCAGTGGCTCCGTCGATGCCAACAACCAGCTGATCATCCGTGGTCGCTATCAACAGAAGCAGATAGAGAGTGTACTCAGACGTTACATCAGTAAGTCTCTGGTGCCTTTGACTAACCTGTTTGCAGAAAGTACCGCATTGCTAGGCGATGTGTGTGAGGGTGGTACCTAAACTGTATGCGTTGCAACAATACTTCTGGAACTTGTATGGCAAAAATATATCAATGAGGCAGTAAAGGTGTTTAGTACCAAAGGCTTACGATCGATGGAGACTCATGCAATGGAATCTTTATGAATGGCAGTGACGTGCATACATTATTAGTACAGTAAAACCTGTCAAGGCGACCCAGTGGCGTGCACCGAGTCTTGAAAGGGGGGTTTCTAGAGTTGGTAATTTTTTTCTGGGGCCCCATTGTATAATTATGTATGAATTTTGTGCACATGCGCCTCCCCCGAACATCCTGTCGGAGATAACGGCGAGGGCAGTCGGCTAGGGAGGAGGGAGGGGGGCCGGGACTCAAGATCAGGGGTGCAGGGCACCAATGAACACTGGTGCTGATGAGATGCGGGGCTCGTCCGACTGCTATCATCAGATCATGCCGGCACAAACGCGTCTGAGAGGGAACCAGGTACAGGGGTAGAAAGGACAGAAATAAGAATAAAGAGGAATGGAGGGAGGGGACGATGCCGGTTACATGGAAATGTTGGTACATGTACCGTAAAGTACCGCCAGAGCGCCCCGTCTCGCGAGAGCGCCCCACCTTGATTTTATAGCCAGAGAAAGGAAAATCGTATGGCAGAGTGCAACGAAGTGTGTACGATGTGAGAATCATAGTGTACTAAGGTCACACTTGGCAGGTTTTTGTGTGGAGCTTGTGTCCTCTAGTCTTGAAGGTACGGATTGACTGCAAAACGTGCAATATGTGTACAAGGTTCATGTCGTATGACCTACAGACAGCAGACCACCTCCACAATACGACCACGAAAGGATGAGATGGTGGGGCGCTCTGGCGGTACTTTACGGTATAATCGATAGCATGATAAAACGGGTTACCTTTTTTGATAGGCCTAGCTGCGCGGGCTACACTACAGTCTATAACACTATGTCTATCAGACTATGGTACTTCACTAGTCCACTCCACTGTCTCCAGGCTTGTTTGTTTCATCAAAACACTGCTTACATTCGTCGTATCTTTCTTTCTGTTCTTATGACGAAGTTTTCAGCATGTATTGGCAATGTTCCACATGATTTCAATAGAGAGTTATGGACCTCGCTTCGATGGAAGCTCGCGGAAGAAAAGCGAAGCCCCGCGTCCTTGAGTCGCCGCCGGAGCAGCGCTTCGTTCTGAAGCAGCGCAAGTGGATCATGGACGCACATTTTTACCTCTTCCAGTCGACAAAGTTTTTGACGAACATCTCTGCTGCGCACATGAGCGAGAACGAAAGGCTGTGGCGATCTTGATTTAAGTCAACGGTTTGGAAGGAGATATCGTCAATCATATCCTTGAACTGACTTGCATCGCGCGTGCTTGACTCAAATTTCGAAACAAAACGGATTTCTTGAACGTCATCGCCAATCCAGGAGCGAACCAGAGCTAGAGATCGATCCCTCCGTGGCTACTCTCCACTGAAGAAAAAGAGAATAATGTATTTCGAACTGCATGCAAAGCAACTCTCTCTCACTTCGAAATAAGGACATAGTCACTGTACTGTGAACTGCCCGTCGATTGATGCGTTTGCAGGATCGATAACCAATCCAGTACGAGGTGAATTGCTATTTCTGGACATTGGACATTTCTGGACCTTTCGAGTAAAATAATTTTTCGTCGCGTGTAGAGTCAAGTCAGTCAGGTTGATGAAGTTTTTTCTTGTTGTAGTTGACAGCTGGGTTGTTGTAGTTTCTCCTCGTGTCGGTGCCTTGTTGATAGCCTTTTCTTCGGAGGCATTTCAACGAGTTTTGTGGTACTATGTCGCATGAGAATTTTGAATTTTGAGTAAAATAAGAAGTAATGGACGAATCGTTGGCTTCCCCATGTGCACTGCACTTCAGACGCTGTATAGTCTTGGACCTGTTGGCTGGAAGTGTGAAGAGGCCAACTGCAGTCCACCAATAGAAAAATAACAAAAATGGTGCAGTATTGGATGCCTATTGACGCTATTTTACTTTCATGTCCAGAATTCCATACACTGAAATTTAGGGCAAAAAATTGGCCTGTCGAAAACATCCCGCTATAAAGTGTCTGGGATCACAGCATGAGCAATTGTCACATATTTGGAAAGATGAAGGATTAGGCCATACAATAGATACAAAAAGATATGAAAAATGTAAAACACACAGCCAGTGGGCCTCTATTTTATTTTCATGTCCAGAAATTGCTATTCACCTCGTACTACACGCTTTTCTTTTGGCAAGATTGCCCGAAAAAAGGTGGTTTCCAGACACCAAAAAACTCATACGGTGCACGCGCCTGCGACCACTCGGATAAGGCGACCACCTGTCCTAAAAGACCAATGAAACCAGGACCAAGGGAAGCTATTTCCAGTTAAATGACCCTTAGTAGGTAACAAAGACCACATTTTGAAAGTCCCTTGAGCGGTCGTCCTAGACAGGTTTCACTGTATTTATTACAGTCATATCGTTTTGTTGTGCTGTTGCCAGCTGTATCTACCAAAGTAACAATGTCTGTTGGTGTCGCTGACTTTATCTATTGCTCTGCAGAGGAGTACGTCACTTGCCACACATGCAGATCTCCAGAGACCATCTTGCAGAAGGAGACGCGCCTGTTCTTCTTGCAGTGCGAACGCTGCAATTCGCGCTGCTCCGTGGCTACCATCAAGTCTGGTTTCCAGGCCGTCACACAGAAGCGTGCAGCACAGAGAGCAAAACAGGGTTAACCTTAGGTATTTTCATTCTATTCATGTAACACTCATGTACATTTTTAAAAGTTCTATTTACTTCTATTGTCTCTTTGTGTGGGTTCGTATGCGTGTACGTGGTTGTATATGTGGGTGTCTGGAAAGTGGGTGGGTGTTTGCAAGAGTACATAACCCCCGGTACTCTTGATAATACTAAGAGTAAGAGTCCATAATGGACTCTAGTCTTGTCTTGCAGTTTTGATCTTGTGTGTGTGGGGGGGGGGGGGGCGTTGGCATTGGCAGATAATGCTCGAAAAGCTGTGAAATTGGCAGGACCATACAAACCTTATGGCGGGCAATTCCTGCTCCATTTCTTTATCCACATACCAAACATGCATGAAACGTACTAAAAAAAGTACCGAATTCTGCCAATTTTTCTGCCGGCATTATCCGCAAAGAGGCCCGGGGGGGGGGGGGGGGGGCTGGACTGAAGCCAGTATGGCAGTAAAGACTAAAGAGTAAAGTACTACTACTACTAGCTACTACTACTAGACGTAGCCTTCTAATTTTTAGGCATGGGTACGAGGTCCAGCCGTTGCGCAACGACGCTACCTCCGCTGGCGTACGCGAAGGACTAAAGGGACGCTGGTCTAGGAGTGCGGCAGTTTTTGCACCATGGCAACCAGAAGCGCGCGCACGCGAGAGCCACCAGCGCAAAGCGCTCCAGACTTGCGGCGGTAGAGCGAGTGAGACACTTCGCCGTGACCCAGTACGAGTGCAGTCTTGAGCTACAGCTACGGCCAGGCTAGGCCCGCGGCCAAGGGAAAAATATTTGCCGAACGTGTGTTCGAAGCGGTTCATGTTCACTTCTTTCGATGATTACTAGTATTATCAATATCATGATGTCTTTTTCAACTTCTAATAATTCTACCACTGTACCAGTGAATATTATTACTTCAATATTAATTTTATTAGTGCAGTAATTGCCAAGACAGAAGACTGCAGTACGAACTCGTACTCGTAGCAGCAGCAATGTCAAGAAGAGCAGGCAGCGTAGCAAAAGCAGTCACAACAACGCAGACGCAATAACATTTTCAGCAGCCGTTCATCTCAGAGGGGATGCAGCGCCAAACTGCGAGGGTGAGGTGGTAACTCTCACAACCAATACCTCCGCAGGTAAGTACTAGTAAAGCCTCTTGTGCGGGAAAAATGAATTGCACATATCATCAAACAAATTCAAATTCAGTAAACTACTTTGAAGTACAAAAATCAATTTAAATGCATGAATCTTCACTAGTTTGAGGGAAAGAGACAAACGGGAAAAGTCTGAACAAAAAATTGACTGTCACCACCAGGACTCGAACCAGGGACCCTCGCTTGTAGCTAGCGATGCTCTAACCACTGAGCTATGGTGTAGTCGTCATCCCAGCAGAGACCGTTCAACATTTTCTTCAGACTTCGTAACTCACACTTCCTGTGAATCCACACAGGCGGGTGGGACGCAGCCCTCACTGTACCCACACACTTCACGTACACTCTAGCACGCGTGCAGCCTCAAGTCATAAAAATGCATGAATGTTAGTATTAAACACAAAAATAAAAAGTAAAAATCAATTGGAACACAAAAAAGAGACAAAAACCCTAGGTAAAAGAGCCCACAGAAACATTACCGTACTGGCAAAGAACGGCAGCTATTTACAAAGGCCCTATTCCTACGCCTGTATGATGCCCGGGACCCTCTGATACAGACAAGTACTATTATATAACCCTGTTCTTACTCGAACATGCCTCCGGATAGCACACGACTCGTTGTTTTAGAAGACTGTATTATAATGTTTTACTCTGACTCTGATCGAAATCATCTTGCAGTACAAAGGAAAGTTCTGCTTCTCTCGAAGCAGAAGCGGAGATTCAAAAAACATTCAAATCAAAAGATTGCGCGAAAGCAGTGTACGCGACTACGCGCATCAGACGTGAATACAACATGAGAAGTGAAAGCAGTGTACGCGACTACGCGCATCCAGACGTGAATACAACATGAGGAATGAAAGCAGTGTACGCGACTAAGCGCATCAGACGTGAATACAACATGAGGAACGAATGCGTAGTAGTATGATAATGCACAACAGTACAACAAGCAGTGCTGATAGACACATAAAACGGAGTGGCTCTGCACCATTATCAGTGGGCTGGATATAGACTGTACAAACCCAATACTAGTACAATACTAGTATTAGATAAACCTTGTTATAGTTCACACATGTTGTTAGTTTGACAGCATGAAACAAGGTGGAGGACACAACACCCAGCTGGAGAAACTAAAGAAGTCAGTTACGACTGCCCTTGAAGCTGAGAAGTTGTGTGAGCTCAGTCTGTGCGAACGGTAGGTTCATTATCCAAACAAATGGCGAAATAAAAAGTTGCCAGAAGAATAACCTCTACAAATAACCACTTGTGTTATCCACACGTATCAACTACTTATCAGCATTTCAATGAATATTCTGATTCTGAAAACAATCGTTTCAATGCTCGACCTTATTATAATGATGATAAACTGAACACAATTCAAGAATACTATAACTCAACACATAAGAGATTGGAACTCAGACGGTGAGCCAAGAAAAAATTGTAACATGGAAAAATGTGGGCACAAGGCACTTTCATGCCGTGGAATGTCTCCGTGCTCCTTGTCAGTTTTGTGCTGGATTGTGCACGTCTGACTCTTCAAAATCTGGCTTAGTTGGTAGACTCAATCGCATAACTTGTGCCCACATTTGTCCATGTAACATAAGTGATATGAATGTTATCTAATCTGGCACTCAATGTGTGACATTTTGTGTGACATTTTGTGTGTTATCTTGCAATATCACGCGACTCAATATCACATCAGACTAATTATACCAAAGTTTCTCTGCAGGGACTGGGAGGATGGGAGTTGAAAAATCCACAGCTGATGCAAACCGGATTTTTAATGTATGATGTATATGTGTTTTTTTTCTGCACCCTACTAGGTTCATCGTTTAGCTACCCCACAGCTGAGTGCCATACTGGTCATGACGTAACTACAGAAACAGGAAAACTTGCCGGGGAGCTGAGCCAAAGTCAAGGTAAGAAACTAAGAATCACTCCGCGACATCTGAGGCTTCATGCAAACGGTGATAACGGCACACGCGCCATGACTTTGTTTTGTAGGCTCTGTTGAGAAGCGACACTCCAACGCGTTCACCTGTGACCACCACGGCACAATGTATAGCGCGACAAGGCTGGTGTGATATTCAGTACTGAGAACGTGACCGCGGTCCGAGCAACAAACAACACCTTTGTGCAGTTGACAAGACCCTTGTTCACCCTTGACCATTCCTGGAGCAATATAAATCTAAATCTGCAAAAAACAAACTCTCTCTACAGCTACTTGTTTTCTCCTGCAACCTTCTCCGGGACTGTGCTGCTTTTTAAAACGACTGTCATGTCCAGCAAAATCCAGCCTTATCATGCTCAACTAGGGTCAGGACCATACAGTTGTTGCCCACAGGGACAGTTGTCTGTGTACTGCTGCGGGGTACTGATGTTTTATTTGGCTGGATTTCATCAACAACGACTACTTTACCATTCAAATGGTTGGTTGTTACCTGTGATCTCTGTGTTCTCTTTGTAGAACTTTATACCTGTGCATGGCCATGATCCCATGTACAAACAGCCCCAGAGAGTACCCATGCATGCTGGCAGCTTACTCATCTGGGACCAGCGTGTGGCGCACGGCAGTCGGCCCAACAACAGCACGCGAGCAAGGTACGTCAGAACACTGCTACGTATATGAGTATTCGTGTGCCTGTGTGTATGAGTGTGCGCTCGTGTGTGTGTGTCCGTATTTGTTTTAAAGTTTGATGCAGTGGTTTGTACTAGGTGCTTTCCCGCCTACTCAGTTCTCACCAACCAGACTGATATCTATGATAAAGCTCTGGTCTACGGTACATGAGTAGATGATGCTCTCCGGATATCTAGCAGCATCTAGACCCTCCTGGAATACGGAGAACTTAATTATGGGCTGCTTATCGCTATAGGCTACTGACATGTATTGTACTATGGTACTTGAAGTCTTGAATAGTAGTCGTTGGTGGGAAAGGATCATCCCTCTAGGCTATGTGTGGGTTCGTGTTATGACAAGTTCTTGTGGACCTACAATGTCCTCTGCAGGTATGTTCAATTTGTAAAGATGTTCCCATCCATCAACCTCCGCTCAGAACGAGCTAAGAATCGTGGACAGCTTATCAAGGACAAGGTATGTTGCGGGTGCTCCGCCGGCTGATGTGACCAGTAATGGATGTGTCTGTCCTGCTGCTAAGTATACGAGATCTCGTAGTCCTTAGGCTGTTTTGTTGTCCTGCTGCTGCCTAGCGGATCATGTGATTGTTCGCTTCCCTGTGTGTGCTCTGGGTACTGCCCCTCGCGTTGTTTCCTGTAGCTGTGTGCTTATTGTGCTGTTGTCTGTGTTCTTGTATTCACATGCCGGATTCCCTTGCATTCATGTATCCACATCATCCGGGTGACGTCACATGCCTATCATAGTGCCAGTGGTGTAACGATGTGCTAGTATTGTTTTCCTGTGTGATGACATTCCCCAAACTGTCTCCTGTCTCGCATGCGCACGTGTGATATGAGCATGCATGATTCGTGAGTCTTCAGTCAGCGAGTCTTGATACACACATGTAACACAGTGTTATCTCTGTGTTTACACGGTGTACTTGTAGGTTGAACTAGCTGGTGTCGACTTGACTGACCTGGGCAAGAAGCTGTTTGCCCTCAAGGCATGGGCATCCGCGCACACGAAGGTGCCCCGCGCCAAGGCTAAGAAAAAGACATAGACTACGTGTTCGCATGGCTCTTTGTACATTCACAGTTGAGTGCCTCGTTTTATGTGTGTATGCTTAAATCGTGTACACCCTCTGATGGGAGTATGATAATGTAGTCATCTAGGACGGCTGGACTGTCCCTAGTGTTCCAAGTGCATATTGACGCTAACCTCCAATGTTATATCCAGCAAGTATCAGATCTGCACTATCGCACATAGAACTGGTGTATATTTCTTTACTGTGTTGATCACTACCCTACTAGCCACAGTCATATTTATATCAACAATAACGTGGGCACCGCATTATTTTTTGTTTAGGAGCTGTCGGTATGCCGGTAGCATGGGTCACGCTAGTGCAAAATAGGCTAGACTACATGCAGCCAAGAACCAGGCACTATTCCATCCAAGAAATAGTGGGAGTAGCTATCCTGATGCCTTGCAACATGTCCAAACCACTTCAACTTGATGCTTGGTAACGAGAGAGCTTGGAAGCTCAGGGCCCTACGCTATGCTTTTTTGCCTTGATGACCGAGACAAAAAAAAGCATAGGGATGTCATAAATTCTTATAAGTTTCTACTTTTTGTTTTTAGACATATTAAACCTGGGATTCGAACCCGCACTATCGCCCTGCATGCATCCCCCGATACACTTCGCATACATACTAATTCTTCCAAGTTGCTTCACGTTATGATCTTGTATTTGAAAGCCCTATTGGAATATGCATTGTGGCCAGCCGTTTTTGATTGTACGGTACGGTCGGGATAGGTACGGTCGAGGGTAATACGACACCGTCTACCGCCTTGATGACGGCAAAAAAAATTTTGGATGTTATAAATTTTTCAATTCTCCTATTTTTTTCGGGCATTACCTGGGATTCGAACCCGCACTATTGCCCTACATGCATTCCCCCATACACTTCGCATTCATACTCATTCTTCCAAGTTGCTTCACGTTATGATCTTGCGGTTGAAAGCCCTATTTGAATATTGCGGCCAGCTGTGTTTGATGGTACGGTACGGGACAGATACGGGATAGCGCCAGGCGTGACACAAACACACAAACACTAAATTAAAGCTGTGTGGACCCTGGCTAGCGCCAGACGTTACTGAAGTAACGTCTTCTGCATAGCTACGGGAATAAAACTAATTATGGACCTTGCTTAAGTATTTTTTTAAATAGTTCAATACTCGTAAAATGAGTGCCAATGGGCAAATGTCCGGTGCTGCACTGAGAACGCATGAGTGGTGACATCTCATACTGCAATAGGGACTACTTGTATCACGACTAAACATCTTGGTCGTGTTGCTTGATTGCTGCGTCCATCAACTCAATGCACACGTCGGTGGCTTGCTGCGCCAAGCGGCTGACTGCGTGGAAGTTGAGGAAGCCATGGGATATTCCGTCGAATGGGTGTAGTGTCACATCCTTGCCGAGTGCGTGCAGACGACGCGCCATGACGATGGAATCATCCAAGAGGGGGTCAAATGAACTTGGCTGAAAGGTACAACAGAACGGATGGAGAGAGAGAGTGTGAGAGAGAGAGAGAGTGTGTGTGTGTGTGTGTGTGTGAGAGAGAGAGAGAGAGAGAGAGAGAGAGAGAGAGAGAGAGAGAGAGAGATGCACACACACGCACACACACACGCACACACACACACACACACCTGTACTTGTACTTGTTGCTCACTGCCAAAACTGGTCACGTGGGTCTCCCCGGGAGAGGGGAGAGAGACTCTAAAGGAATCTTGGAAAGATGACTCAATTGGTTATTGAACCGCCCAACGGCCGACACCCCTGAAATCCCCAAAACGCTGGGTGGACTTGAAAATGATCCCACTTATGGGCTCACCACACCTCAGTAAGTGGGTGTGGACAAGGTGCAGAAAAAGGATTGACGGCATCAGGGTATCCGTCCTGGGATCCAACTGCAGTTACCCCTGCCCCCAGTGGAGGTAATACTTGCTACTAGTGCGGGTGGCTAAATCAGGCTGGATCTGATTTAGACATCACTAGCACCATCGATTACACAAGAGTTAATCTAGCCAGAAGCAGTCCATGGTTAACAGGTATGTATACTTCAAATAGAAAGTATATGAACCCTGGAACCAACAAAGGTGGCAAGTACAACATTACACCTTCAAGCAGCCGAGCCCGTTGGCAACATACCCAACACAGGCATAAGTGTACCCACCAACTGAACTAGCTGGCACACACACACACACACACACACACACACACACACACACACACAGAGTAAGAGATGACCCATAGCACGAAGAAATCTATCGGCAAAGAAACATAGCTTTCTTACTTGAACACCCACAAAGGAGCACAATAATGTAGCATTTTGAAATGTTCTTGTACTCAAAGATACCGATAAGAAGTACGGCTGAGCCTCAGGCAACTCTTCCACTAGACAGCAGGGGTCCTTCTCCAATGGAGGTCGCTGTCATGGAAGTTCTATCAGCTCATACTGCACACTACTCTCTGTGGAAGGGGTGCTAGTAACCCACCTTCCCATTCCTAGCAGGGTCCAGCACATTCAGGATGGTGGCATGACGCAGCGAGGAATGCCACTCCGAAGACAAAGTTACCTCCGGCCGAGTCGCCGGCCAGGATGACTTTCTCGGCAGTGGTGCCCAGGCTGGTGGCGTTCCTCAGCACCCAGGCGTACGCGTAGAAACAGTCGTTGACGGCACGTGGGTACGGGTGCTCGGGGGCCGTCATGTAGTCAACGGACACCACGGGAACGTTGAGCTGGTTGGCCCAGTGGCTTAGATAGCTCTGCATGAACAATACACCGCAAGGAAGACACATGCATAGGGTATACTAATATTATGTACAGTGATGCTCAATGAAATCCGGTCACGTGAGTCAAGTTTGCGCCTTGCACCATTTCGCAGCCCAGTGTTCGCAGGTCTAGGGCTGTGCAACGCCCGGCACGTACTTGAGTGACGCGACTGGATGTCATGGAGCAGTACTGTACTATTGTATATGGGGCCAAATGAAAACCTGGTGCACATCCGTGTTACACACATGGTACAGTATCTTGTTTTATTGGCTACGGCAGCGGAGAAATGGATGGAGCATGGTGGCAGCAAAGCACACCCATTTGTTTCCAATGACCTAGCACATGTGACTGTGACGTTTGCGCCAGAAACCCTCCACCATGGAAGTGAATGATGACTGCCTTAGAAGGCTCAGAGCTGGCACTCTGCAGCAAAAAGAGAGTGTTGAGCATGGTACAGAACAAATCGTCAACGTCAACCGCACATGGCATGCTAACACCTTTGTTTGTTTGTTTTGAAACTCGGATGTTTTTTTCTTCTTTTTTTTCTCTACAAAATCCACATTATCTCCAGACACTGGGGTGAATAATGGAGTGTGCATGTGGTGGTGGGGCTCAGCCGACCAGAGGTCTCGGCTTTATAGCTCCATGGACGCACCAAAGGGGGATCGAGTAGGAGTATCCAAAAGACCACGGACAGCTATTGTACTCTACGGTCGCAGAGCACACATACAAATGCCACCTTACTTCTCACAGTGACTTACATGAAGGCCGAGGCACCGTCCATAGAAGCTTCTCCGCTCCATACTCTCAGCAGTGTCCAGAAAGTCGTCCGGAAACTGAGTATGATCAACGATCAGGTCGCCAGTCTTGTCCATGCCACTTGCACGACAGCGTAGATGACTTTAAAAAGCTGCGCGTGATCCCTGAGCAGCTCTGAATGTTCTTCAAGTGCTGACACAGCCTGTGCGAAATCTCTCTTAGTATTCGATGACGTAAGCAGTGACTTGATGATGTCATCAAGCGCCAATGTACACGTGGAGAATATGGATACACTAGATCGCAGTCCGTTGCTGGCTACACCCGGGTAAGCATTGTAACGGGAACATTGCTGCAGCAAGTAAGGGATGGTGCTGAGCAACGACCCGATCGCAGCGCACAGCATATGACAAGCGGAAGCCAATCGGGACCTCTGCTCCGGGCTCAGTGCTCCGCCACCATTGCTGCGCTGTTCCTGCTGGAGACGCTGCACTTGCGCTAGCAGCCCTTGCAACGCTGCGGTTGTGACACGCGGTGGAGCGGAATAGTGACGCGCTGCACTGCGTGACGCGGGGCATTGCCAGTGATGGTGTGTCACCAGCGACACAGTGTACTCGCCACGACCTGTGTCCGCTACACTCACCAAGTTCCTGGTACTGACAACAGCTACTGAGCAGGGAGCACCGGTATGCTGTTTCACCACACGGTGCAGCTGGGCAATACGCCGAACTGATACAGCGGGAGCGAGAAAGCAGCCGCTGTGAAGCAACGACAGGTCGAGTGGCGTTACGTGCTACTGTTGATGCCGCCATAACAACAAGCTAGGCAATAAGAGTCCCTTGCCAGGGCAGGCAGTCCAATTGGTTTCAAAGGTCAGGCAAAATCACAAGTCCTGCGGAGCACGTACACGAACACATGTTCAAAGCGCATGCAAGGCAATTGCAAGCGCATACACACACAAAACAGTTGTGCACTGCATATTCAAAGTACACACTGCTCACACATGAAGACACATAAGCACATATGCGCGCGCACGCGCACACACACACCGACACACAAGCAAACAGAGAGACAGACACACACACAGATGAGACCCTGACCAAACACATGTACTAGTAAAAGACCGCATGCACAATGTCAATGTGATGCACACCTCCAAGACGGAATGGGCGCTTTCAATAGTACACATACTACTTCTGGTGCTTTGAAGATCCAGAAAACCCCAGTGTAACACCGGCTTTAGCCTACAGGTTTGTACACACTGTGGGTGACATTGCATACAAGTAGATCATCACATCTAGTACGATTGTTCTTCCACTTCAAGAATCGTCCCTTCGTTTCACAGCACAGAATAGCTGTCTCTCAGCTGGTAATCAGCAGGGACATTCTCTACTTGCGAAGACTGAGTGATTGCCAGCACTCGCCCTTTCCTTCCACAAGCGATGTATAGAATAATAATATCACTGTTCGAGTATTTTTCTTTCAAATCTGAGACCATTGACAGGATCGGAAGGAGAGCTCTACTGCAAGCCAGAAGTCAGGCTGGCGTCAGGCTGTCGTGAAAAGTAACGAATTCAAACCGCTCCTCCACAAAATCATTACAGTTAGCAAAGAAGCTAGTTCCAACCAATCCAAGTAGAGTGACTTTCAGGAACTATAAATCCAACGTCTTGTTCATTCAAAGACAGTGCTTTTTTCGCTTCTGCACTGTCTTTGACTTTTGAGTTACGAGATGTATGCGCTCAGCCGCTCACCTGGGTCACGGCGAAGTGTCGTCGCTCTCCCTGCTCTCCGGATCTCCGCAGCCTACACAAGTACAACGCTTTGCGCTGGTGGCTGTCGCGTGCGCGCACTCCTGGTTGCCATGGTGCAAAAACTGCCGCACTCCTAGACCAGCGTCCCTTTACTTTAGTCCTTCGCCTGGCGTACTGTATTCGTACATGTACTTCGTAGGCGCTAGCGCATTACATAAAATTAATAGTGAGCGAAGCTAGCTAGCGCTAGGAGTAGGATCGATCGAGGAACTGGAGCGACGGAAATGGATACAACTGTGCTAGTAAAAATAATAATTATTGTTTTTGTGACCGACATGATTGTGCATACCAGTTCTGTGAATTGTATTTGTAAGCTGAAACTAGTAGTGGTGTAGTGAAAGTGGAAAGGTATGATCTGAGACCAAGCCTGGTTTGAATAAAAATAGCGCGTGCCGTGCACTGTCTGCTCTTGCCACGCAGCCATAGTCAACGTTTGTAAAATCCTTCAACCACCGCGTAGACCTACGTTCTTCAGCAGTACAACATTGACGAACGCTGTAAGCTGGAGTGGAGATAGCCGCTTAGTCAGCAACAAGCCGGACTAGCACTGTTTGCCGTATCAACTCCTGGAAGAGTGTGGCGATGGCCGAGCCCGATTTCCCCACCTGTATGTGTTGTATTCTGCGATGGCTGGTGACCAGTGCAGCCGAGAGCCACCATTAATTTTCGTTTTGCTCTTGCCTATGTGTACCATAGTGAATCCATACGCCAACATTGCTGGCAGCCTATCTCCGTATCGCATTGACCCATCCGTTTTGAAAGAGGTCAGTTCGCTGGATCTTATTGTTCCAACTAATGACTAAGTGCATGGTAGTCTGCCATTGCCGCCGTGTTGGCTACTGTCCTTGGTGTGTTGGTGCGGTGGCCAGTAGCTACTGAGTTGGAGCAATCAGTGAAAAGTATGCATGCAGTCAGTCCTGCTACGATACTGGCCAGAAAAATCCTTCCTCATGAATAAAGTACTATGCGCGGGGCGATACACAGCCCTAGTTTTACGCACACTGTTCTGTGCACTCAAACGCGGTGCTACTATCCATAAGGTTGGATTTCTCTGGCCAGATCTGTACGAGTACATGCGCCCAAATTCTGTGTGTGTGGGAGGGGGGGGGGGGGCTAATACCCTTGCTAGTTGAGCAAGAGTGACGCCTCTTCTCACGTCGTACGACGTAAAGGGTCTGCAGTGCTTTGCGTGCTGTGGACTCCGTACCTTTTTGTGGGAAAGCGACTCTGCCGTCAGCATCTACATGACATGGGTTTGGGGGGGGGGGGGGAAGAGCCCGTATTGGGTGAAGCTACCAGAACGACATAGCAACGCTTCCCGCCTGCTGCAATGCATCCCAGCTACCGGACCAAGACCATGCCGGCATTTGGAGATGATTGATGTTCACATTTGGGTGAGCGGGCTCCCCGTATTGATCGTTCTACTATATTCTAGTTTGGCTGATTGCACCTGGTTTGAACTATAGCAATAATACTTTCGCATTCTTGCCGCTGTTTGATACGTAATTTGATCTCGTAAGGTAGCGCATATAAAGAGCTGTTTTGCTAGCCTTCATCCTCACTCGACTCTCGGCTCGCACGATTCACTCTCGATTCCCAGAGTTCACTCTCTGATGCTTTCTGGGTTTCTGACTCTTCATGCTTGATCTTTTGTTCTGGCATTGCGATGTTTCAATATACTGTACACTGTTCAAGTGGCATTAGAAACCTGTTGTTCTATGTGAACTAGCTATTAAACTAATACTTGGCGACGATATTGTTTGTCTACCTGTATACTGATCCAGTTGCCACAAACCCGCAACGCGGTCATGGCATATCTGTCTGTCTGTCCATCTATCTATCCATCCATCCATCCTGGACAGGGTATATTCTAGGACGAATTTCCAACCGGTTACGGTCCAATGAAGAGTGGGGGGGGGGTCCGGGGGTTCCCCCGGAAATTTTTTTCAAAATACAACCCAAATATGGCACTCGACAGCAATTTAACAGATTTCTTGGTGCTGGAGTGTAGCAAAGATATAAGCAGCTCCATTCACCCACAGAAAAGTACGGGCGGTTGAAACTGATTTGTAACTTTTCAACCGGTCGCCAACAATTTCAACCGGTCGAAAACCGGTTGGGGCGGTTCTAGAAAATTCCCTGATCCATACATACATCTATCTATCTATCTGTACAGGAGTCAGAGTATATCTTGCCCTTTGGATCAGATGGCAAGCGAGGCCACTCAGAAAAACTTCTATGGGCTACAGGTTCAAGCTATCTATCGGGTAGGCTGGTGATTGCCACTGATTGGCTTGTGATATCACTGTATTGTGTGTATTTGTGCATTGAAATTCGTATCCGCCTACTATCCGATATGGGATCTCTAAAGTGTTGGTTAGACAATGCCTGGAGTGCATCAACTTGCAGCTTTCTACATTATTTTCTTTTGTTCGTATGAAATTATTTCTTTTCATACTGTTATCCAGGCCTATGTGTTGGCTCAACTTGGGGTATAGTTGAAGGCATCCATCGATCAGGGGAAATGACAGCAAAGTTACGTGCTAACAGGTAAGGCGTGCATGTAACATTAGAGCTACACTGTATATGAGAATGGGTTCAGTCGACTACAATTGTGCGAGCTTGTCTACAACTAGACTGCCTCCGGGGCTTGCAAAGCCTTCCTGACAGGTAGTGGTGGTGGTGGTGGCGATGGGCTACATTCCCTGGTTTGAGTTTGCTGTTATTAGGTGTGCTGTGTCCTGTACTTCTGTGCGGCATTGTTGTTTTGATTAAAAAAATGGTGTTCAGCGTACTCAACGGTATTGGCAGAAGAGGTCCACTCGTGGCAAATAACATTGGAGTTGCCGGTACGTTATTGTCATACTGTTTTTTGTTGTTGTTGTTTTTTTGTATAGTTTTAAAGCACACGATCTTACTGATGATGTGGGATAACAGTAAAGTGGGACAGAAGACTAGGACAAACAGACAAAAGGGTAGGACATGCAAAAGCAAGGTGCAGGTGAGGCGAGTCCAGCTAGTCCGACCAGAGGTCTCGTAATCAGCACTGGATGCGCGCACCAGGAAGGGGTGGGGGTTGGTTGAGAGGGGGAGGAATGTAGTACTAAAATAGCAGCATAAAGTAGAAAGTCAAATTAAGGTGTAAGACGTTTGTACGGTGTTGTGGTTCTTAGTTGATCTTAGTTGCCGTCTGTGGCCCACAGCCAGTCCTTCTGGCGAAGGTGCTTCCAGGCAGCTGCCTTGAAAGCAGGCAGACTCTTCAACGATAATTCTTGTCGGAAGAGAGCAGGGGTAGGCAGTTCCATTCACCGATGAGGGCGAATGGGAAGGATCTCCTGATGTAATCTGGAGCACCTGGTGGAAGTGGGTTGATGAGCTGGTGCTGATGGACTGGCATGTGCTGACTGCGTCCGTGGTGTGCTCGAATTAGTGTGTCAAACACCTTCTTGTTTTACATGGCTACTGAACCATCGATTTTAATGGTCCCTCACCCAGTTGATGTCACTGTTGGGGTCTTGTGATAAAAGGTCCAGTGCTTCCAAAGCAAGAGATTACGGATTCGAGCCCCATGGAATTGAGGTTTTGACACTGTTGGCCCGTGTTAGAAGACATCACACCGCCTTTGCAGGTCACACAGCTATGGATGTGCAAGAGAAACATTATGTAGCAGGATCGGCAGAAGCAGTTTTTGATTGGTTCAAAATGGCGGGTTTCTCTATACATGTATTCTGAACTTGTTTTAAAATGAAGAATATTCTACTCCCGCCCTGCGTCTTTTGAATAATTCGAATGTTCTTTTCGGCCCTTTTATAGAAGGTGCTAGTGCTATGAATGTGCATGTTCTCTGGTGTTGAATGTTGCAGTATTGCTCTATAGGCTGATCGACTCATCCATTATCAAGGCAAGGGGCAGCACAGATGACGCCTACAACCAGATTGGCAGTGGGGCGCTAGCAGGGATAGCATTCCGAAGCACCGGTGGGTTTAAAACACTAGAAACGAAAAGGTTTTGTTCAAAAGTTAGAATTCAATTTCTATGGCCGATGTTTATTGTACGACCAACTCAGTTTTTCTAATGCCAGGTCACCACTGACTCTAAATTCTAAAAGAGCGTGTTTTCTGCTGAACCTGCTACCAGTAAGCACACGTTGAGGGGTAGGCTCTGCAATTATCACAATTAAGTGTCTGGCAATGAGTAGACACACTCTCGATACAGTCAGCTGAACCTGCACACGTGTTATGCATGCTCGTCCATTGCAAGCAAGTGCAATGTACCAAGTCGACAGTGGATACCAGTACAGCTTCTTGAACTTTCTTCCATGTGGAGCGACTTGTGCACACATCTATTTACCGGTATGAGAAAAGTTCTCAGAAAACCCTAGACCCTTTTGATGCCACCACTGGTCTTCACTGAAGGTAGAAATGTTTTTTAATGATAGCTTGCATAGACCTCGGTCCTACCGGTAGGACCTACCGGTAGGACCATCATACACAGACATGCTGCATGGCCTCTGTTTTAACATTGACCTAAAACTTGATCCTAAGCTCTTGCTCAGGGGCTAATGAAGGAGTCCACAAATGTTAGACGTGATCGCACAAGGCATACTACAAAATTCCATGGTAACAGTCCATGGTAACCTTGGAAACGGTGTATGGAATTATGCATTCCACTGCCTTGGCAGACTAATAAAAACATTAGTACCTCACCACGATTGATGTGCCATGGTCAAAATTCACTTTGGACAGAGTTGCTAGCGCTCCGAGAGGAGTACTGTAAATATACAAAATTTCGGCGCTGCAAAATTTCGGCACTTCACGATTTTTGACATTTCGGCGGCGATTTATTTTCGGCGTGGGGTAGAGGGCATGGTATAGTGCGACAGATGTGAAAAATTTCATCGGCGTTTTAATTTAGGCGTTTTGGGTCGGTGCCGAATATAGCCGAAATTAAATAGCTGCCGAAAATTTGTATATTTACAGTATGTGCGGCCATTTTGACAATTGATAAAATTGCGCGTATGCAATGCACTGGACATAGCCTCGCATTTTGCGCCATTACTTTGCCTGACAAAGATCTCATCTCAACAATTGTTTCAAGAAATTTCTCAACCGAAAGCACTTTTGCAGCGCGATTTCTTGGGTCCTCCCGGTAGGACGGCATGCAAGCTATCATTAAAAGCATCTGTCATGTTGAAACTTGTGTTTTGTGCTATTTCTCCTCTTTTTCTAGCCGGTCCAAGAGCGATACTTGTCGGGGGCACGCTGGGGCTTGCAATTGCAGCCACCTCTTTTGTGATAAGTAACCGCTTCATGAGCTAACTGCATTGTGGTGGTACCAGTGCAACTTGAGAGCCTACAGCACTGTATCAGAGATGATATTTTGTTGGCAAATACAACGCTGCATACTAGTTCTGGTTTTTTTTTATTGAACTCCTGTATTCCTACTCTCAGTGAGTCATTTGGTGCATCTGCTTTCTTATTCGCCTGCAATCACACAAAAATTTTGGCCCCTTGAGATCTGGTCTGGGGCTTATACGCCAGTGTTAGAATTTAAGTTGGCAGCACGTGTGTATAATATAAGTACTTCATTGCCTGGGTTTTGGGTGCAGATTACACGTCTTCTCACTTCCCAAGCCAGGTACCTTCTCAATTGTTGTTCTGAACGTCTTTGCTATGCGGCTCTGAGACACCCATTGCCATTATGCTGCACTATATGGCAGGCATCAGCGGAGTACCCTCGGTGTACTGGTAACTTCCAGTAGAATCTGCTTTGTTTGCTTCATTTGGCTCCTCCTCTAAATTATTGAAGCATGCCTGCTTGGGCTTATTAGTGCTTCTGATTATATTAGTACTAGCTCTGCTCCCATGGCCTTGCGCAGAGAGTCATGAAAATAACATTGTGTCGTAGAGGAAATCTCGTTTCTATGATTACTGTAGCATTGTATGCCTGTATACCGTATTTTCCCTAGTAAACGTACATGTCTCCAATACTAGCATATCTCCAATAGTGAGCGTGGATCCGGAAAGTATAAAAGGACACGTCTCCAATGCCAGAATGAAGTGATGGATGGGTATTGTCAGGCTACATGTACGTGAATCCACCTGACTTCGTTTTCTTGCCCATTTATCATCTGTGTGCCTTTCTACACTGCTTGGCACCCTATGTTCTTACAGGCATCTACAGCCGAAAAGTATCAATAATATTGATACTTTTCGGCTTATTATGAGTGGTACGACACGCATGGCAGGCGATCAATCTTGCCAGAAACAATAATAGTACAGTCTCCAATACCAGTACATAATATAGTCTCCTTTAGTAGTACTGGGCTGGCCACCTTTGAAAACATTAAAGTACTGTACATTTATTTATTGGGGATAATAATTATGGTACTCAGGTGTGTGTGTGTGTGTGTGTGTGTGTGTTGGGGATTTCAGGGGGTGTCGGCCGTTGGGCGGTTCAATAGCCAGTTGAGTCATCTTTCCAAGATTCCTTTTGAGTCTCTCTCCCCTCTCCCGGGGAGACCCACGTGACCAGTTTTGGCAGTGAGCAACAAGTACAAGTACAAGTGTGTGTGTGTGTGTGTGTGTGTGTGTGTGTGTGTGTGTGTGTGTGTGTGTGTGTGTGTGTGTGTGTCCCATATGGTGCAGTGGTATGTGCAGTCGATTTCCAATCGAGAGGTTGCGGGTTCAATTCCCGACGATTATGGTCGCACACGTCTTTCTTCTCTTTCTCGAACTCTTCCTGACTTTTCTTTCATTCTCCTGGGTGGTTACCAACAGCCGGCCGGCTAGCCAGTGTATGCGGGAAGAAAAAATGGAAAAATGAAAAATAGAGATTCACTGGCCAGAAAAAGTCACTTCAATCAGCTGTGTGGTGGATACCAGGCTAAAAATAGTGGTGGTCATCAGCCTTATTATTATTATTATTATTTAAATTTTGAATAGGGCAATCCCCACAGGCCTAAGGCCTTTTTACAGGGTACCCTATGTGGTCACGTATAGATTTGCGGAATAGTGAAAGCGAGGAGCAAGAGCGAATGTCAGCTGGAAGAGAATTCCAGCGGTCAGAAGCCAGAAAGCTCAAAGCGAATAAGCCATAACGAGTGCGTGCTTTAGGCAGAGCAAGTGAATCTATGGACTGAGAACGTGTATGGGCAGCTGTGCGTGTTGTGGCAGAACGAAGGCAGAAGCAATCAGAGAGCAGAGTGCTACACATGCCACGTATGGCCCGAAAGACAAGAATATACAGTTTAAGCTGATAGCGCAGTGCAATAGGAGCAAGGCCATATCTGGTGTGTAAGACTGAAACATCATAGTGCCAAGGGAAACCAAAAACAATCCTAACAGCGCGGTTAGCAATACGAGTTAGTCTATCATGTTGTGTGGTGTGGAGGCAGTGTACAAACGCATTAGAACCATACTCGAGGTGTGCTTGAATAAATGAGCAGTAGAAGGTCTTTCTCGCAGCCGGTGTCAGATTGTCCCTGATCTTCCGGAACATGGCAAGTTTTGTTCCGACCTTTTTCTCAACTTCAGTGACATATGAGGAGAATGATAGATGTTCGTCAATGGTGAGGCCAAGATACTTCACCGTTGGTGTTGGGGATATGAGGACATCGCCGAGCCGAAGGCAGATGTTAGGAGGAACACATTTTGTTTTTTGTCTTATGATGATAAATTGAGTCTTGGAGTTATTAAGATTGAGACCTCGGTCACGTAGGTACTCTCTGATGACAGATATGTCAGCAGAGAGATCATCAGTGAGTTTCTGCAAGTTCGTGCCTGCCTTATACATAGACACGTCGTCTGCAAATTGCCGAACCTTGCTCGTGATGGTACATGATGGCAGAGCTCGGACAGATAGGTTAAAGAGGGCAGGACCCAATGTTGACCCTTGAGGTACACCTCTTGTAGGTGTGTACTGTTCACCTTCCTGATGCTTTGTGACTACTCGTTGGCGACGGTCACATAGGAAACTAGCTATCCATTGCAGTGCAGTACCACCGACACCAATAGAGAAGAGTTCTTGAAGAAGGGAGGCGTGATTGACTGTGTCAAATGCTTTGCTGAGATCGAGAAAAGCAGCGACAACAAATTGGCCCTTGTCTAGACATGCTTGCCAGTCGTTTGTTGTCGTGGCTAAAAGATCTTCGCAGGAATGCTGCTTGCGGTAGGCGAACTGTTCATTCGGCAACGCGTTCGGAAATGATTCACCTTGTATGTGCGACATGATCTGCTCATACGCGCACCTCTCCAGCAGCTTGGAAGCGATCGGGAGGAGGGAAATAGGTCGATAATTACTGGGATCAGATGAACTCCCGCGCTTGTGAATTGGACGAACGTTGGCAATCTTGTATAAAGAGGGAAAAATACCTGATCTGAAAGAGATGGTGAAGAGCTGGGCAAGAGAGGGAGCGATTTGTTTCTGGAGGAGTTTGTAGATGGACGGAGGTATTTTATCTGGACCACTTGCTTTGTGGCTGTCAAGGCGTTTCAAATGGGACACTATGGTTGCTTAAACTCAGTGAGGGACGGCTCTGGCATTGGTCCGATCGGTAGTTCGATACCTGTGCCTGATCGTGAGGGTGCACTCGAAGCGCGCTGTGGAGCGGTCGGTGATACGTTGAGGTGTCCAAAGGTCACGGTGCTAGCTGCACCTGCAGGTGTTGCTGGGGCAGGGGCTCGAGGTGAGACTATCCTGGCGAACGTTGCTGAAATGTCTTTGACTGAGGCATGGGGCTCATGGTACACAGTTGTTCTCCCAAGCAAGGAGTTGATTGTTTTCCATTGTAGCCTTGGGTTGCGATTGTTTCGAGTCAGTTCATTTTGGAAATACGCAGCTTTCTTTCTTCGCATGAGGAGTTTACTTTCGCGCCTTAGAGCACGGAAAGCCTGAGTTAGACGTTGATCATCCGGTCTCTGTATCATTTTCCTATGTGCTCTTTTCCGGCGATAGAGTAATTGCCTTAGTTCACCGTCCACCCAAGGAGAAGGTTTGTATCGTGGTGACGTGGTGATGGTCGTGGTCGGACAATGCTTGTCAAGGGTGTCAGCTATTGAGGTTTGGAATAGGGCAATGTGCTCGTTTAGAGTGATCTCAGATGGCGAAGTGTTGTTATTATGGAGAGCAGTCAAACTGGAGCTAATGTCGTCTTGGAATTGTTGAATGTTTATCGCTCGAACTGGAGGCTTACGAATAGTAATGCGTTCTTCTTTGAATGTTCGTAGCATGGTAGATAGCTCGAGAATGACAAGTTGGTGGTCAGATACGTCGCATGGTTGAACGGAGCATGTGATGGAATTGACATTGTTTCCACGCGGCTGTGAGTTTGGCAACTGAGCAAGCAGGTTAGGTACTAATGCGAGATCAATGGTGGAGTTGCTCGGCAGCCTCGTGGGGGCGAGTACCACATTTCGTAAACTGTTACCGCTGCAGAAGGTTTGGAGGTGGGTGTAGTGTGGGTGATTGTGGTTCTGAACATTGACATTGAAATCACCAATGACTATCGTGTGCGATTTTGCTGCTGTGGATCCTGAGATGTTGTCCACTGTATCAGTCAGTTTCTGCCAGAATATGACAGGCGTGGACGGCGATCTGTATGCAGCAATAATGTTTAGTGTGATTTCTTGAAGACGTACATGTATCGACACTGCTTCTATATCGTTCGTGATCCCTATTCGATTGTGCTGCAGTCCATCACGGACATAGATGCATACTCCTCCCCCAGTCTTGTCTTGTCGGTCTCGCCGATAGCCTTGCAAGCTGTTGAATGGTGTAATCCCAGCACAAGTTGCTATGTCTAACATAGCTGTTCGCTATCATCGCTTCCGCGATGGGCAGGTCTGAGGTCTGAGTGTGTGTGTCACGGTGTGTGTGAGAGTGAGCGCGCACGCGTGTGTGTCTGTGGTGTGTGTGTGCATGTGTTGTATTACTCTTGCTGGCATTTGCACCACCTGCGGCCAGTAGCGAACTTACTTCCTTTCGAAGTGAAGCTGCCAAGTGACCTCAATATTCTACGTCACCATCATTGCCTACACTGCCTTGGGCACGATACCCCGGCATGACTCCGCCATGAGCCGAGAACGGATGTCACCTGAGGAGTCGTCAAATACCGGTATTTGACGATTCCCTGGATGCCACAGCAAGTCATTTTCGATGAGATGCTTCTGACTCGTCCACACCCTGGTCCTGGCCAAGAAGCGCTCAGTGGTACATGTCCCGGTATATGGTGGGCGTGCCGGGGGAATATCCGGATTTTGTCATTGATGAACTGCATAGTTTATGGAACAGCATGGTTTGCTGCACAGGGATCCTGTTTGCATGCAGTACAGCAGCAGAATTCTGATTCATGGCAATCATGGGTGTCACATTCATGTATGTCACATTCATGTATGTGGCAACAATTACATCACTATTCCGGCATAGTGTGAATGCGTGTGACAAAGCTTCATGATTCATGTCGACAGTGGAACCGCGTACCCATGGTACCGGGGGGGGGGGTTAACCATCACCATAATTATCATGCATATGCCATTGGCATTGGCCAATTAAATGCCATGCCGGCAATGATGGCAAGATGACGTTTTATTACGTCATTCGGACCGGCCATGCATGCGCATGATGCGCGCATGCACGCGGAACATCGTTGTTTTGAGTACCGGTAACTCAGTCGGACTTCTTTGAATGTTTCTTGCTGTTTGGGATCTCTTTACTCACTCAGTTATCTGTAGATCAGGAGGTAACAGTAGCTTTCCATCGGAATAAGTAGATAGATCAGGAAGCATCGCCGCACTCAGTAATATCTTGTCATGGATGACCCAGATTTGGTAAGTCTTCTTTGGAGATGGACCTTTGTTATTGTGTTTTTTTTTCATCGAAAGATGCAATCTTTGCTTGTTTCTTTTGTTTTGTCAACACAATAATACTAGGGCTTCGATTTGAATAATATGAAGAAAAAGAAGAAGAAGAAGAAGACCCCAATCGGCTTCGATGCTGATTTGGGTGCGGGTGCAGCGGAGGCTCCTACCGAGGCGGCCGAAGCAGTCCCTGCTGAAGATGCTGCTGCTGCTGCAGCAGGAGGAGCAGCAGCAGCAGCAGCAGCAGCTGACGACGTTACAGATGATTTGGTATGGTCTAGGCATTACGCATGTTTCAATCTTTGGTCCGGAGAGCAATAAACTTAGGTGGCGCTGTGTATTTAAATTTCGGTAACTTCGGTATACTGGTCCTGGATCACCTAATTTAACATTTTAAATCCCCCGAAAATATGTGAAAATCATGAAAATCACTGTCAAATTTAAAAAATCAACTTGTACGAGTACATGTACATGTATACTAGTACTGGTATAGTACATGTACATGTACATACCGCGTACCGGTATGTGGAGCCTAGCCGGAGATATTAGTACAAGAGCCGTTTTTGTTGTTGTTTTTCTTGCAATGCATACCGAATTTATCCTTACACCGAAAGGTCAGGGGTTGGCTTTTACCGAAATTTTACAACACCGAAAATAAGGTGATATTCAGTATCTCTTCACCTGCACCTGGGAACACTTGTTGTTGTGCTGATATTCTTTTACTTGTAGGGCGCTAACTAACTTATGCATGTACATGACGGACTCAGACTGACTGCACGACGCCTGATTTAAAGGGGAAGTTAGCTGAGACGCTCCCTTCCTCCTTTATCCCCAATCGAACTCGCGCACTTCCACCGAAACTGGGTGACTGCGCCCTACTAGATGGGGATTTGTATGCAAAATGTCACTAAAAGCGCCATTTCGTTCTTATAAAAGCACGGATGACCGCAATGGGCCCATATGTTGTAGTCTTTTGGACGCTGAGTCGACTGGTTTTGGTCCGAGAATGCTGCGATGCAGCGTTCCTCCTTTATTACCAATCGAACATGGTTGACCAAGCGGTCACGTGCTCCTGCGTACACCAGTCACCGTGCTAGCCTAGCGCTTGCAGGGTACAACTTACAGCTTGTTTGACCTTCTTTGGGTGCACTCCTGTCACTCGAGTTGAACTCGATTTGAACCTTGGTGTGAGAGTTGTCGCTTGCTGGCGCGGTGACCAGGTGACTTGGGCACGCAGGAGCACGTGACCGCTTGTTCAACCATGTTCGATTGGGAATAAAGGAGGAACGCTGCATCGCAGCATTCTCGGACCAAAACCAATCGACTCAGCGTCCAAAAGACTACAACATATGGGCCCATTGCGGTCATCCGTGCTTTTATAAGAACGAAATGGCGCTTTTAGTGACATTTAGCATACAAATCCCCATCTAGTAGGGCGCAGTCACCCAGTTTCGGTGGAAGTGCGCGATTACGATTGGGGATAAGGAGGAAGGGAGCGTATCAGCTTCCTCGGACCAAGACCATTCGACTCAGCACCCCGAAGACTACAACTGGTGAAAATTTTGATTTTAGGGTATACTTCCCCTTTAATGGAACGCTACTGTACATGTGCACAACTGTAGTCTAAGTTAGCTAGTTGTAGGTTTAGAACAGCTTATCATTGCTTTTCCATGTACCCTCTCTGCCGACCCATTGCCGAACGTTCATGCATGTTGGTACATTGAAAAAAAAGCCTAATCCGGGCAGGTTGGGACGGAGCACTGTTCGTAACTACTGTGTGCATGTTCATACTTTTTTCCTGCAGCTTGGCAGTTCGAATTTGTAATTAATGCTCTTTGAAGTTCTTTTGGTTGGTATGTGATGTTTTGTGCTATGTATACTGCTTTTGCCCTATTTCTTGCATCCAGGGTGCTTTCAACCCCAGCATGAAGAAAAAGAAGAAGAAGAAGAAGGCTGCACCAGAATTTGATGCGCTAGCAGGTGCTGAGAGCGGGGATGTTCTTGTAGACGATGCTACTTCAGGGGCTGCAGGTGAGTTCTGTCGCACACGCTCTCCGTGCCGCTCCGTACCATTGGGGATAGGTATTCCATACTTCTCTCACTGTGTGGGGTCAGCGGGGAGACTGTGCACCTCAGCAAAGCATGGAGTGTGCCTACCACAGTGCTGGCCAGCGACATACGGAAACTGGCTTTGGGTTCAGAGCCATCATGTATTTGTGAAGCTGTGACACGTGTAGGCAAGGCAGCCGGTGCTGTGGGGTACATGTGTCCAGCTTTCATAGACCACTATGAGAAGTCTGGATAACCTAGTCTTAATTGCAAGGTACCCTGTAATGTACTTCCGATTCTAATCTTTGATTTCTAACAATATTGTCACCCACCTTATCCTGCATGGGCTTCCTTAATGTGCCATGCTTCATCCTGACGTGGTCCGCCAGTCTATTCGTGGTCGCACCGCATTCGCTGCACTTGTACGTGACTCGCCTGGAAACGAGCTTGTCGCGGCGAAAAAATCACCCACGCCAGTCACGAGAAGCCTTGAAAGCAATGCCGTCCTTCTGATAGACGGAAACGTCGGCATTACTAGGAACAGCAATAATGCCTTCTCGCAAGTGCCGCCTGATGTCCTCGTCGAGGGATTGATGTACAGCACTCATTCGAGTGAGCTGATCCTGGACGGACAATTTCTGACAACGAGGGTAGTCTTCCCAAGCCTCCTCCCATGCGCTGAGGTGGGAGAGCGTGGCTGAGGAGAGGAGGACGGGTTGTTCAGCTGAAATTTGTTTGGTTGTGGGCTGCGACGACGTCTTATGTACTGAAACGCAGGCTGTTCTGCAACAGGGCAGTCAGGCGTGCCTCACGATCCTCAGCTGCTTTCATTCGCCTTTCCATGAATGCCATCAGAGCCTGAGCGTCAGGGTTGACAGGTGAGTTTGACATGGCTGCTGCGCCAGGGTGAGCGTCAGTGTCGGACATGACAAATCGAAACAAATTCAGTACTCGACGAATACTACTCGTACAAAGGTCGCAACGCTGAAATGAACGGGCCGGGATTATCAGTTCACAACAGGTGAGCTGGCCTACAGGTAAGAAAACAGTTCACTGCGCCACATGATAAGCGTATAGAGTTATTATTATTCTCCATGAAGGAGCGTGTATGTTCTGTCTTGACCTAAAAGACAACAAAGGAAAGAACAACCAAAACGGAAGCCGCATGCCCGGTATGTGATTATGCGTGTGTCCATCAGATCAGTTAATGACGTAAGCGGCGTACGCGTAAACTAGATGCGCATGAGTGGATGCGTATCATGGGATGAGCGTACGTAGGCATAATACAAGTCTCTTCCATAGAGGGAGTTAGCAATTTCCAAGACTTTGGCCTGAATCGCCTCCCCGTGCACGGCAATCCCCTCAGCTCAAGTGCATTTGACACAGTCTAGCAGCTCTTCATATCAGGAAAGGTAGGGCGACCCATAGACCGCAGATATTTTCGGCGGTGAACAGTGTCACCATGTTTCTTTTTCCCGTGGAGAAGGTGGCAAATCCCCTTCTCCATGTTTCTACAGCACTCTACAACATGCCGGGAAAAACTCCAAGTTGTAGGGCTTTCGAGTCCGACCCATGATAAACTTTGAAGTATGACGAGACCATCCACACACTCAAGACAATTCTTGAAAAGTCGAAAAGTCTCGGGTCTGGACATTTTTTACTCGCGCATGCGTGTAAAGTGGGACATTTTCGTTAAAAAGATTGTTCAAATGCAGCAAAAATTAGAGTATGAAGATCTACAAGACCGTACCCTTATCTCAATTTCCGATGCTGGTGCGTTTGCTATCAAGGTCTTCCTGCAGTTAATTCCTTCTTTTGGTTGTCTCTTTCTCTCTCTCTCTCTCTCTCTCTCTCTCTCTCTCTCTCTCTCTCTCTCTCTCTCTCTCTCTCTCTCTCTCTCTCTCTCTCTCTCTCTCTCTCTCTCTCGTGTCTGTGTGTGTTGTGTGTGCTCGGTATGTGCGTATGATGTACAGATGAAGCAGAGGCCAGCGCTGATCATGACTACACTTATCAAGAGGTGAGCAGCGCTGTACCAGTTCCTTAAGATGCTTTGTTTCTCACACCTCCATGCACTGCCTATGAAGTGCCATGTTGTCTCTCGAGGCAAGCCACGTAGTACTTTGACGATCTCACAACATGATTGGTCCTGTTTGTGTGCTCAGCTGCTTGATAGGGTGTTTGAGATCATGCGAGCAAAGGACCCAGGCGGTGGAATTGGAGAGCGCCCGAAGTTTGTGCTAAAGCCTCCCCAGGTGACACGTATCGGAACAAGAAAAACATCATTTGTCAACTTCACAGAGATCTGCAAGCTGTAAGTTGGATCCATGTTTGATAATCACATTGTTCTGACGTGCGTGAGCAGCATCGTGTGTTTTGCTGGTCTGGCTCTCCTTTGCCATAGTATGGAGAGACCTTATGTCACATTGCCACAAATACTTTGCAATCGTGCACAAAGCAAAACGAAAGTACAAAAAAGCATTTAGATCAGTTGTCAGTTTGTATTCACAAATGAGTTCTAGCTTATCAGACATAAGTGATCCTTATGACTGACCTCTTTCACGTGTTGCTGTTGTGTCCGTGCGTGTTCTTCTATTTTCCTCTGAACAGATTGCATCGTCAGCCAAAGCACTTGTTAGCCTTCATCTGCGCTGAGCTTGGTACAAGGTGAGGGGTGTGTACTTTGTATGTTGCCAGTTCGTTGTGTGGGCACTCGTTCCACATGGAAGCTGGAGCAGTAGTTCATGTGCAGCCGATAGATCTGACGCTGCCATGGTGATTCGTTGTTGAATTTTCCTTCCAGTGGCTCCGTTGATGCCAACAACCAGCTGATCATCCGTGGTCGCTACCAACAGAAGCAGATTGAGAGTGTGCTCAGACGTTACATCAGTAAGTGCTACGTCGTCTATCATGCAATTTTTGATTTCTGTGCCATAGAAAGTCTGCTGGTCACTGGATGGTGTCCGATGTCCAACACTTGCTGTGATAAATGCTATGAAAAGCTGAAATAATGTTGTTTCTCGTTGTTCAATTATTTTTGCGTCGTTCCTCACTCTCTTCGTGACTGTCTCTATCTATTGCTTTGCAGAGGAGTACGTCACTTGCCACACATGCAGATCTCCAGAGACCATCTTGCAGAAGGAGACGCGCCTGTTCTTCTTGCAGTGCGAGCGCTGCAATTCGCGCTGCTCCGTAGCTACCATCAAGTCTGGTTTCCAGGCCGTCACACAGAAGCGTGCAGCACAGAGAGCGAAGCAGCAATAGACACGATCTCGCTCCCATTCAGGGTTCTATTTGTTGTTATGCGTATAGCGTATTTTCTCTAATAAAAGCTCAGGTCTCCAATAATGACCCGGGGTGAGGGTTTGAAATGATAAGAGCATAGTCTCTAATAGTAGCGCGGGTCACAATTGGAGTATGCAACAAGTATATTGACTGCATATAAAACAGCAGTACAACATGCCAAGAACATATTTTGTAAGGAGGTTTTCGGTCTACTGCTTCCTTCCTGGCGCAATGCTATTGTGAAACATCTGTTTTGACAATATTCCAGTCTCTAATAGTAGCGCGGGTAGAGCTGTCACTGAAAAAATAAGAACCCCGGGCTCTTATTAGAGAAAATACGATAATATATGTGTCTGTTTTAACTTAAGTCTGCGCATGATTGAATCATGAATGTGTTCTGTACCAGCTCGCTGTGCGGGCTGTTTTGTTTCTTTCTTTCTTTCTTTTTTGTGTGTTTCTGTGTATAGGAACGGGGTTGATACATGCACCCTTATTTTGTAGGCTTAGAACGTTGCTGGCGATTTACTGCATTTCCGTGAACATTGACGAGTGTTTCTGTGTATAGGAACGGGCCCGATACATGCACCCTTATTTTGTAGGCTTAGAACGTTGCTGGCGATTTACTGCATTTCCGTGAACATTGACGAGTGTTTCTGTGTATAGGAACGGGGTTGATAGTCAACTTGATACATGCACCCTTATTTTGTAGGCTTAGAACGTTGCTGGCGATTTACTCCATTCCCATGAACATCGACAGTTTGAATAAACCTGTTGAATCCCATGACAGTGTGATAGCACTAGGCGGAGGACACACTGTACAGAAAATAGTGATCACATTCAGAGGATTGTACCATTGGGTCTGAAACGGGCACATGATTATGGTCCGTGAAGTGGCAAGATCAGGGGACTCTGCCAACCGGTTTTTGGTTGCAGTCAAGAACACTGTTTTCCATACAGTGTGTCCGCCGTGCCGCCTTGTGCTAACATTTATGCTGCCACTTATCATACCTGGTACATGTACATGTACATGTATATGTAAATCTGTTTTTGCATTGTACCCGCAATTATATTCTGTCCCCGGGGAAAATTGCGATTCCGCGGCCGCGTTTTTTTCCGCGTTTTTTCCGATTTTTTAAAAGACCGTGTTTTCCGCGATTTTGGCGCGTTTTTTGAACTTTTTTGTTGCACTACACGTACACACAGTGCACTGTTGTTCGGTCAGCAACGTCTCATCGTGGCGGCTTTTTACTCAAATATGACGAGTGCTTACACCAGAGACTTGTAACTGATTGATTTCACTACATACTCACTGAAAATTGCCGCACATCAATATTATTCACCGCATATTTACCGCAAATTCACCGGCAAATTATGCCATATTATGCCGCGTTTTCCCCCGCGTTTTTTGCGATTTTTTTCCGCAATTTTCCCCGGGGACAGTATTATGACATCCCATAGATCCGAAATTCCGTAAAAAAAATTGCGCATTTACTACAGAGATTGATCTAGGATCGGAAGGAAGAAACTAGTTACTTGCTCTGAACTGTGGCCATAATCGAAATGTAAGGTATCAAACCAGTGAACAACGCCAACAAGACAGTTACACAACGAAAAAAACGAAGGTGAAAAACATCGAACAACAGATCTCAACACCGAAGAATCATGATTTTCTTCTCCACTGAAAAGACTCTTTTACCTTGGTGATCTTGAGGAAATAATTGACCTTCATGGTCATTTCTGAAGCTTCCTCCAAATACTGTCAGTCAACAAACCACAGCATTGTCACCTGGCTGGTCTGATCTCTGTTCTCATCAGGAACCAGTTCCAAAAGCGTGCAGGTCCAGCCAGCTTTCTAGCTCCAAATATCTAGGAAATCGCCTCATTTTGCACATTTCAAACAGTTTCTGACTTGATATTGCAGTCCTTCCGGAATTCCCCAGACTGTTGGAGAGCAAGAAGAAGAAAAGCACTTCTCTCATTTTTTCGACTAAACTACCACTCCAACCACGTGGCTCGCTCTAGACTGATGTGCTTTTTGGCGCCAGTTTCAAAGTGTCGATGAAGAGCCATATCTGACAGCCTTTGTACGCCACAGTTTCAGTTTGAAGTAACCGTATACCGGTAAGTAATTAGTTCACTGAGAGCTTGGTGTGACTATTACTTAAATCTTTGCAGCTCAGGTTTCATAGACAGTGTTTAGTGATTGACAGCTTCCCTATTTGGTTCCAATTAGTCTGCACTCGGCTCACTGGCCTGCTGGGTTTAGGAACCGTAGGACACATAACAGTGTTTTTCAACTATGCCATCATCAAGGTAGTTAGTAAGTTGCCTTTTTTTTTAAGGAACTTAAATTAGTGCAGCAAGGTGATTTCCCTGTTTTTGAATATCAGGCGAGAATGGCATATCATTCTATTTCGGACCAGGCTAACACTGAAATCTGCAGCATTTGGTTTGCGCGGCTAGCGTGCACGGCCCGTTGCGATCGATACACCCTACCACAGACTCGAATCGTGGGGGCCTAAGTACGCGGAAGGCCTTGAGAAACATGTCAACATGTTGAAGGTAAGCCATTATGCACACTTGAAGTACTTGCTTGTGACTTCTTATAAATTAGGAGGTCAGGACAACATGCTAACTGATGGCCAAAACAATAGCACGTGAACTTGTGACACACTGTTTTTATATACACATAGGACAGAACTGCAGGGGCACATATCACGTCTCCATAAGGTCGGCTGCGCGGCCTGGCACTGAGTCACTCCGCTGACATAGGCCGTGACATTTGAAGCAGTTCGTTACTTGAAGATTGAGCATGTCTCCATTTGTGTGTGTGTGTGTGTGTGTGTGTGTGTGTGTGTGTGTGTGTGTGTGTGTGTGTGTGTGTGTGTGTGTGTGTGTGTGTGTGTGTGCTTTCATACTCTGTCTGCTTTAGGTGAAGACAGATTCTCGCAAGAAGATCAATGCATGATTGCAGGCATATAATAAAAGAAAAGAACAAGGGTGCGCCAGCTCTGTCGGGGTGTTATCGCTGCACGCTCGACCCCAAGGACTACGACACCAGGGAAGAGCAACTGGCCAGCAAGCAACACAAGCTCGATGGCGTACGGCAAAAACTAGAAAATGAAAAAAGTAAGAATGGTGAGCTGGAGGTGACTGTCACTGACATAACGGAGCAGTGCCAATGCTACAGGCAGAAAAGAAAGATACAGAAAGACTATATACGGAGCTGAAGATAATGTTCAACAACAGATGAACCTACAAGCAAAGCTGAATGAGGGGATGAGAGTGTAGACTCGCTATGCCACCTTGGCTACCCGGGCAAGGGATTTTGCGGAGCTGCGGCAGTACGTACCTGCAAGGGAGAACCAGCAGAAACGCACAGGAAAGCCGCACCACATTGTTGGACAACGACAACAGCAACGAAACATTTAAAAAATCCAGTGCTCAAGCGGCACTGTGATTCGTCGATACATTTGGGTTGAAGCTACTATGCCTCACCATGCGTGGTGGGGCTGCAGGAGACACATCGAAAATCGACTTCACAGACAGACGAGGATACACATGCGAAACAATGACGGAACAAGGACGGACAGACGTGGAGAAAACGCTGTTCATATTAGACCGCTTTTGCGGGTCGGACGAGCTGTACAACGAGCCGGTGCAGGTCAACTTCGACAGCCACGGCTGCTTGCGGTAAAGCAATGCCAGGCAACCATCAACCAGAAGCTCCTGGAGGAAATTTCCCCAGTACCCGGTTGTTTCCTGGGGGCCATGAAGTCATTAATTTGCAACAGCTATGAAAGCGAGGTTGCAACACGTACGGTGTAATAGTTTTACCTTGACACTTCTTGCTTGTCTTATGGTAACACCTTGTGTTCCTACTATTCTCACTCCTGCGGTTCTCACCTTTCTTTTGCTTTATAACCTCTGGTTTGAACATCATTCGACGAATTCTCCAATCAATCAAGTCTATACTGTTACACTGGTAGCTTGAGGATGGTTGAGATCATCGTTTGCCCTTTGACGTGCCTTGTGCTCCTGGCCGCTACTGCTCTGCTATACGCCGCTTTCCGTGAGATCCGCCGCGCTCGGGACAACGTGGCTGCTACAGTTGGACGACATCAATTACCTGCTACATCAAGCTCAAGTCCTCCGGATCTAGCCCCGTGTCGATCGCGTTCTCTCTCCCAGACAAGCCCGAGCGTCAAACGCGTTACCAGAGAACCGAATGTTTTCCATGGCAACCCTTCCGAGTTCAAAGAATGGGTATTTACGGTCGAGTTAGCCTTGAAGTGCTCACCTCAAGGTGACCCGGAGAGCCAAGTTAACTTTGCGGCTAGCTACCTCGCTGGGAATGCGCGTCTTTGGCTAATTTCTTCCCTGGAAGCAGGTGAGCAATTTTCGGATTGGCATTCTTTGAAAAGCGCCCTAGCGCGAGTGTATGGCCCGCACTATGATGGGGAAAGAGTGCGGTTGGATATGTTCTCTATCCAACAGCGTGGGTCAATTGAATCGTACGTAACGGAGTTTTCTCGGCTAAGTTTACAGGTGCCGGAACTTGACGAACTCTCCAGAGCCTTGCTATTTGTCAACGGCCTGCACGGTAACATGCGGACCTTGGTAGTGAAGGAACACCCCACTACACTGTCAGCCGCCGTTCAGTCAGCGCTAGCAGTCGCCTCAGACAGCCGATTTCAGCGCAGACCACCACTGGCGACCGCGCCGGGATTCGCACCACCATCAGGTAGCAAAAAGCTAACAAAACTAAGCCCCGAGGAACGTGAGACATTACGAGCCCAGGGGGGCTGCTTCGCATGTCGTCGACCAGGCCATATGGCCCAGAATTGCCCGCAGCATCGAGATCACCCAAACGGTGGACGTCAGTAAGGCCGATGCGATTACTGACGCAGCAAGAAAAGGCATCACCTGCGTGTAGTGTGTGCTCCGTCTCTACCCGTAACCGATTCAGTAGCCTCGCTGTGGAGGATGTTGACGATGATGCTGAATGCTCCGAAGCCAATTTCAAGCGAGATGTTACACCAACTATTGAGGCCCAGGTTACCAGCGTCAATGTGGAAACGGAACATGAGCTCCTGCGTGTAGAAGGCAAAATCAACGGTCGTCGCGCGCTTATGTTAATAGATTCGGGCTCGACCCATGATTTCATTGCCGAACAGTTTGCCAGGAGAGTTAACCTGCCAACCGAAATTGGCTCGGAAAACCTGAATGTCACGCTGGCTGATGGAGCATCAAGCTCGTTTCCCATGGAGACGACCCATGAATTGAAGGTTATCGTAGGCGACTTCAGCGATAACCAAACCTTCACGGTGTTCCCCCTTCATCGCTATGACGCTATATTGGGGAAACCTTGGTTAACGCGTAACAATCCAGACATAAACTTCCGGACGAATGAAGTCAGGTTGAACTCGAATGGTTTGCCTTGTGCGTCGCCCAGTCAAAGCGAACCGACCGCTCCTGTGGAGGCGATGTTCATATCTGGTCGTCAGGCTAGGCATGCCCTTAGGAGTGGAGACGAAGGTGTTCTGGCGTGGGTCAGCGTAGAAGACGGCATTGGCAAGGAACCTCCCGACAAATCCACTCAGAACGAGCACCCAGATCTCAAGGCCATGTTCCGTGACTATGACGATCTTTTCCCGGATGATCTGCCAGCTAGACTCCCACCAGAGAGGTCTGTAGACCACGAAATCCGCCTGGAGGAAGGCTCATCACCCCCATCGCGACCTGCCTATCGCCTGCCCAGGCCAGAAATGGAGGAATTGA